GAGCAATTTGCAACAACTAACTGTATAAATATGTTCCACAAATTCTTTTCTTTCTTGATTTCATCATATGAAGTTTTCTTGGGATTCCCATGTTAATCTGTGAGCTGAAGCAGATCTAGTTTATGAACAAAGAAGATATATAAAAACATACCAGAAACTTGACACACCACAGATGGAGAGAAGATGACAAGTAGAAGAAACAATGGTGGGAGAGAATCCATGGGAGAAGAAGAAGAAGAAGAAGAAAGCTAGAAGCTGTTCTTTGGGTTTCTGGGTTTTAACATTTGGGAGAAAAAGGAATCATCTTTGCCTTTTTTTTTTTGTTGTGAAGTGCTCATTTCACATTACATTTCTGAATTCTACCTTTTTTTCCCAGACAAAGCTGTTCAACTTCATTTTCCATCTCTTTAACTTTTTCTTTCCAATGGGAAGAATATTTGAATGTGAATACAGCTGCAAACCAGAAAAAAAATACCCAAATAGTCCCTCAGTCTGAAAATTAAGTTACCGTTTTTTAGTTTTTTTTTTAAAGTCTCAAAGTGCTTATTATTATTATTATACATAAATTTTAATTGCATAATTTTATTTTTATTAAATTTGGTGCAAAAGCAAATAAAAACTTAAATTTAAAAAGAAAGGAGTAATTTTTTTTAATAGGGAGTACTATTTTGATATTTTCTCTCCGAGTCGTCTGTTTTCTCCCTAGAAAAAACAAGTCCATTCGTGTATTTAGACATTAGAACTGTGGAAATGGTGGCAGAGAAAATCTGATAGAGAGAGTTGGTGTTTGGTGGGAGTAGAAAATCTATGATAGATAGTTGTAAAGAAGTTTCATTCATATAATACACATTTGATACGGAGTAATTATTACCTATACACACACACACATTTACACATACATCTAAGTTTTTTTCTCTCATTTTAGTAAAATTTGCATTAAGACATCGCTACGTTCAACTTATTTTTTCTGCTTATTATTTATGCTTATTTTAATCAAATTACACCAGACTAGATCAAATCTTCAAAAAATCAGATGAGATCAGACAAACGAAACACAGCCTAAACAATACTAAAACATATACCTTTTTCCAACATAGTACCTAAAATTTTTTATTCCATAAATATTAAATAGTACTTGAATAATTTCCAGTGGCGAGAACAATGTTCATTGGCGGTGGACATTTATTTGAACAATGTCCAGTGGACATTGAATAGTGGTACTATATTGGAAAAATAAAAACATATGGTATTACATTGAAAAACTTAATACTCCGTATGTTTTAAGTGAAATTTGCGCTAAATAGGATTAAAACATAATGACTTTCCTAATGTAGGACTTAAACTTTTTTATTCCCTAAATAGGACTTAATAATGACCTAGTATGAAAAATAATGTCCAGTAATGATAGACATTTAGTTAAATAATGACTACTTGATAATGACCAAAAGTCCTACATTGAGAAATAAAAACATATGGTCCTATATTGGGAAAGTCATTATGTTTTAGTCCTATTTAGGTAAATTTCTCATGTTTTAATACTATATCAAGAAGCGACTAATTGGATGAAAGGTTGAAAGCTTTTTTAATTCACCAAATACTAAAATTAGAAATCTGGTATGAGATATGCCTTTAGTATTTTAGAAGTGATTGATCAGTAGAGGGAAGTCTAAAGTGATTAAAAAAGAGAGAGATAATGTAAAAGTGATTGAAAAAGTAATAGAGAGTGTAAAAGTAACTGAACAAATCTCAGATTCCACAAGAATACTTTAAAAAATCAATAAAATACATCATTACTCCAACAATTGCTCTCTTTTTACAAAAATACTCAATCCACCACCTCACTTGCACAGTGATATTCTGTAATATATAAATAGATTTTCAAAGTGATGACTTGAAAAATAAATTAATCTTTTCAGTTTTTATAAAAAGTATTATTTATTCCTCCTCCAACTCAAATATCAATCACGTGTCTCACAATTAGGACTTTTCCTTTTAATTTGTAATAAGTCGCGTTGTGCATTGGCAAAGGTATGAAGTGTCAAGGCAAAGACTAAAGCCTTTGCAAGTAACTAGTTCAGAGTCTACTTTTTGTCGCCAATCTATAACCGAAGATCAATTTATCTTCTTTTACTGACTCTCGTTTGGATCTGAGGGAACCCTGGGAGATGAAGTTTTTATTTTGGAATTATAAAAATTAATTATTTGGATTGCCAATAAAATTTCCAATATATAGAAGCTTAATTGGTGATGCAAAAAACGTCAACGGCATCTATAAATTTAAGATAAAGAATATCAAACACTTCACTTTAAATTACAAAAACTACTTTATTTTCTGTGGTTGTCCCCATCGACGCCATGGACCTGATTTTCTTTCACTTTTAAGTTCTTTTTTTTCTTTTTTGAAATACTTTTTAAATTTTTTGAGGGTTAATAATTCTATTACAATGTAGTGTCTGTTAATACTTAATACATACTTTTCAACATATGCCCACTTTATTATTTTCGAGGCCCGTTTAGTTATTAACAACTTCGTATTTTCACACAATATTTTATTATAGTCTCAGAAAATAATTTCGAATTACATATTCTTTATTTTATTAACAAAGTATAAGTAATTTTACAAAATTTTTGAAATAAAATTTTAAAAAAGGTGATTGAATCCCAATATAGATAATACTCCGTATTTAATACTCCCTTCGTTTATCAAAATCATTCCCCTTTCATTTTTTTCTTTCACCAGAATACTTTTACTTTCCATTAAAAATGTATTTTTACTTTTACTAACTCCTACACTACTATCACATTTTATTTTTATCTATCACGTCAGAGTAAAATTGAAATGTCAGCTTCAAATAATCTTTCTTTATTTTTATCCAAAGTTAATATAGGAATTGTTTTTCTAAGAGATTACTCCGTAGTATACCTTTGGGAGTAGTGTATTAATGTACATTTAAGAGTAAAATCACACAAAAAAAAACCTCGTTGATGAGGCCCAATTGTAGAAAAAGGACCTGCCCAAAGCATTATGATCCTCTGGAAAAAAGATCTGGCCCAATGAAAGAGTTATACGGAGTAATAAGATATTGTCAATGAAAGAATATCAATGAGATACAGTCATCTAAGAGGTACTCCCTCCGTCCCGCTATATTCGTCCACTTTTGACTTTTGGAATTGTTCATCTAAGTATTTTGACTCATCAAATTCTCTCAATGTATAAGCCTAAATATAGTCATGCGTGATCTTATTTGATTTGTCTTAACATATAGATTACTAATATATAATTTCTATAATTTTTTAATATATAAATTACAAGATAAAATGGATTAAAGAAGTGTATTGGATGTTGTGCAAAAATGAAAGTGGACAAATATAGTGGGACAGAGAGAGTATCTAAGAGTTATACGGAATAAATAGAGCAATGCTAGGGGTACATCGTCTCCCACTCCATTCTCCACCACTCATTTTAATCTCATTTTAATCCCACTCATTCTCCACTCATTTTTGAGTCTCCTTGCCCATTTATGTGGTAATGGAAGGAGTGAGGGACAAATGGGATACACCTTTGGTGTACCCTTAACATTTTTCGAATAAATATCAATGAAAGAAAAAGAATACGGAGTAATAGGATACTGTCACGTCCCAATTTGAATTGTATATTGCCATTTACAAAGTGAGGAGAGTTCTCATAGTTTAAAATTAAGTTCACATATTTTGTCCTTGTTTCCCTCCTCTTTCAGAGCATTTGTATTAAATATTACATCATGTATTCCCTTCGTCTCAATTTAAATCATCTGTTTTTGTATAGGATTAGAAAAATAAAAATACATATATTTAAAAACTACATCAAAAGATTTACAACACTAGTAGTGGCATAACTATATTATTCTATGAAATTAGTAGTGGCATAACTATATTATTCTATGAAATGACTAACAAAAATAGGGAAAGAAAGTAAATAAAATTTATCTCTTTAAATAATAAACATGCAATTTAATTTGGGACGAATAGAGTAATATTTATCTGTCTCACATTTGAGGTTGCACCGAAAAATTCTTAAATGTTCGAATACAAATTGGAGTAGTACTTCATCAAACATTAATTTAAATATTCAAATAGTGGTTACTATTAGGATCATTGGATAATAGGAAATAAATATTATATTTAATTAGTTTCCTAAATATTATTAGGATCATTAGATAATAAAAAATATAAGTTATACTCCCTCGGTCCACAAATAAACTTTACATTGCACGTTACGATGTTTGACTGCAGTTATTTTCAAATCATTTTATATGAAAAATGGTGTAGAATTGAAAGATAAAAATTACATATTAAAAATTATATCAAAAGATCTACAAAACTAGAGGTGACATGACTATATTATTTTATCAAATGGGTGACGAAAATAGGCCAACAAAGTGAATAAAGTTTGACCCTGTGAATAGTAAACGTAAAGTTTATTTGTGGACGGAGGGAGTATTTAATTACTTTTCTTGTCCTATTGTTTTTCTTATTGTATTGTTATTATAGTTGTTCTCATACTATGATTAGAGCTCTCTCATGTAATCATTATGAATAGAGATGTATCCTTCAATACTCAATAATACCAATTATCATCAAATTGTATCATGGTATCGGAATCACCGCTCTTGGAGACCTAAAATTTTCTACGCTCACTCTTGGCAGGTGGCGTCGCTATTAGCCGCCAGCCAGGTCAATGTTCTTCCTTCAATTTTTCGGATCGAAAACTCCTCAAAAACTCTCTCAACTCATCTACTTGTCTTCTCAAAATCAAGACAAAAAAACGATAGTTATTTCTTTCCAATTCACCATATCAGAATCTCAGACCAAATCTGTTGAAATATTTGAATAATAATATTGCTCCTAGAATTATGGGGTACATGATAGAGTATATATAGGAGAGACTCCTAACACAACTAGGAATAGAGAATGGAAACTAACTAAAATACAACATCTACCACAAATAGGACTAGGAAGCTGACTAATAATGAAACACTACCATAACCAATACTACAAGAAGTACTATTAGTATTGTTGTCTAACATCCCCCCTCAAGCTGAACTCTGGCTAAAGCAAGAGGAAGCTTGGACACTAGCTGGAAACTGGTAACTTTGAGAAGAGAGAAGTCTGACACTTTTCTTCATCACCAATTATTAATTCTTTTTTTCTCTCTCTCAAATCACTCATTCTAATCATCAATCTTCATTTTTTTCTCTTATGTTGACCCAGTAGCCCTTCATTTTCCGACTGAGCACATCGCCGGTCTCTGTTCACAGCGATCGACCGCCCAACGACATGGCTTCACCGACCGATCTCGACGAGCATGTCTAACAGTCGTCGTCCATTATCCATCTCTTTCTCTCTAAAAAATTCCTTATCTCTCTCTATCTCTTAAAATAACATGTGCGTGATCGAAGAATGAAAAAATTGCATTTATCTGTGTTTTTTAGAGATCGAGGGCAAAGAAAGCGATAGAGAAGCAGAGAATGACCCAAAAGGAGAAAAAAACTCCCCGCCCTCGCTCTAATCGCCAACACTCTGACCGGAAAAACTCAGCAAACGTAATTACAAGCTCGTTCATCGTCATGCAACGATGATCTGACTCTCTATTTCTAGAGGGTATTCTCACAGAACGGTTTCTGCCAGCTAAATTCTAGTACATGTGCTTCAAGCTATTTCTCGTTACCGATGATCAGCTTGCGGGGATATTAAGATCATTAAATAATACTACCTCCGTTCCAAAAAGATTTACACGTTTTGACTAAAATTGAAATTAAGTGAGAGATAATTTTGTGTTGACTTTCCAAAAATACCCTTGATGTGATGGGTAAAGTAGGATGTGATGTGTAGATTATTAGGAAAAAGGTATGATGTGATAGGTAGGGTTTGAAAAAGTAAGGGGTAAAAGTGGGTTTTTAATAGAAATGAGTAGGAGATTGTGATACGTAATTTTTTTGAAAGGTGTAAATCTTTTTGGGACGGAGGGAGTATGAAATAAATATTATATTTAATTACTTTCTTTATCATAATGTTTTTCTTAATGTATTGTTATTGCGATAGTTGTTCTCCTACTATGATTAGAAATCTCTCATGTAATCCTTATAAATAGGTCCTTCAATATTCAATAATACCAATTATTATCAAATTGTATTGGTTACATATATTTTAGTATTTGAATACTGTAGAAAATAATAAGGGAGATTAATTTTGTATTGAATTATTTTGGAGATTACAAAGATTCAACCCTCTATACATAGAGAGATGGTAACACAAATAAGTAAACTTCTATTCCTATCATAATTCTATTCATACTATAAAAAGAATATGAAAAACTTGAAAAGTCACCAAACCGAATCCCCAAGGGACTCGATTTCATCTCTCTCTCTCTCTCTCTCTCTCTCGTAACATCCTCCCTCTTGGACAATACATAACCAAACGATCTATGTTCAAGTAATCATCTAAATATTTTAATAAATCAGTTTTCTTCTTCTTCAACGGAGATGCCACTCTTTTCGAATCCGTTTTCGAGTAAAGGAATGTCATTCTATTTGAACCTTTAACGATTTAAAACGATCAGGATGAACGTCATTCTTTTTGAACATCCGAAACACCAATTTTTATAATAAGAAATTGCATGCACATTACGAAATTGTCCGCTTATTGCAGGAAACCCTTGTTGGACAATTTCTTCTTGATTAGTGACTTAGATTCCGTAGAAGTCATGTTTTTTGCCAAGGAACAACCATCAGCTGTTGGAGTTCCCACATCGGAAAATAAAGTTGAGTATCACTTGCATATATTGAAGGGTGAAGCCCTACCTATCAGCTTAAGCTTTTGGGTTAGAATTGTGGATCCCGACTTTATATGCAAGTCATTAATTTTACCCGACACTCTATCCGTTGTTCTCGGCCCGCCAGAATTTCTACATGGTATCAGAGCAGGTCCGGTCTGGGTTTGATTGTTCCTGGTTGTTTGGATGTGGGTTTAGCAAAAATGAGTTACCCGTCTGTGGTTTGGGCTGAGTTGGCTAAAAAGAGATTGAGATGCCACTGCCAGTTGTGTGGGCTAGCTATAAGAGATTGAGATGCTAGACCCGTTTGTCCAAGTGCTAACTAGGCCAGGCTAGTTACCACTTGCGGGGGATTGTTGGAGTTCCCACATCGGAAAATAAAGATGAGTATCACTTGCATATATTGAAGGGTGAAGCCCAACCTATCAGCTTAAGCTTTTGGGTTAGAATTGTGGATCCCGACTTTATATGCAAGTGGTTAATTTTACCCGACACTCTATCCGTTGTTCTCGGCCCGCCAGAATTTCTACATCTGTCATACTGATTTTATGGACAACGTGCACTGGTGGCTGTCTCTAGCAGACTTTCGGAGGTTGCCCTGGCGGTCGAGGCTGGAGTAGATGATGCTTCTTGGAAGGTAGGGAGATATAGTAACGTAAAATGACTTGATAGACTTAACGAATCGCGTGAAATCACGCTTTCAGATTAAAGTTATTTTGGAGTATAGCAAAATACGTCAATCGGATAAGACGTTAGTATATCGAACGAGTATGGACTTCCTTCTGTACTCAAACATGCCATGCAAGCCCATAATATAGGCATGTGGGTGATCGGACGTGACTGTTGGCCGAATAAACCGTAACACAACCCGTGGGGAAAAACTTATCTTTTGGGCAGTTAACCAATTCGACTTATTCGAATATGTGACACCTTATTCGAATAGTTTAGGTCTTCTAAAAACCAGATCTGTGCTTAACTATTCGAATAAATGGACATTTATTCAAATAGTTGGGGTTCTCCAAAAACAAGTTGTGCTGAACTATTCGAATAAATGTGCATTTATTCGAATAGTTCAATTCACCGTGTTGAGTCTTTTTTGAGTATGTTTTTCACACGTTCGAAAAATACATATTTAGACTCCGATTACGAAAATCCGAAGGATTTTCATAAAGAGATAATGTCCAAAATAAAAATTACCCCAGCAAGCTCGCCAGGAGCTACTGCCCCTTGGACCCTGCTACCGGGGGTGGCCGCCGTGGAATTTCTAATATCGTTGAACGAGCGTGCACTCCACACCTCCTAACCCGTTAACAACGTCTATTAAAATTTCTATCCAATCTTAAGTTAATCTAATTACACAAATATACCAGATGACACTAAAATAACCAACATTGCTATGCCCGTTGAACACGGAAAATTGACACGCCTAGCATTTATTCAATTTGGAGAGAAAAACAAAAGATCACGATATCCAAACGGTAGGCATTGAAGTGTGTATGTCCACCGGCAGGAGAGTGTAAGCATGTTTGATGTGAATTGTGACGATGAAGAAATATGTTTTCATAATATCCCTATTCAAATCAAGCTTTATTTTTTCTCATTTTGTTTTCACTACTAATGAAAGTCTTGGTAAGAATCACATGTTGGCAAATCATTTTTTTCTTTCTTATATTTTTTTTAATAATTTGCTTGGTTAAAATTGAAACAATGTGACCCCTAGCTACTTCACAATTCTTTTCTAGATTGGCCACCACTAAAAATCCACTAGTCTAGTGATAGTTTTACTTCCTTTTTATATACAGAGTATATTTTTTAGTACTACTCATTTAGTCATTTTCCTCATGTCATTAAAAAAATATCTAATGTTGCATTTTATATACTCCCTTCACATTGATTTACTTTTAAAATTACTCCGAATTATTTTTTACAATAAATTAATAATTTTATTTTATAATAAATTAATAATTTTTAAAACCACAAAAAACAATGAAAAACCGAATCTTGAACCGCAAAAAGCCGAACTGAATAACCAGTTTATATTTTTATTGTATAAAACCAAACCGAACCGCAAATTCACCTCCCGATTCGGCTTTGGTTTAGAGTTAAAACAAAACCGATAAAACCGAGTTCACCCCTAAACCTAGCAATTTGGCCCAGGCTGCCGCCCTTGAACCCCCACACTGAGCGTTTCTGTCCCGGTCTTCTTCTAAAGAATTAGCAATATTGTTGAACGAGTGTGTGCTTAATATTATACCTCGTGATGTTTTTTTAAAATTCTCTTTTTGCCGGTTCCAAGTGAAGGTAATTATATAAAAATAGCCGATGACAATAATACCACGGGCTAAGATTTGGAAAGAAGCTAAGGTAGAAAGAGTTTATGCGGTATGAAGAAAGAGTTTCTTATTAGCTCGTATATATGGTGTGATTTGTGGTAGATGCATGATAGTGGCAAACAGATGTGTCGCAGGCACAAGCCCATGGGTTACCTTTTTGTCTAGTGATGATATATAGTACGTGGCATGCATATACATGACATGAATAGCATATTTTGGGTAGTTTTGGTTTTCACACATGTACAATAGCCCCCAGCCAAATGATCCATTCTAGTGGCAAACCACTTTCTTGATGATTTAGCTAGATAAAGACTGGCCTAGCTATTACTGTCCCTAGCTCTTTCCACTTTATTATTATTGCTACTATACTATATATTCCATGCATGTTTTTTTCTTCTTCTTGAAGGGAATAATCGAAGCTTCAAGGGCCTAATGATGGATATCATATCATGACACAATCTATGCACATATATGATTGATATATTACGGAGTATGTTACAACTTGCTTATTAAATCTAAGATGATTGACAATCCAGTTTGTTATTACACGAATAGAGTAATCGAGTAATCGAAGCAAACAGAAAACGTAAGGACACACAGATTTAACGTGGTTCATCAACGTTGTGTTGGCTACGTCCACAGGGAAGAACGGAGTCAGACATGAATGCTCGTGTAAAGGAAGCTAATGTTTGCGCAACAGGGAGAGAATCGAACTTTTCCTAAAAATTGCAAGTATTTGCGCGAGTTTTCCTTTCGGTTTTTTTGGTCGATTTTGACGTTTATCTGTACGTCTGAATCTTAAGAGTTTCGAGCTCCGTTCACAAAAATGTGAAGAATTTTCATAAAGCAATAACGGCCAAAATAAAACTTTTCCAAGTTGTCTATTCAAAATCTTGTCTGATCTAAGTAAATCGAATAATAAAAAATTACCAATGACACTATAATTACCAACATGGGGTTGAGTAACCATATCTCCCTCCGTTTCTTAAAACTCTTTCTCTTTCATTTTTTTTTTGTTTTTCTTAAAACACTTCCCCTTTCTATTAAAAAACCACTTTTACCCCTACTTTTTCGTACCCTACCTATCACATCATACTTTTTCACTAACAACTAAACTATCACATCTTACTTTTACCCATCACATCAAGGGCAAAATTGGAAAGTCAACTACAATTTAACACTTCCTTATTTTCCCCCAAAGTCAAAAGAGGAACTCTTTTGAGAAACGGAGGTAGTATATTTTGGTCACCTTTCTCCTCTTCTTCCAATGTGGGAGGAGTTTGCTATCCAACAAAACCCCATATCCCCTCAAAGTAACAACCACACAACTTGTGACCTCTCCTTCAGCGATTGTCCATTTGATCTACCACCAGCTTGTACCACCACTGCACACCTGCGGGACACGCCGCCCGACCTTCTCGTGCCAGAAAGACTTTTGACACAAGTAATAACGCTGGTCATCAATCCCCTAAGGTCACACCATTCGATATGCCAAATCATTTTGTACCTCATTTAACACCAAACGGGACAAGCCATATGAAACAATATCAAGTATCAAGTCTATCAACCCATATGACTTCTCTCTCACCTTGGCATTTTGGCGAGTAGAAATAGAAACCTATAAACAAAGCTAGGGATATAGTCGTTGCGTGTGGCCGGTTTTTCATCAAGTGATTAGTCTAGTGGCCTTAAACCTTCCCTTTCACGGAGGAGCAAATAAACACGCCGGGCTCCATACCCACATGGACACATACATTTACAACCTAAGCATTCTTTGTTTCCCTTCCAAACCCCCCATATATATATATATATATATATATATATATATATTTGCCTCCAAATACCAATGCATGAGCATGCTAGTAATTAATTAATCATTTTATCCTCTTCAATTCCTCTGCATATTAAAATCACACGTAAAGACTACTTAGTCATGCATAGCAATTCTGGCATGCCACCGCCGCCGGTAGCGGCGGAGCTCTCCATTGTCGTCGCAAACGACGACGATGACAGAAGTTGGGCGGAGAGACTCCTCAGAGATTGTGTGTGCGCGATCTCTGAGAAGGACTCTGCCAAGACCCACCATCTGTTGTGGATGCTGAACGAGCTGGCGTCGCCGTACGGAGACGCCAACGAGAGGCTAGCCGCGCATTTCCTGCGTGCCTTGTTCTGCAAGGCAACCCAGACCGGCCCCAGGGTCTATAGGACTCTGGTCTCAGTCTCGACGAAGGCCCACACCTTTGACTTTGCCCGGAAAGTGATGCTCAAGTTCCAAGAAGTGAGCCCGTGGACGACGTTCGGCCACGTGGCGGCCAACGGCGCGATCCTCGAGGCCACCGACGGCGCCGCCAAGCTCCATATCATCGACGTCAGCAACACGCTCTGCACGCAATGGCCGACGCTTCTCGAGGCCCTCGCCACGCGGCACGACGACACGCCTCACCTGAAGCTCACCGTCGTCGCCACCACCGCCTCCTCCGCCACCGTGAAGTCGCTGAAGAACGAAATAGCCCAGAGACTCGAGAAGTTCGCCCGCCTCATGGGCGTCCCGTTCGAGTTCAACGTCGTCACCGAGTTAACTCGCCTCGGAGAGATCACGAAAGAGATTCTAAACGTGCGCGACGACGAGTCGGTCGCCGTGAACGTCGTCGGAGCGCTGAGGCGCGCGAGGCAGAGAGCGGAGGCGCTCCGCGCCATCCGCTCTCTGAACCCGAAAATCGTGACGGTGGTGGAGGAGGAGGCGGCGGAGGCCGCCGGGAACGGCGGAGGCGACTTCGAGGAGTGTCTGGGCTTCTACCGACGGTACTTCGGAATGCTGGAGGAGAGTTTTCCGGCGACGAGCAACGAGAGGCTGGCGTTGGAGAGGGAGGGGTCGAGGAGCATACTGAGGGCGGTGGGATTCGATGACATGGCGGAGGAGGACGGCGGCGGCGAGTGCGAGAGGAGGGAGAGGGGAGGGCGGTGGTCGGGGAGGTTTAGGGAGGCGGGGTTCACGGCGGTGGCGCTGAGCGACGAAACGGTGGACGACGTTAAGGCGTTGCTGAAAAGGTACAAAGGGGGGTGGGGGGCTCACCGGGACCCACAACATGATGATGATGTAATGATGAACTCGCCTTCTTCTTCTTCTTCTTCACCAGGAATCTTCTTGACATGGAAAGATGAACCAGTAGTGTGGGCATCTGCATGGAAACCCTAGCTAATTAGCTACATGCATGATTTAATTAAATAAGACTATTATTGAATTGATTGATTTTCCAAAAGTGAAAATAGCTTATAGTGAAATTCGTTATAGATTTGTAATTAGATGAAGAATACCATGATAGTTCCATAAACATTGGTTTTATTGAAGTGAAATTTGCACTAAATAGGACTAAAATATAGGTCATTTTCCCTATAGGACTTAAAATTTTTTTATTCCCTAAATAAGACTTAATAATGTCTAGTGGGAGGAATAATGTCTAGTAATGATGGACATTTAATTGAATAATGACTAATTGATAATGACCAAAAGTCCTACATTGGAAAATAAAAACATATAGTCCTATATTGAAAAAGTTATTATGTTTTAGTCCTATTTAGGTAAATTTCTCAAAAATTTATTCATGTACAACATAATATTTATTTTGGTAACTCAATGTATTTATTCAATATGTTATGATCGAAATTTTAAACACCGAAAAAATGAAATGAAAAAAAATATTATTTAGAGTACTAATTCTTAGACCTGACAACAAATGACCCGCCCTGTTTTTTTGACCAAAATCTAACCCAAAAGTACTGAGTTTTAAACAAAGATTGACCAACCCAAAGTCAACCGAACTCGAAATGACCCGCTAAAATGGGTCAATCTCGACTGAATCCGAATCCGACCTGACCAGCCTGCTAATGTTAGAATTTTTCAAAATCATATAGTTTAGTTTGAAATATAAATTTATAAAAATAGAGTTCTAATTCTATATTTTTCTTACTACTCGTTTTTAGTGTATAAATTTATATTTTCAAACAAAATTTTAATAATATTGCATAATTATCTTGCTTTTTTTTTAATTGGAGTTATGCACTTTTAAATTGATTTACTTCAAAATCTAAAACAAAATAATATAATAGATTTAATATATAATTTTAAATATTTTAATTTTATTTAATGAGAAATGTAGGTGTTAATATGAATTTAAAAATTTTAAAAACCTAAGTCATAACCCGTTAGGTCGACATGAACTCGATGACACGAAGTCATATCATGAATATATAGTTTTCAAGCTGAACTTGAATTGATCCGAACTCTGAATATAAGTAGCCAAACCGACCGATTTGCCAGCTCTAGTATTCTTAAAAATTAGTATTTTAAATGCAAAAACTAGTAAACTTTATCAATTGGTGTTTGTGACAGAGTCTCTTTTTCTCTCTCTCTCTATACCTCATTGGTACGGACTGGGAGCATTTCTTTCCACATATTCTTCCACTACTTATTGTTTCGTTTTACATTTGTTTGCATTTGTTTAGAGTTTTCACCGCCCNCCCCCACACACCCCCACACCCTCAATCAATCACCACCAGCTAGCGGTTTTTGTTAATTGTTAACCATATAAATTGTCTTAGTTAATACTCCTTCCGTTTCGGAGTATTCGTCCACTTTTTATTTTTGGAATTGTTCATTTAAGCACTTTGACTCATCAAATTCTCTCAATGTGTAAACCTAAATATAGTCATGTGTGATCTTGTTTGATTTGTCTTAACATATAGATTATTAATATATAATTTCTATAATTTTTTAATGTGAAATTTGCACTAAATAGGACTAAAACATAATGACTTTCCTAACGTAGGACTTAAACTTTTTTATTCCATAAATAGGACTTAATAATGACCTAGTGGAAGGAATAATGTCCAGCAATAATGCACATTTAGTTGAATAATGACTTCGTGATAATGACCAAAGGTCCTACATAGGAAAATAAAAACATATGGTCCTATATTGGGAAAGTCATTATGTTTTAGTCCTATTTAAGTAAATTTCTCTTTTTTAATATACAAATTACAAGATAAAATAGATTAAAGAATTGTATTGGATGGTGTGTAAAAATGAAAGTGGACAAATACTCTGTGACGAAGGTAATACATAATTTGATCTTCACTCATCAGATACTCTATTACTCCCTAAGTCCCTAAAGGTCTGAAGTCCTTTTTTTTCTTTATCTCAAAATCACTCTCTTTTCTACTCTCTATTAAAAAACTATTTTTTTACTAATAACACTCACAATGCGTTGGCTAAAATGAATCACTTTAAAATAAAATCTGAACCCACTTTCTAACAAAAAATTAAAATGAATCACTTTAAAAAAATTAGATCTAATCAGATCAAAATTTTAAAAATTCAGATGAGATTTGATCAGATCAGCCGTACGGAAAAGAGCCTTAATATGTATACTTTTCATAATAAAGTGTATGCTCCCCCCTCCTTTCTCTTTGGACTTTCAAAAGTGCACCATTAGTCCAATTATTTCTTCGTTTCATTCAAGTTTGGTTAAAGATGTTGTTAAACCAAGAGATGGCGGCGGTAGGGCTCAGCATTCATAATGGTGTGGAATTGAGTAGTGACCCTAGCTCAAAAGTCAATTGCACTTTGGGATGCCACATATTTCGGAGAAAAAAATATATAAGTAAAACTACTTGAGAAAAAATAGTTACGGAGAAGGTAAATTATTTGGGGCTCAAATAAGTAAAATAACATTTAATCGAGTCTTCAGAAACATTCCGGACCAACACTTCCTTCTCCGTCGGTGTCCACGCTCGCTTTCCCACACAACCGGTCGATCCTGCATGGTGCATGGTCGTCTCTTTGAATTTTTGGGAAGGAACACTATCAAGGTTCTCAACAACATTCTCTAAGACGGTCATCAAGCCGATAATTCCCTGAACTGTTTAAAATTTTTTAAAATTGGTGCTTTCACCTGAGGAATTGTAAATAGGAAGGGTCCATAAAGGGTGATAGTGTTTAAATAATGGATTGAAAAAAATGAACTCAATTCAACAAGTTGTTGCAACAACTACCGAATGATCTAACATTAAAAAATCAATTAAATTTTAGAGTCTCCCGTCTCCGTAGCATTCGACTAAAACACCTAAAATAGAGGTATTTCTCTAACAATTTATTTTTGCATACCACTACGGTATAGGCCCTGTTTGAAAAACGGTTTTTTGGATAGCTTTTGGCATGTTTGACTGACTTTGGCTTTTTTGACTGAGCGAACAATCAAAATCGTTGTTTGGCTAATGGCTTTTTCACTTGGCATTTTGATCTAAAAAAGCCAAAATCCGAAATGCCAAGAAGAGTAGCATTTGGACTTTGCTGTTAGGAAAATTAATTTTTTTTAAAGTCATTTTTCTTGAAAGATATTTTATAATATATGTAAAAACTAAAAATAAAAATAAAAGTTAAAAAAATTAAATACTAAAAAAATTAAATTTTAAAATTAAAAATTTCAAAAAAATAAAATGAGAAAATAAAAAGTAAAAATCATTAAAAAATTGTATATTAATAATTTCTTATGAATTAAATGAAAGTAAAATTTAATACTCCATATAGTAAAGATTTAATTTTTACATGTAAAAAAATGAAAAATAAATATCGTGTGTGTGTGTGTGTATATATATATATAACTATTTTCAAACAGCTAATTTTATCAAACATTTTTAACAATCAGCCAATTCATCTTGCCAGTCAAACCAGTTGAAGCAAACATCCATTCACAACAGCTGGCACGAACAAGGGAGAGCCACACCCTAAAAGCTAGCTGATAAGGTGGGAGAACCCTTGGCTATATAAACCCATCACCAAGTTTCCCATATAACCGGTGTGGGACAATGAAATCAGTCCGTATCATTCGACCCCCCCCATAAGGCCCAACGTCCTCGTTGGTCACGGCTACGTTGGTCACGGCCACGTTGGTCACAGCTGGTTTCACCAGGCCACCACTCCGTGGGCCACCACTCCGTAGGCCACCACTCCGAGTTGGCTCTGATACCATTGATACAGCACAAGGGAGAGCCACACCCTAAAAGCTAGCTGATAAGGTGGGAGAACCCTATGCTATATAAACCCATCACCAAGTTTCCCATATAACCGGTGTGGGACAATGAAATCAGTCCGTATCATTCGACCCCCCATAAGGCCCAACGTCCTCGTTGGTCACGGCTACGTTAGTCACGGCCGCGTTGGTCACGGCTGGTTTCACCAGGCCACCTCGGAGTGGTGGACCACGGAGTGGTGGCCTGGAGAGAGCCAGTCGTGACCAACGTAGTCGTGACCAACGAGGACGTTGGTCCTTAAGGAGGGACGAATGTTATGGACTGAAACCATTGCAAGGTATGGGACTTGTCCCACATCGGTTGTATGGGCAATTGATGTGGGGTTTATAGGCCAAATGGGTTCCCTCACTTATCAGACTAGTCTTTTGGGTTGAGTTATTCTGTTTGGTCTGTAACAAAATTCTTCATGTTTGAGTCTAAAAAGTCATATATTAATTCATTCCAACCAAACAAACGAATAGAAGTAGTTAAATTATAAACTTCCACTCCTCTCTCTATATTGATTTTATTGGGTAAATTTCACCAATGGTACCTGAACTTTAGCTGAAATTTCGAAGTGGTACCTGAACTTCAAATCCTTTCACAAAAATCCTTGAACTTACATAATCCTTTCACTAATGAGCTATTAGCCCGTTTCTAGGTTAACTTCCGGTCATTAGGGCCAAATTCGAATTTTATATATTTTAAAATTTTCAATTTGACCCAATTTCTTCTTTTCTTTTCTTCCAGGCCCCGCCGCCGCCGCCCGCCGGTCAAAGTCGCCGGAAAATGAACTTTTACCGATTCCGGCGGGACCAATGTCATTCTCTTCGTCTTGAGACGAGGATCAATAATATCCAAACCATTTTGTCTAATTTGGCCTGTAACTTATCGAATCTGAATTTTTCTACTCGAAAAAACCCTAAAATTGAAATTGGGTCCAAAATGGGGGATTTTGCAAATCGTCATCAAATCTTGCAATTGAAGGGTCCTTGGAGGTCGCCCAGATGCCACGACCGCATTGGAGTGGATGCCCGCCGTCAATTTTGCCGGAGTTGGCCGGAAAACGCTTCGACCCGCCAGCGGTTTCATTGGAGTGGATGCCCGCCTAGGTACCATTGGTGAAATTTACCCGATTTTATTTGCCAAACGCGCCTCTATCCTCTCCCGGTTCCCGCCACGAAGTTACCGCCATGGCACGCGGCAAACTTTCTCCTCACGTGTCACGTGCAGAAGCGCATCCCCGAGCCCTGCCCAGGAATTCCCAATATTTCGAAATCCACCCCAACGAAACCCAACATTTACTCTCTCCTCCATTTTCTCCCCGGGCTAGATTTTGTCTCTCTCTTCTTTGAAGAAACTCCACGAGCTATGGGATATGGCGGATTTCAAATCCATTCGGACCCTCATTTATGTTGAATTTTCGGATTGCTCCCAGGGAAAAAAGTATTCTTTTTCTCCATTGATCTGTGATTAGGGTTTCAGATCATTGCCTGTTGTTTCACTGCTAAATTTTGTTATTCTTTTTTTGGTATACAGGGAAAGATTCTTTTGTATATTTTACTCGTATATATTTTTTGTTTTTATCTTTTGATACAAAACAGATCATCTGTAGGGGGAGATCATTTTGATTCTTATTGTTGTTTATGACAATAGGTAATTTTTTTTGTTTTGGGGGGAAATAAGGTAATTTTCATTGCTGATCTTTCAGAATTTTAGGGTTCTTCAGGAAAAACTCTATGAGATTTTAGGTGAGTTTGTTTTATTGTCATCCGAAAATTGAGAGTTTTGCCGTTGAATCTTGCACATAAAAAAGAGAGAAATTTCTTTAAGTAGAGACATAGGGGGAGTTATAACAAAAAAAAAGTGTTAATCTACTCTTTTTCATCATTTCATGCCTTTTCCTTTAGGTTTAATCTAAAAAAAGTAGAACAGAAATCTAGTGTCCTAGATAGATTTGAAAATGGCCTTGAACTATTCACATATGCCCATATTCCCCGCTCATATACCTGAGGACAATATGGTGTCCCCAATGAGGATTGTGAATGGGTGTCTCGTGGAGGGTATTCCAGATAAGACTGGGGAAGGATTTATCTGGCCGCGACATGCAAGTTGGGAGCGAGAGGAGTGGTTTGAATGCGGGAGAGAGAGAGTTGATAGCTGTGGATTGCGAGAATCCGCATCCAAAGATATCGTTGACCTTCTGCCTTCTGACCCATTTGAGATGGGCATAAACACATATTCATTTGAGATGGCTTTGAGAACCACTTTTACAGCACTTCGTGGTTGGCTTAATGACCTGGAAATAGATTGTGGCAGATTACAGAAAGATATTGTTGGCCCGATCAAAGAGGATTATAGTTTTCTTAACGGATTAGATTTTATTTGGGATAATGCTATGATGTTTTCGCACTCTTCGAGCAATGTTCAATCAGATCATAAGTTGAATGCATCGTGTTCCATGAATCCATTACCCAAGGAAGTAGTCACTGGGGATGCATTGGTACCCTGCTTTGGTACAACAACAGTTTGCAGTACAAGAGATAGTAGTTTAGGGTTTGACTGTGAATATACTGATGATTTTATTGCACATATGGAAGAGGAAGATTTGTCTTGCCATGATGATGACAATGGAGAAGCTCCACATGAAGGTTTGTTTTATGCTCTTGGTTATCTTGGAGTCAAGGATCTTTTATCCGTTCAAATGGTTAGCAAGTCGTTTCGGTCTACTGTCAAAGATGATCCGTTGTTGTGGAGGAACATTCACATCTTTAAGCCCTTAAATGAGAGGATCACAGATGATGCTCTTCAGCTTTTGTCTAGCATGGCCAAAGGTAATGTGCGATGCCTAAGCTTTGTTGATTGCCATTTGATAACCGATGATGGTCTAAGGCGTGTACTTGAAGCTAATCCACGTGTGACAAAGGTATAAATGTATTTCTTCTTGCATTTAGTTTGTTTCCCTTTTCTTCTGTCCATAAAAGAATCATTATATCCAATGTTTTAGTTTCGAGCACATAATGAACTACATCAAAATGACACATTAAACTTCCCTTTTTTTACACTCTATGAAGTTTGGGGTAGTAAATGTAGCAATGCATCCAGAGTCTAACACAATTACCCAAATAGTTTATCTGAAAAAAACAGAGGTAAGATTACATACATCTTGACCCCCAAGACCCCCAACAAAGTTAGGTTTATACTGGGTTGTTTTTCCCTTTCTACATCAATTATAATGTTCACACAGGGAATATTACTCATTCTGAATGATCTGTTGTGATGGGTGATTGGGTGCAACTTTGTTCTTTGTCCACTGATTTCATGATCTTCTGGTGTATTATATGCCATTTATTAAGGTGGAAGAGACTAGGATTGTATGAATTACTGTAGTTAGAGTTTTTAAAGGGGTTTTTCATCTTTAAAGTGGTTGAGGTGAGAAAAGAGAAGAAATTAGGACTGTCATACAAATAGGGAAGACACAACAACAACAACAAAAACAACCCAGTTAAATCCCACAAGAGTAGGGTCTGGGGAGGGTGTGTGTACGCAGACCTTGCCCCTACTCGAAAGTAGAGAGGCTGTTTCCAAAGAGACCCCCGGCTCAAATAGGGAAGACACATGGAACTTTATAAAACTCGGGGCTATAGAGAAGATTCTAGTTTCCTTGCTAAAATTCAAAGAAAGATATCAAAACACCATATTTATGATAGTCTAATACTAAACCTCAAAGTAATACTCTCTCCATCCCAAAATGTTTGCCACATTTCCTTTTTCAACAATCACGGGAACTTTTGTTTATTTCTACATTGATTATTTGATAAAATAAAATATTCTGGACACCTCTTATTTCAAAGAGTTTTTCATGTAGTTTTTAAATATATAAATTTTATTTGTTATTTCTATACCAATATTTAAATAAAATGAATTGAAAAAACGTGATGTTTTGCCTCATTTTGCGAAATGTGGTAAACATTTAGGGAGATGAAGTAATAAATAAGCCTAAGCTTAATCTCCAAGTAAAAAAACTACGGAGTACTTAACACCAAACACCTCAGTAATACTAAACCTAACTTTTTGAAAAAATGATGATATTTTAGATAAAACAACTATATTATCTGTATTAATATAATTTGTAAGCGCATGCGTCATTCTCCTCGGTTTGGAAAACCTATTACGTTGAGAAAACTTTCAAAACTTCATCATAAATCTCTGGATCAAATCTTTGCAGCTCTTCTTTTGCAACCCAAGTGCTTTCACTAGCTGGTTTGCATTACTATTTCCCCAAATATCTCTTGTATTTTTTACCTCTATGAGATCTCACTTGACGCCCAACACATATTAGATAATCTCAATCTTGGCTTTAAAAAATTGCTGCATTGAAACTCCAGCAACATCATCATCAAAGCCCTCAAAACAGAACAAGCCCGAAACATTAAAAAAACTGGGCTGATATGAAAATCTGTCGGCATCTCGATGACATAAGCATTAGAGCTTATTCTTTTCAGCACCTTACATAGCCCAAACTTCTACAACTTTAACCTATGATTAGTTCGCTTCGGAAACCTTCCTTGCCTCAAGTGTACCATGACTAAGTCTCCCCCTTCAAACTCTTTAACTTGATGATGTTGATAAGCTGCATTAGCATAACCTCCATTGTTTGCTTTCAAGACTGCCACCCATAGTCACCTAAATCGCGGTACATTCTGGTACGGGTATGAAATTCGCTAGAGGTGACGAATTCGGTACGTGGGGGGGGGGGAGGTTCATTTCGGTACGAAGCGGTACGGTGTACCATGTTTTCGGTTCAGTGTATCGAAAATCAAAACATAAGTAAACACGATTTCTGAATATCAAAAGATAACGATAAAAAAGGTTAGTAGATAAAAGGACTCAAAAAATAAAACTACAAAAAAAAACATAAGAGCTGGGGCGAATAAGACCGAATACATGGTGTGACTCCACACGCTAAGTTGAAACTTGAAAGCTACTAGGAGACTCAGAGTAAATCAGAGGCTTATTTATACAAAGCGCAGTGGAAACAAGCATCGTTTGTGAGGAGTCGCGTCAACTGAAGGGTCGCGTCAATTGTTTTTTTGACATGTGACTTTCGTTCCCATGGAATCGCTGATCCCAGGCGATAGTACTATTTAGCTTGGCGATTGACTGAAGGATTTCCAATCTAGCATGGGATTTGAATCGGTAACCCTAGGTCGATCTGCGGAAGCATACAGATCAGATCACGATTTTGACTACCATGGGTACGCCGTACCGGCTACGATCGGATCGCAATCGTATTGTGATTGGGTACGTCTCGTACCAATATGGAAGCCGCGGCCCAGGGAGCGAATTCTGTGACTATGCAGCCAGCCAGCCAGCCACCACTTCTTGATGAGGTTGTTGTATATGATCAGCAAAAGATTTTCCAAATGCAGCTTCAAAAGGAGTCTTCTTAGCAGTCCTATCGCCCATCAGTTTGTGGATGACAAGTGCGGGAGAACTTCAAGTGGGTTTGGTTTTTTCTTTCACAAAGTTCGCCAAAAGTGTCTTACAAATTAGACATCTCTAGAAGAAAGTAAAGATTTATGCCCACCATGTCGTACAGTCTTTTTTTTCTTCAAAAAGTGCAACAATATGACTGTATGAGTAGCATCACATGTTTTTGAACAAGAAAGGAAAATTTTCAACCTTTGAAAAAACCATCCACCACAGCAAAAAATGAGTCATAAACCTTCGCTATCTTTTGTATTGGGGCTGTTCACTTGTTCAGTTGGGCTTATTAAGGCTGGAACTTCAATTAGGGGCTATTCAGTCCAACTTAATTTCAGTACTGTTCAGTTCAGCATTGCTTAGTTCAATATTACACTACAATCAGTTCTGCCCAATCCAGTATCATTCACTTTAATGGACTACCATTAAGTTCAATTTCTTTCAACACTATCAAACGGCCCCTAGCATGTCAATCCTTGAGTTTTTTTTCCTTCTAAAAATTCAAAAACTATAATGCAATACGACCTTAGTTAACCACTACCTCTTTATAATCCAAGTAATGCGCCCAATGTCGAGTGGTTCTCACAAAAGCGTAGGCCTCTAGGTCATAAGTGGAATGATGCCCTTCAGCATCAGATACTCTCTTGCTGAAAAAAATAATGAGAGGCCTTTCATCTTGGATGAAAACATCCCCAATTCCTTCTTGAGATGCATCACTTGCAATGGTTCATAACTTCAGAAAATATTTTGTGTAAAAATAGGTGCTGCTTTCATCAAACTCTTACCATCTCCAAAGCATTCTGACCATTGAAAGGTTTCTTTCTTCAGGCGTCCGGTAATAGGGACCAGAATAGTCCTGAAATTCATGATAAACCTTGTACGAAATGAAGCCAGCCCATAGAAGCTTAGAAAGTCTAAAATTTCAATGCCATCAGCAGTGATAACGAACCCCAACAACACAAGCTTACACAAGAAAGTGCATGTCTTCAAATTGATAAAAAAAGCTCCTTTTTAAGTATGTCCAGTACTTGCTGCAAGTGATATAGATGTTCCTTCTCTAACTATATATTAATATGTCATCAAAATAAATGACAACTGAAGAATTCAAGAATGGATTGATTACCTCATTCATGACTTACATTTATGTGCTTGGTGCGTTTGAGTCTTTGAGATGCCAAAAGGCATCAATAACCACTTATAAAGACCATCTGTCTTCCACTGATCCTCATCTCTCAATGGGTGCCCTCTGTTAAATCAATCTTCAAAAAGCACCTTTGAACCTGCAAATTGATCAACCAGCATATCATTTAACCAAGGAATGTGAAACTGGTATTTTGTAATAATACTGTTAATTGCTCTACTGCACACGCATCCTCCACACACCGTCCTTTTTTGGTGCCTGTAAGGCTGGGCGCGGATGTGAACTTAAGCTTTCACACACTAAACCCTTAGTCAACAACTTGTCTTCGCATTTCAGTAGTCAACTCGCTGATTTTGTGGATTTTGATAAGCTGGTTGATTTGGTTAAGGAGCATCCAGTACCAAATCAATGGCATGTTGATTATCTCTCATGGGTGGTAAGCATTGGGCCGGCCACACATCTACACTAAAACATTAAATTTGCCAAAGAATTGTTGAATTTCTGGTGCTTGCTCACAAGATTCTCCAACCTGATCAATCGTCCTGACTTTAGCCACCAAGTTACAAAAACCGGTTCACAAGATTTCTAGTTTTCTATCAAAATTCAAAGAGAGACATCAAAACAGATACTGTAGAAATGTATAATAGACTAATACTAAGCTTAACCATGCAGTCTTCTAGTAGAAAAATGTTAATAAAGCTCATGTGTGATTTTTCTTTACCCTACCAGCTATTATACTGTTCAGTACATGAATGAACAATCTAAATATTTTCAGTATGGGATTGGAAAAGCTTTTAGGTTTGTTTCAATATCTTATAAAACCATTAGCGTAGGGAAAAATTTTTATGTCTTGCTTTTCTTAAGTTGCCATGCATGCCTTTCCATCATGTTAACTTATCTTCTCTTGGATCAGAGATTGCACTTGCAAGTGTGTCAAACACTCTAACTTGCACAAAGTAATTTTCGACTTCTGATATTTTTTCCTCTTTCTGCAGCTCTGTGTTCCTGGATGCACAAGACTAAGCATCGACGGCATTATGAACATTTTAGAGGCTTTTAACTCAAAACAGGGAAGTCGCATAAGGCACCTGAGAGTCGGTGGCCTTTACGGCATGACTCATGAACATTATGAAAGGTTAATGACCTTGCTACGCGCAGATAGCCTCAACCAGAAAAGCGATCACAACCCACATTTTTATTCATGGAGGAGCCGTTATCGCTTGTGTGATGATGACCGTCCTCTTGACATTGAACCTTGCCCAAAGTGTGACCAGATACGGCTCGTGTACCATTGCCCGTCCGAGGTTTGCCGGGCGAAAGACTCTTCAACTCAAGAATGCCGGGCGTGCATTATTTGCATCCCAAGGTGCATTGAGTGTGGCAAGTGCTTCGATGATGGCCCCTACGAAGAAACCTTTTACCTTGAAAAAGTCTGCGCCGATTGCTTCAATCGCATGGAGAACCAAGGTGAGGGGGATGTTGGTGGTGGTGGCTCACATATGCATCTCAATCCATGTGAGTTTAGCCAAAACATTTGCATCCGCGGCTAGATGGAAGCGTTCGTGGGGGGAGTCTCAAATCTTAATAAGGTAATTTTTTATGTGCAAAATACTACTTGCAAATTTAGTGTGCTATAATAAAAGTCATGAATAAGCTCGTTGACTCGATTTACGTTTTAAATAAACGACATTTTTCCTTAAAATGAAGGGATTCTAAAATCTTTTTACATATTTGTATACCATTTGTGTGTATGTGTGTAAGCATGAAGCCATTTTCTCTCCCACCCATTTTGTGTTTGTAAATTGTGTTCTAGTGAAATTAGTGAACAAGATTTGAGTGTTCAATTCTTACTCTTCTTAGTTTTGTGCCCTCTTTATTATGTTGAAATCGAAATGTTTTGTTTGTGTATAGTTTTTGTTTTTTCTCTTCAATTATTTATGTTAGAGTATGATTTTTTGAGTTCTAATTAATTAATGAACAAAAATTGATATTAACGCAAGCAAATAAAGCATTTTAAGGGTCTTATTTCAATTTTTATATACCAGTTGTTCAATTTTAGGTTTTAGTGTTCTGCTTTTTATTAAACTTACTATTGCATCTAGACTTTTACTTGACTTTTGTTAAAGATTTCTAGTTATTAGACTTCAGCTAAAATTAATATGAAAAAACAAGACTTAAATGATTTTCCTTGTTTTTTTCCGGTAATGTGGATCTCCTTACTAATTAATTTCATGGCTTTTCAGTTTTCAAGTTGTCATTTTCATATTCTTGAGTCTTTTCTAGTTTTCTTGTCTACAAGTATTTATTTTCAGTTTTGTTCTGTATAGTATTTTCTAATAAAAACTACAATTAACTTTTAATGAAGTTTAGTTTAACCAAGCAAATGCATTATGTTAACACTTTTAGAGTAATGATTACCTGTTTGGGAATATCGTTAGATATTAGCGTTGGCGTTTTTGATAAAATTTCAATGGTGCAAATTGATTTGAAAACACTAATGTTAAACGCTGCTCGTAGATAATCTTTTCAAAACGCGAACGATAATTTCTAACGCTATTCCCAAACAAGTCCATAGTCTTATTAAGAACATATTTTACCATATACGGAGTATAAAGGAAAGGGTTAAATTTCTCTCTGTTTTTTTTTTTGTATTTTTAGTCATTTTCATATCTATTATACCCTTTTAATCTTGTTTGGATTTTCAATTAAGTTAGTGGGGTTTTAAAATCCAATGTTGCCTTGGGGATTATTCTAATTTGTAAGTTGGACAAAAGAAAAATAAAAGTTTAAAAGAGTGATTACAATCCACTCAACTATAAAGTCTTACTACAATCCTTGAGACATAAACCATCTATCATCTTTATTTATCAGATCACTGTCTCCATTATTATTTTTTCTATATATATACTACTTATAATTAATATTCTGTCCGTTCCTAAATAACTGTGGAGCATCTACTATGACTTTTTAGATACATTAAGAATGAAATAAATGTAGACATAATGTTCGTCTACATTCATTCAAATTTTATTGTTTATTAAAGATCATAGTAGACAATTATTTAAAAACGGAGAAAATATTTTGGGAGTCCAGATCAAGCATTCACAATGGAACCACCTGCAGAACCAACAACATCAAAACATTTGTTAATTGCAATAGTAAAACCATTTTTTTAATTCACAAAAATAAAAGCAATTAATAAGTCATAGATATAGCTTATACGGATTATGTGACATGAAATTAAGGATTAATACAGATTAGAAATTGATTANAAAAAAAATACTCCCTTCGTCCCAAAAAGTCCGACACATTTCGAAAAAACTGTGTCCCGTAAAGTCCGTTACGTTTCTATTAAAAAACCACTTTTACTCCTTATTTTTCATACCTTGCCTATTGCATCATACATTTTTTCTAATAATCTACCCATCACATCCTACTTTTACCCATCACATCAAGGGTATTTTTGGAAAGTCAACACCAAAATATTCCTCCCTTAATTTTTTAAAAAGTCAATATGTACCAACCTTTTTTGGACGGAGGGAGTACTACGTACAAATCAAACAGAAAGTGTAGAGAACCAAATTAATTCCAAACAAAACAATACTGGTTACTCCGTATAACAAATCCAAACGAGAGCTAAACCGGTTGGCCTGATTGCCAAGTCTACTACTTCAAGCTGCAACTAGTTAAAAACACACTAAAATTTTGAAAATTGTAGTGACACTTTTGTAAATATGGGGACGGTTCCCATGCCATTGCCTGGCCATGTCATGAGACGACCCGGGGGCTCTCCGGTTCTTCGTTCATAAAAATTGTCGGTTCCTAACCCTCGGTAAACCTCTACCCCGCCCCGACCCGAACACACTCCCTCACCCCCTTCAATTGCACCCCACAAGTTGATTTTGACTTTGGAGTCAAAATATAGGGTGCAAAATCTTTTTCACCACTGCAAGATTCTTTTTACTATCACAAAATTACACAGAGAGAGAGAGAGAGAGACATATATACCATTAGGGTGCACAACTTGGCCAGTGATGTAGGAAGCACAATCATTGGAAGCCAAGAAGACATAAGAAGGAGCAATCTCATAAGGCTCAGCTGCCCTATCCAAGGGCACTTCACTCCCAAGCTCTGCAATCTTCTCCGCAGGCATGGACGCCGGTTGCAGCGGGGTCCACACCGGACCGGGGGCCACCGCGTTCACGCGTATTCCTCTGCTTATCAGTTGCTGCGACAAGCTCCTCGTGAACGCGACAATGGCCCCCTTGGTTGAGCTGTAGTCCAGCAGGGTTTGATTCCCTTGATATGCTGCAAGTGATGCTGTGTTTATGATGCAGCTCCCTTCCTTCATGTGCCTCAAAGCAAACCTGACCCGAAAATATTGGGTTTTGAACAAAAATTTTGTTAGCGGAACCCGAAATGACATACTGAAAATGGGTCAAATCCGACCTGACCCGCCCACTAAGTTGAAGTTTTTCCAACCCGGACCCGAATTTGCTCGAAGTAATCCAAATCCAAATGGATCGGACCCAAACTAGACCTGACACACCTTTTTGCCAGCTCTAGATATGGGTCACTCAAAATGTTAGGAAATGAGTTGGGTAACGAATGTGAATTTACCGTCATGTCCTTGGGAAGTTAACTTTAACTTTTACACTGAATAGATATGATGGTAAATTCACGCTCGGTCAAGAACTAGACCTGACCGACATGTTTGTTAATGGGTCACTCAAAATCTCTTCTACAAAATTTTCAAAAGAAAAAAATGCAAAATCAAAATATGCATTACCTTGACATGAAGAAGTGAGAAAAAATGTTGGTTTTAAAGACCCTCTCAAGTCTACTTTGAGTGATATCTTCAATGGTAGTGGAATAATATTGCTCAGCAGCATTGTTAACCAAAATGTCAATCTGCCCATATTCACTTAAAACTTGGTCAACAACCTGTTTGCAATTCTCTTCAGACCCAACATCAGTGGGAAGAGCAATTGGGTCTTTTGCTCCCTGTGCCTTAATTCCATATAACATCTTGAGAGTTTGGTCCTTGTCCTCATCCTCTTGCCCTTTAACATATGTAAAGGCCACAGTTGCACCCTCTAATGTGAAATAGTAGGACACTGCCCTTCCTATGCCTGAGTCACCCCCTGTTATTAGGGCTACCTTTCCCTGTCATTGGTTACACAATTTCCTCACCATTAACAAAATTGGAAATTTCACAACAATATTCAATAAATGACACAATTGCTCCCAAACATATTCCTCCCGTTTCAGAGAATTCGCTCAGTTTGTATTGTTTTGAGTCAAATTGGACAAAATATAATCATCAGTTACAATAAATTCACATTGCAATTAGTATAATGAAATAAGTTCTAAAAAGTTCTTTCGCGAGATTAATCTAGAAAAGTTTGCTCCATATAGGACTAAAAGATTGTACGTTTCCCCGAATATGGCCAAATATGTTTTATTCCCCTTATGGCACATACTTTCATATGATTAGCCATATATGCCCTTATTAGCAAAAAGTGTTGGATAATGACTGATTATACGAATGACTCTACGAATGTGGTCATTAGCAACATGTGTTAGATAATAACTAATTATTTCAAATTATTTTTAATCATGTCTTATTTTACTTGAACTGTGTAATACTCCGTAGATCATTTTTCTCAAAGGCATGATATTTTAGAACTTTTCATTGTCAAACGTTAGAGTAGATAAGATTGTTCCTATTTAGAGGAAAGTGATATATTTAAGTACTGTTTGCGTAAACTACCCATTAATCTAATGAAGTCATTTTTTGTACTAACATGGAATACATTTTTCATTTAAAAAATGATCAAAGTTTTTCCAGTTTGATTCGAAAAAAACAAAATAGACAAATAGTCTGGGACAGAGATAGTATATCAATTCTGAGAGCAGGAAATCCCAGGAATATTAATATAAAAAATTGTGCAATTCTAGGAGTATTGAGTGTTCATTCTTCTTCTTCTTCTTCTTCTTCTACTTCTCAAAAAAAGCTATATCTAAAAATTAAAATTAAAAACTAAAAATTGAAAATGCAAGATTTAATTTAAAAGTATAAATTACTTGGAGCTTGGAGGAGGGCTTATAGTTAGGGTTGAAGGACTGGGGGAGTGGGTGCATCAAATATTCTTTGCCTGGCTGCTCCTCTTGGGCCTGTGCTGGAAACCTATAACCTGGTTCCAATTGGCTCCCCATTTCTCACCACTTTTCTTTTTTATATTTATTTTCTCACACAAGCCAAAATATATAAAATTCCTTTTGCCGAATTAATTTGTTATTTCCATGGTCTCGACCTGTACTTAGGCCTTTTATATATAGAAGCAAGCAATAAATTTGAATGGAAAAAAATAAAAATAAAAAGAGGGTTTCCGTAGCTAGGTAGAATTAGAATAACGACGACGTGTGGCTTTGAAATTGAGTTGGAGAGGAAGAAGGTGAGGGCGACTGATATCTTCTTTCGTTTTCGTGATATAACACTTCTCTTTGTAGTTTTTTTATAATTTTTGAAGACGGTATAAAACTGTTTATAAGCAATTTTAATTTGTAAGTCATTTTTTTCGAGGACAATTCCCATGATATTGTCAGGATCGTGGCGGGGTGTGTCGAGGCGTCTGGGGGATTTACCGAGGGGTAAGAATCATTAATTTTACGAACGGGGTACCGGATCGCCTCCGGGTCATCCCATGACACGGGGTTCCAATGTCATAGGAACCCCACCCATTTTTCTATACTTATATTATAAGCTGACTTATAAGTTGTTCGTATGTAAGTCAGTTGTTTCGTTTTTCCGTTTTGATTAGATTATTTAATTTACAAATTAAAACAATCTCTCATCTTTTTCGAATATTCTTCAAATAACTTCTCTCTCATTTGAAGCATTTTACTTACTTTTAAGAACTTTATAAGAAACTTATAAATTAAAAATTATTTATCAGCAATAACTCAATATGCACTAGCACCGAGAAACACCGCATAATCATAATGAAAAACTATTGTTGGTAACTTTTTTTTATTAATGTTAGCATTTTGAAAAAAAATTAACAGTCTTGGTTATTGTTTAAAATGTTACTCCCTCCGTCCCGGAATATTCGTCCAGTTTTGACTTTTGGAACTGTTCATCTAAGCACTTTGACTCATCAAATTTTCTCAATGTGTAAGCCTAAATATAGTCATGTGTGATCTTGTTTGATTTGTCTTAACATATAGATTATTAATATATAATTTCTATAATTTTTTAATATACAAATTATAAGATAAAATGGATTAAAGAAGTGTATTGGATGGTGTGTAAAAATGAAAGTGGACAAATACTCTGGGACGGAGGTAGTACATTTTAACATTATCGTTAGATAATTTTTTTAAAACTATATTATGCTTCGAAGTTATTTACGCTTTGAATATTCACAAGCTCAAAATGCACAAGCTCAAAAATGTACTCACAAACATGTTTAAAACCATCAATTAATCTCTTTCAAATATTCAAAATGCTTTAAACAAAATCGGAAAGGATTTGGGCCAAAATAGAAAAATTGAAACAAGTACCCATGACCTCACTACTGTCAGCAAGGACCTTACTATCGTGAGCCAGAACCTCACTACTGACCGTGACCCATACCCTGAAAAACGATTTGGCCTATGACGGTCACATCCACTCTCGTGTGTACCATGTAGCGGTATCTACTATATCGTGTGACGATACCTCAACTTCCAATTCCATTGGGAGAGTTTTCAAAGTACAAATTTTGCATTTAATTGCGTTTTATGACACCAAAATCTTACAGATCAAGCTCCAACGGTCTTAAATGTCACTAACCCTTTTTCAATAAATATGGTTTTAATGCTTCATTTTCAATCAAGAATCTAAGCTCTAATTTCCCATTTTTATATTCTAAGTGTATTTTTACTCTTGTTCTTATTTCTTTATCTTTTGAACAAAAAGAGCATTGATTAAAATCCTGATTTTACACACACGTTTTGAGCTTGTGATTATAAGTATGTACTCTCACATTAATAAGTTGATCTGGTATCTTTTAAAGAGTATAATCTTCACTCTTCAACGGTTAAGGATTGATCGTTATCGCTCTATCATAAAGCAATTTGTAGAATTTATTTTCTCTATCCTTCATACACATTGCACTAAGGGGCTGTTTGGCAACTTCTGAATCGGTAAGTGCTGAACCAGTAAGAGGTCTGAACCATTAAGTGCTGAACCAGTAAGAGGTCTGAACCATTAAGAGCTAGTATATTGCTTAACTATTCAGAGGCAAATGTCTGATCAATTTAGATAAGAGGTCTTAACCATTCAGACTCTGTATAATACTTAACCATTCAGAGGCAAATCACTTAACCATTCAGACATCTGAACCATTAAGAGGCTGAAACAAACAGTCTGAACCATTAAGTGCTGAACCTTCAGACATCTGAACCATTAAGAGGCTGAAACAAACAGCCCCTAAGTTGTAATGATTGAGGAATGAGGATAGCCTTAGAAATCTTTGCATGTGAAAGCTCAAAGATAGTCTTGAAATCTTCGTGGGGAAAGATTGAAGATAACCTTCAAATCTTCATTGCAACGACTCTTTGACCACAAAACTAATTTGTAACTTTTAAAAGTTCGAGTACTATTTATCCACTTATGATATGTATCTCGGCTTTTTTCTCTAATTTACACAACCAAACTCTTGTACACGCACACACTCAATAATACAGAGGCACGACGTCAGAAAATGACTTTGTATTATATCGAGAAATGTACAAGAGAGGTTACAATTACACAAGTAGCACATAGTACTCTTTGTTTTGAGAGCACTTCTCTACACTTCACTCTCAAGAAGCCTACTTTGTTCTCACTCTTGGATTGTCAAATGTGACATGCACACCCCTATTTATAATCATCACCAAGGCTGCTAGGCTTCTCTAGAATCTTCTAGAAAGACTTCAAGAGCTTTCATAATGTTCAAGAAGAATCGTGTGTCGAAAGTCTATCTGACAAGTGGTGGTCAGGCGACGTGTCCCGTTTGGTGTTAAATGCAGTACAAGATGATTTGCCTGATCAAATGGTGTGACCTTAGCAGATTGGGGGTCAATTGTATACCTTATGACGAAAGTATTCCCGACAAGAAGAGATTGGACGACATGTCCCGCAGGTGTGTAGCGGGTGCAAGTTGGTGTGCAGATGAAACAGATTATCGGTGAAGGGAAGGTCAGAAGTTGTGGCCTGTGTAATCGGTAGTTTGAGGGGAGAGGTGTGTTCGTCGGCAAACTCCCTTCCACACCGGGGATTAAATGAAAGATAATCAATATCTATATGATTACCTATCTATATTAGTATGAGGCCTTTTGAAAATACTTAGACCCAAAACAGATTAAAATCACACTAATGCGAGATTTGGGTGAGAGCACGCGCAATCCCAATACTTTGTGCATATAATTCAAATATTTTAGAAAACTAAAAGCAAAAGTATGTCATTTCACCGGGACGAAAATATAATTAACTGTTAAAAACAATACTAATAATAATCAATGTTAATTTTAATATTAATACTTTGTTTCATTTATCTCCCGATTAATTGTTGTTGTCTGCTGGTCTCTTGGCAAATTTCTTCACCCATTGAAGGTCAAGAACTTCTTTGCAGCGTTGCTCTTGCCGGCATTGTCCCGGTTTCCCTTTCTCCGGCCGCCATCGCCCGCCGCCGGGAGCGGCTCCGGGTCCCACTGGTCAGCCCAGGACAGCCCCTCAGACTTGTAATCGTCCATGGCTGCTGCCTGATATAATTACTATTGTTTTCTCCTTTTTTTTCTTTCTTCAACTTTATTATATTAGAATTATTCTGGGAAAATTTTCAAAAAAGTAACGCTCTTTATTAATAAGTTTGGGTTTAAATGGATTATAACAGATTTATTTCTGCGTTTTATCCGTTTTTAGAGGAGAAAATTGAGCAAATTGTCACATTTTCTCAAGCTTATGGTTTGAATTCAGCTCACTCTGCACCTCTAACTTTGTCTGTGCCAAATAAATTTGATGAGTTTCTAAAGAAAAAATTCATTGTCATTATAAAAAAGACAAATTACAAATTGTAATTAAATTAAAAGGGATGGGTAATGAATTTGTAATTAAATACTCCCTTCGTCCACAAAAAAACTTCCCATTGTACGTTACGATGTTTGACTGAAATTATTTTTAAAGTCATTTTATATGAAAAATAGTGTAAAATTAAAAAAATTACATATTAAAAAACTATATCAAAAGATCTACAAAATTAGAAGTGACACAACTATATTATTTTATCTAAAGAATAACGAAAATAGACCAACAAAGTGAATAAAGGTTGACTCATGTGAATAGTAAACGAGAAGTTTATTTGTAAACGGAGGGAGTATCTAAAACATATATGGAGTATATGTAATTTAGATCATGACTAAAGTTGAAATTCAAATTTAATTTATGAGGAATTCTCAAGTCACAAATAAAAGGGTCGTGGAATGCAAAATATACAAATTAGTCATTTATAAATTTTAGTTCCAACTTTTTTATTCATTGAAACTATTGTATTCTTTTGGCGAGTTTTTAAATAACAAGTATCCCACGGGGTAGTTTGAGTAGCAAAATGAGATTTTCTGTGAAGAGAAAAGTCGAAGTTCGATTCCCATAGGCCACGAGCTCCCTTACCTCGCGAACGGATTGATGAATAGTTGAATAGTCTCAAATGGTAGGATAGACGGAAAAAGATCATAACCTTATTGTTTACACATACACAAAATTCACTTTCATAATTGAGTATCTGTCTAGTTTTAACTTTTTATACTTAACCAAGATTGATATTTGACCATTAATAAGATAAAAATAATATTTTACATGATAAATCAAATAAAAATATTTTTACATTATCACTTAAATTCTAATTAATTAATGGTGAAAGTGAACAAATTTTTATAATTTTGTAGGAGTACATATTTTGTGACACAAAGAATCTTAGATTGGTCGACGATTTCACCGTCGATCTGCGTCTAGTCGAGTTCCGGCCACACATAGCAAGCTATGTACATATCGGAAAAACCTCAGCCCATCGGCTTCTACAAAGATGCAGCATCCGCCGCCGCCGACCACCACCGGGAGGTAATCATGGAAGTCACCGCCGACGCTAATGTACCGCTCCCACCCAACCATCGCCCGCCACTTCTCCTTCCTAGCGTCGGCAACGGCGGGGACACGACCAGTAGCGGCGGAGAGGACAACGCCGCCCTGAACCCGTCGCCCGAACTGAGGGCTCCCAAGAAACGGGCGGAGACGTGGGTTCTGGACGAGACCCTAGCGCTAATCAGCCTCCGGAGAGAAATCGACTCTCTCTTCAACACCTCCAAATCGAACAGACACCTCTGGGATCGGATCTCCATGAAGATGAGGGAGAAGGGATTTGATCGGTCGCCGACCATGTGCACTGATAAGTGGAGGAACTTGCTCAAGGAATTCAAGAAGGCAAAGCAGAACCACGATCGAAATGGGTCTGCTAAGATGTCCTGTTACAAAGAGATTGAGGAAATTCTTATTGACAGAAACAAGAATGGTGGTGTCCATAAGAGCCCTTCTGCTCCCAAAGTTGATTCCTTTATGCACTTCACTGAAAAGGGTATTCTATTTTCGGTTCCTACCCGTTGTTCTTGCATTAATTTTGTGCTCTAATTGGTTGGTAAGGGCTGTAGTTAAGATACATTTCATAATTTCTAGGTACTTTGATTGGATGGTTAAAATGCCTAAAGGAATTAGTTTAACTGGTTGAATTTGAGTTAGATTTATTTTTGCTCTCTTAAAATGAGAGTATGTTTTTTTTTTTTGTTTTTCTTGGGATGTTGTCCTTGAATGAGACCATGTGCCATTTTATAATGCCTCTAGATGAGTGATTGTGCTTGATTTGCATGAGTGAAGGGTGTTGTTTGTATTAAAAATGGTGGGGGGAGGGGGTGATTGTAAGAGTAAGTACATGATTCTTGATGCTTTTAGATACAATGGAAGCTTTAAGTTGAGTAAGTTTGGTGGTTTTGTTTTAGTATTGATGTGTGTGGTGTTCAAAATGTTAATGCTCCAAGTGTGATAGCTTTGGCATTTCATCTCATTTCATTCCTTTAGAAGGTTGCAGGGCACGTGAGACTTTGGTAGCGTTTTTTTGTTTTGCACAAGAGCATAGTTTTTTCACATTAGGCAATTAAAAGACACAATAAATTCCATGGCATCGGCTCATGGTATATTTGAGGTTAAAATGGCGGTGAAGGGGATGAGTATTAGACAAGCACTGATAATAAGGTATTTCAAGTGTTAGTGTTATAAGAGTATGGTCAATTTAGTTGGTGGAAGCTGGCGTAAGGGTCTTTTATCTTTATTTGGGACATTGTGTTTTCGACTCATATTAAATCTTGTGATTGCAATGGAATTAATTTTCTGTGAACCCTTTTGTGTTAAAATTTATTATACATGTATCACTTCAGACCTTGTTTTGATTTATAAGCTAATATTCTTCGTTTGCGTTCTCATGCAGGCCTAGATGATGCCAATATTACATTCGGACCAGTTGAAGGTACGTGCTCGGAAACATTAGTTTTATGCCATTAACCTAAGTACGGATTGCGTTGTGAAATTGGAACTTGTGTTTTCTTCAAAGGTGTTTGTACAGACAGTGGCAGGCCAACTCTCAACCTTGAACGGCGTTTAGATCATGACGGGCATCCTCTGGCCATTGCCGCCGATGCTGTTACAGCCAGCGGTGTTTCGCCTTGGAATTGGAGAGGAACTCCTGGAAATGGTTGGNTTTTATGCCATTAACCTAAGTACGGATTGCGTTGTGAAATTGGAACTTGTGTTTTCTTCAAAGGTGTTTGTACAGACAGTGGCAGGCCAACTCTCAACCTTGAACGGCGTTTAGATCATGACGGGCATCCTCTGGCCATTGCCGCCGATGCTGTTACAGCCAGCGGTGTTTCGCCTTGGAATTGGAGAGGAACTCCTGGAAATGGTTGGTCCTTTTATATATATATATATATATATATATATATATATATATATATATATATATATATATATAGGAACTGTATTATTACTACTTCAATAAAATTTTATTATCGTGGATTTGAAACATGGTTTATAAAAATAGGGCCCGTTTCGCTCTATCCACTTCATTTATAAAACTAGACAAGTTTACCCTTCAAAGTGTCTTATAAATGGGGTGTGAATTTAGAAGCACCCAAATTAAACTTCACACTTCTCACCTTTCTTTTTCTAGGAAAAAAATGTGGCTCAAAACATTTCTTTCCGTTTCAATCAAATTCCTACTACACTTTTCACTAGTTAGCAGTTGTTGGAAACTCCGTGAAGAAGTCAAACTACGAATTTAGTTTGGGAATTGTGAAGTTTTCTACCTTTTTTTGCCCTTCAGGTGATCAAGGCAATGTCTTTGAGGGCAGAGTGATTTCAGTGAGGTGGGTGGATTACACCAAGAGAATCGGGATTGATGGGACCGCAGAGGCCATTAAAGAAGCGATCAAATCTACTTTTGGATTGAGGACAAAGCGCGCCTTCTGGCTTGAAGATGAAGACAATATAGTCCGAGCACTCGACCGTGATATGCCTTTAGGGAACTACACTTTGCATGTTGATGAAGGTAATGTCATTGTATTGGCTCCCACCCCCTACTTTGCACAAACTATTCAAAAAAGTGCCACCTCTTGTCCCCAAAATGTCCCTGTTTGGATACTTTGTTAAATTTGGAAAAGCTGGTTTTTCCCCTTTCCCGACCTTGTCCCCGTATGAGTACACAACTTAGCCCTTCCCCACCCCCTAAATAAAAAAGGAAGAATACCACTTGGTGTACACCAGTGCTTTGCACTGGCACACTGATGGCACACACCAGCACAAAACTCACTGGCACAAAATGTCAGTATAAAATTTGTGATCGCACTGACATTTTGTGCATGTGTGTGCCAAGCCAGTACAAAGCGTTGGTGTACACCAAGTGGTGATGGTTGAAAAAGAAAACCGGTAAAAGGGACTAGCAATGAAATATGGTTTCGTATTTTCAGGTCTAACTATAAAAATATGTTTGTACGAGGACACGGAAGACGTGGCATTTAATACAGAAGAAAAGACGTTCTACAACGAGGACGACTTCCGTGAATTCTTGTCGCGCCGTGGGTGGAGATGTCTACGAGACAATTACCGGAATATCGATAGCATGGACGAGCTTTGCCCTGGTGCTCTATACCGTGGCGTGCATTAACTTTTGTACTTACTTTTACTGTCTTGTTATACAATGTGGTGTATATATATATATATATATGTTACATGCATACACTTTGGCCTGGTGTCATCCAGAATGTAGCTGTTAGTGTCAATCAGGTGTTTAGGGGGGGAAATATTTTGTAAGATGTTTGTGTCGCCTTTTGGGGTTTCAATGTAAAAAAGCTGTCTCTAAAAGTTATCCCAAAGAGCTTCATTCACGATTTGTTTGAGAACATTGTTTATGATTGTGTTAGTGTTTTTAAAATATTTCAAATGGTGCAGATTAAGTTTAAAAAACATTAAAGTTAAAAACTATTGGGAGCATTTTGAATGATTTTGAAATTGCTAAAAAAAACAATGCCAAAGATGCTTTAGCTACAAAATCATTTTATATACTCCGTGTATATATATATATATATATATATATATATATAATGGATAATGTGAATTGATAATGGCCCTCTCACATTAATAGTACAAACAAGCAAACTGTGAATTGATAATTCACATGATTTGAAACAAATAGGGAAAAACAAAAACAAGACTTGATGATGAACAACAAATGAGACCATAAACTCAAAGGCTGTTGTTATTTTTTCACTTCAAGCCTCATCCCACTCATCATTCTTGTAAGACACCAGAGTGTCAACCTTATGTATCTGCACCAGATGCAACAAAAAAAAACCCCAAAAAGAGTTAGCACAAAAAAGAAATATTCAGAAGATTTTTATATGCAGGTGGGTTATTTCATTTCAGGCACAGCACCTTGGTGTCAAAGGAATGCAACTTGACCATCTGTGGATTTTCTATGAGTTTCGGGTCGCTCTCTACCCATGTGAACGGCACTGCAACGTCCATATCCGTGTAGGCCAGCACATCGAACACACCTGAGATTTACCAGAGAAAAACAAAACGAAAAAAAACCAAAAGTTTGTTACAAGAACATAAGAGCAGAAACACAAAATCTTGCAATAACAGATTTGGAAACTGGTCTCATTTGTTTTGAATAACAAATGGGTTCTTCTTACATGGTTCCTCAAGGCATGGGAGATATGTGATGCTGGAAGCTATTTGTCTCATGATGGCCTGAATTTCGCGCATGATTTCTTTGTCGCTCTTCTCCCTTGGAACGCTGCAAATTCGCAAGGAAAAAAAAAACGAACAATCACCCAAAATTTATACTAGTAGAAGCTCATATTGGAAGTTGAAATGAAGAGAGAAGAGAGTGTAGAGGCATATTGTCAAAATTACCCTTTCTCAACAACCTCACTGTCTGTCTCAATGCTGAAATTCCACCTCTCCAACACCTCACCAGTTGCCTTACTCATGATCACAAGAACAGTCCTTTGTAGTTTCCCAGCTTCCAACCACTCTTTGCCACACTCAACATCAAATCATCAGTAAAAACAACAAAGAAGGGAAAAAACATCAAGATTTTAACTTTAGTTGACTAGAAAAAACTATGCCAAATCAAATGATGAAAAGGAAACCAGATTAGATCTTCTTGGAGGATGATTATGACTTACCAGAAAGCTGGGCAGTTAAGTTGGAAATGAAGGCTTTGACACCTTCATCTTGAGTGAGCAACATTGGAAGCCCATACTTCTTCACCTTTGCGAAACTCTCTTCCGGATACACTCCGCGATTGTATAAAATGCTAACCAAAAGGAATTCCAAGAAGAAACCAAAATCAAAACTTCAGCCAAGAAATCATTCAAAAATCCAGTTTTTTATTCATACTATCTCTCGGGTTCATACCTATTTGCAGCATAACCTGGAAATGAGAGACGGATCAACAATAACAGAGAAAACCCAGTCAAGATTTGGGCAAAATTCGAAGAAAGAACAAACCCTAGAAGTGGAAAATGGTTGAGAATAACCGAATTGCATACCGAAGAACTCGCTAACAATGGCTGCTGATCCCCGAAGAGTGATGATGTCTTTGGATACAGTTCTTGAAGCCATGTGTTCTTGAAACCCTGAAACACCAATCGCAGATCGAATTGAAGAACTGACTAGATCTTTTCAACCCGATACGGAGAAGCTTGCTTTCTGAAGGATCCCCCGATTCAGGCTTGGATGAAAACTGAAATTCTCTGAATTTTTTCCGGTTGTTGGGATATTATTATGAAGGATGAAAATGGCCGCCGGTTAGAGTTGAAAACTAAAGGCCAAAAGGCCGAGTAACGGCTAGTTCTCCTTGGGTTTGTGGCTGGGGACTTGGGCCAGGCACAACGGTCAAATGGCCATTTCAAAACTATTTCGGGTTTTTGTTTCTGGGCCATACCCAATAGGCAAACCCCATATTTTTACACATTTCTTAAGACAAAAAGTTGTTGCAATTTCTTTTTTCCTTAAAAAACAATGTACTCCCTCCGTACCAATTTAAATCGCTGTTTTGACTTTTAGGCATATTTAAGGAAAATAAAAAATTGAGTTGATTTTCCGAAATTGACATTACTTTTTAGGAGGGGTGATGATGAATGAGAAGATAAGGTGAAGAAGTGTGACTTATTTTAGGGGTAGGTTAGGTATTTTATTTTTAAAAGTTTACGAAAACAACTAACATGCAACTTATTTTGGGACGGATAAAAAAGGCAAACAAGCAATTTAATATGGGACGGAGGGAGTATTTGTTTATACTTCTAGTTTAGAAAGTAATTGTTCCAATGGGATTCGAATTCTATTTGGTTGACTCACAGTTATTGATGGCTATAAACCACCGAATATATCAAATAATATAAGTTTTAGAGAGAGAGAATGCAAAGTAGGAGTATATTCACTTAGAATTCGGATCTTTTACAATGAGGGGTCTCAGCCCTTTTATAGGGGATACAATACAATTGGTCAAAGCCCTCTAATCGAGGTTCGTCGCTTAGCGGACGTCATCAGCTTCTCCGTCTTGTCCCTTTCATCCTATCGCTATCGCCATGTACCTATCTTCCTGTCGCTGTCATGTGGTATGACTCGAGCCCAGGGGTACCATCCGAGCTCGTAGGCCGAGCCGAGCTCATAGGCCGAGCACAACGGTCCTCCGCGTGGGCGAGGGGCCAGCCTAGGAGTTATCCTCCATCAGTTATGATGCTGGATCGAAAGGTCTTTAGCTCGTATTTCCTAATTTAGTGAACAAAACAATGAGGAAATCATTGAAATTATTTTTGATATTCGAACGTAATTGCTTGGTGAATTATGATTACTCCGTACAATATAATGCTTTTGATATCACTTTTCTTGCAAATATTCGTAGACACGAAAGAATGTGAATGTGCAATGTAAGAAGGGTCGTGCCAAAAGTAATGTAAAAAATGATGTAAAAATGTCATTTTTCTAGCTTGATACTCAATAATAGAATAAACCAAATAAAAGAGGCAGTAAGAGTGTTGACACATGAGCTAAAGATGGCGGTGGTGGTTGGGTGGTGATGATAGTGTGGAGTCGCTACCACTTGTGATTGGGTGGCATTAGAGGGGATATCCAAGTACTTACTACTTATATTTGTCCAGTTTGTTTTTTTCAAATTAAACTCAACAAATTTAAATCTCAATTAAATAAAAATTGTAATGTAGAATATCATATAAATAATTTATTTATATACTACCTCCGTCCCAGAGTATTTGTCTACTTTCATTTTTACACATCATCCAATACACTTCTTTAATCCATTTTATCCTGTAATTTGTATATTAAAAAATTATAGAAATTATATATTAATAATCTATATGTTAAGACAAATCAAACAAGATCACACATGACTATATTTAGGCTTACACATTGAGAGAATTTGATGAGTCAAAGTGCTTAGATGAACAGTTTCAAAAGTCAAAACTGGACGAATACTCCGGGACGGAGGGAGCATATCTTGTTGAGAACGTTTAGACCTTTATTCATTATATTAATATGCAATGCAAATTGAAATTATAAAAGATCATCTAATTTAATATGAAAATGTCAAACTAGACGAAATACTAGGACACTGAGAGCATTTTTTTAATTTTGAATAAAAGATTAATTAAATCAATTTTGACTCAGTCAAAGTTAAACACCTAAATATATAATGTCGGAAAAAGTATTACAAATAAATATAAAAGTTATATCGTGGTATAGATTTTGACACTCTAATTGCAACGGTGCAATCAGAATTTAATTCGGAAAAAATTGGACAAAAAAGTCTACCCCAACCGGAGAAGAAATTGTCATAATCAGTAGGGATCGTATATAATCCCACTGAGCCGCCCCCTACTGATTTCCGCCGACTCTGAGGCTATAAATAGCACCCTTCCATCTTCCTCACTTCCACATAAAAATCCTTCCTTCTTCTTTCATATGAGAGCATATTGAGTGTGGAGAACCCAATGATGTTGTTCGGAGAGCCTGAGGTCGCCGGAGATGGTCGTGGTGATCGTTGGATGTTTCGTCGGAAAATTTTCAAAATCTTCATTTAAGCTCGAAGTAAGCTCCTAGATATATTTAGTGATTAGAATGTTGATATAGGTCGTTTTTACGTTCATAAATGGTCGTTTGGTTAAGTTTTGTGTTTGACATGCTTGAGAAACCAAGATTTATAAACCTTCAATTTGTTGTTAAAAATTCAATTTATTGACACCAAAATGATCTATGAACCTTGGAGAACTTTTCTATATAGTTTAGTTGAAGTTTAGTAGCTTAAAATGATATTTTTGAAAGTTGGACCGAGGTTGAAAATGAAGTACTGTTCATGAGTTCGAACTAGGCGCTGAGACGGTAGTGACCTACTGCCAGACGGTAGCCAGCTACCTCCGGAACAGTAGCAAGGTACTGTTTCGACTGTCAATCATTTGGTGCCCAGTTTCGAAACCAGTAACAGTAGCAGTAACGGTCGACCGTCGCAAACCTTTTCCACCATGAAAAACCTGATTTTGAAGCTATAAAATCCCATTTTTGATATTATTCAACTATAATCAACGTGAATATGATTTCCAAAATTAAAAATGATGTTTTGACAAATTTAAGAACCTTGTGTAATGCATAATGGTAAGCTAGAGTGTTAACACTCGATGCTAAACCGCTACTTGTTATGAGAAATTATGATGTTATTATGGATCCTTGATAGTGATTTTATTAAATATTGATTATGATTAAATCTAATGAATATTCTTATTAAAATGATGATTATGGACAGAAAGAATATATCCTAACCAAATGATTTCACTAAATGCTCTTTCTATTTCATACTTTATTCATCCTAGAATTGGCTGAAATGTAGTCTTTTTTCATCTTGTCCTGAAAAAAATCACTTTCTACATTTCTATAACTCGTTTCTCTCATCTCCATCACTTTCAATCATACGGAGTACAATTTACTTTCTTTAATCCAAGTCCAATCCTTAATCCAAGACAAATGTAAAGCATTTTTACATGGAGAGAATAAAAGAGATATCTACTTTTCTTCCCCTGGCAAGAATTTCAATAATCACAGTATCATATTTTTTAATAATCATGCCGTTGCAATGTGAAGTCTTATTTATTAATATAAAAAAAAGAATTTTTATAGACCAACGAACTGGTTAATATAGGTGAATGCAACTTGGTAACAGCTGAATGCCAAAAAAGGCCTTTAGTAGCTAAAGAGTTCTGTTAAGTTCTTACCTACAAAAAATGGACAACTAACTACCCCACAGATACCATAGCAAGACCTTACAAATTGTTGCATCTCAAGCCCTAAAGGGGTGGGGGAGAGTACCTAAAGGTGGAAGTTACATATGGTCCTTTGTGCCGATTCCCAGTTGTGAAGAACACGCCAAGTGACCATCCTGAAATGATGCCAACATTGTGCACTTCCCCAAGCAGAGAGACATTAGTCCTAGGTATAGATAAACATCGTACTGTTCCGTGCAGGTTAGTTGCGAAAACCTCTGTTTCAGTAGCAGAGTTCCTTCTTTCTACGTCTTCCTCCTTCCTAACTAGGATGTGTTAGACTGGGAGAAAATTTTCAAAACTGACACCTATCTCAGGTTGTTTCCCAGTTTCGGTGTCTACTTAGGATTGGAATGCATGTATAAGTGGAGAATGTTTCCAAGCCAGAGATTAGAATTGGTTAGCCTTGGTGGACCTCCTCAAGAATTCACTCACCAAGTTACAAAATGCAGAAGAACTATCGTCCAGTAGCCGAGCAGGAGAATCATATTCAAGAATTCTTCCTGTACAAACAAAAAGGGTGCCCAGTTAGAGGTGACAACACTCTTGTCTACACCAAGTTGGACACCACACCTTTACACACTCCGCAATAACACGCATACAACAATTTTTTGTGAGAACAATAATTTGTGTGTAGAAAAAGGTGGTGTACTGCTTGGTATACACAAGGACAGTGTATTGAAAAATCATGTTCACATATTACTCCCTCCATCCCACAATGAAGTTTACGGATTGGCTTCACGTAGTTAAAAAAATGTGTTGAAAAGTAAAAGTTGGGTTAAAAATTGTTTAGAAGAGAGAGATGTTATGAGCCACATAACCCTTTCCTAAATAGGAAATGGCACTGTAAAGTTTATTCTGGTACCAACAAAAAAGGAAAGTGTAAACATAATTAGGAATTGCAAGTATTTGGTCAGAAAGTTGTGTGCATTCTTTTTTTTCTTTTTTCTGCATTTTTAAGACTTCACCAATGTGTCTTTCCTCTTTAATACTTATATTGCTTACCTTCATCAAGAACAAGAACAAGATCACTGTCAATGACAGTGGGAATTCGATGAGCAACTGTTATGACTGTGCAATCACTGGTCTCTTCTCTTATTGTTTTCTGAATCACATTGTCAGTTGCAGTATCCACTGAAGCAGTAGCCTCATCAAGAACCAATATTTTCTTCTTCTGTAGTAAGGCCCTCGACAAACAAACGAGCTGCCTTTGCCCTTTACTCCAGTTTTCTCCATCTTCAGCAACTGCACCATACAATCAAGTTTCAAAAAATAATATAGTAATTCTCTGAAGGATTGAAACACGATGGATCTTCTCGTTCCAACTTGTCATGCATACCGGGTGGAAATTATATCATACGCCCTATGTCACTTTTGTAAATTTGTTCACTATTGTTTTTGCTCATTTCTTTTTGGGTTCTTGTAAAAAAAATTGATGTCCTTTGCCAATGGAGGTAAAAAAGTCACAATTGACAATGTTTTAGCTTCGGGTAAATAATAGGCTCCATAAATTAAATTTCCTTCGCTTCTTTCTTTCAATGAAGTTTTGGGTAGTAAATGCAACAATGACCCAAGGCTATAACGGAAAAAGTATGTTTGTATTTTACTTGGGTAAGGTTGTGTTACCTGCGTACATCTTCACCCTCAAACCCCAACTATGTTGAAATTATTCCGGGTTGTGGTTCTTGGGGACATCTTGACCCTCAGTACCCAAGAAAGTTGTTGTTGTGATTACAGTTTTTTTCAATCTCTAAAGAGTGCTCATTCGAATACAAAGATTACTCATTTTACTTTAAGAAAAATGGTCATGTATGTTGGTTGTACAATTATCATGATACACCGGAATGCATTATATATGCAATGATACCTGGGGCATCTAAGAATCTGCAATCCTGTTGTACTATCTCAGCAAGGTGGCATTTACCCAGAACCTGAAACACAGTCGACACAGTAAAGGTTGTCATCTGTTTTATGATTAAGCTATGTAACACTTCTTTATTCATTTTTTACATTCACATAAGTTTACCTGCCAGATATCAAGGTCTGTGTGCTGTTGAAGAGGGTCAATGTTGTTTTCAACATTGCAAAGGTTCCAAATGACCCAAGCTTGAAGAACATTAAGATTTAAGCCATATGTAGCAGCAAGTCCTGCCAAGCCTGCAAACAAATCAATGCTATAATAACCTGATATTAAGTAATGTTCATATTTTATAAGAATCGAGTTATTGTGATATGATCATTGAGCCAAATGGAATCTAATGCATCTATGAGAAACTTACTGGGGTCAATGGCTGATCTTGAAAGGTTGAACAGGAAGTTGATTTGCACGCAAAGCCATTCCATGGCAGCCATGTTGAAAAACAAAGCGCGTGAGTAATTCTCAATCAAAGTCAAGTTCTTCTTCCATAAGCAGTTTCAGTCTCTTCCTGCTGATAGTTTTCCAACTGCTTATCATCACGGGTGAATTCTTCACATTCTTCTATCATTTCAGTCATCAATCTGTTTGGCTTCTGACATGTGTTTATGCAGTTCTTGGAAGGACTGACTTGATTTAGCGATTTCTTGTGTGCAGCCATATGGCTGACAAGATCTGAGGCATCTAAAAGTTCTAATTGGTGTGTGGCATAAATAACAGTTTTGCCATGTAACATGATTTTCTGTTAGGACCAGTAACTTATTAAAATCGAATGATAAAATAAATATATAACTGACTTGCCTTGAAGATATATGAGCACCAGCTTTGGCATCAACAGCACTGAAGGGATCGTCTAAGAGATATATGTCTGAATCACNCCCCCCCCCCCCCCCGCTTAAGTTTATCCCTCTTTCTCCCACCACAGTAAGATCTCCATCCGCCCACATCTCAATATCACGCTTTAAGGCACAGAACATCATGGTATTGGCCTTTATCCATTTCCTTCCCAAATAAAACATTCTCTCTGATAGTTCCGGTCTGAATCTTAATTGTCGACTTGCTCGAGTAATCACTTCCCCACGAATACTCTCCAGGCTCAATCTCAACAGCTTCTTCTCAGTTATCTTAATTGTCCCCACTTCTCTATTGGTCAAGCATGATATATATCAATACCAATGGGAAAGTCATCAACTTTCCAAATGTAGATGTCGAGAGGATAGGAGACTTCTTCTGGCACATTCACGGAATCTGGTTGCTCCCCGTTCAGGTCATTTTTGCTTTGGTAATATTCTACCTGAAATTAGGTGCTGCTCCATCAATTGATGCATTGTCCACCACAGTTATTGTGATGGTGAGCAACATTCAGCTTGCCAGCACGCTAGGCAAGAACAGCTGCACTCCAATATTATGAAAGCTCGAGACTTGAGAGTTAAAGCCACTTCTGAAACATTAAAGAACATCAAAGTCTTAAAACTGCATTCATGGGAATCATAGTTCATGAAGAAGTTGCTTCGACTAATAGAATATGAGAGGAGTGTGCTTAGGAGATACCTGTATACTTGTTCTGCAGTGGCTTTCCTCTTCTGGACTTCACCCATATTAGTGTCGGTTGTGACTTTTTGGTGTTTGCATTGTGCTTAAAACACCTCTAACTGCAGGCACTATTCTTTCAGCTTTAGAAACTTTTCATATCCTGCAAGAGCCTATCTACAATCTCCCTGAACTGATTTCTGTGATTGCTCAAACTAAGGTTTCTGTTGACCGGATGCAATGTTTAAGACTTTGATGTTCTTTAATGTTTTAGAAGTGGCTTTAACTCTCAAGTCTCGAGCTTTCATAATATTGGAATGCAGTTGTTCTTGCCTAGCGTGCTGGCAAGCTGAATGTTGCTCACCATCACAATAACTGTGGTGGACAATGCATCAATTGATGGAGCAGCACCTAATTTCAGGTAGAATATTACCAAAGCAAAAATGACCTGAACGGGGAGCAACCAGATTCCGTGAATGTGCCAGAAGAAGTCTCCTATCCTCTCGACATCTACATTTAGAAAGTTGATGACTTTCCCATTGGTGTTGATATCATGCTTGACCAATAGAGAAGTGGGGACAATTAAGATAACTGAGAAGTAGCTGTTGAGATTGAGCCTGGAGAGTATTCGTGGGAAAGTGATTACTCGAGCAAGTCGACAATTAATATAACTGAGAAATTTACAATCAGAAAGGGTTGCAAGGTAGCCATTTGTGGTTCAATTGGTTCTGGTAAATCGAGCTTACTTTGCAGCATTACAGGTGAGATCCCAGAGGTTTCTAGGCTCAACGTCAAGATAACCGGTTCACAAAGTGCGCGGATTCAGACCGGAACTATCAGAGAGAACGTTTTGTTTGGGAACGCGGTGTGCCTTAAAACGTGATATTGAGATGTAGGCTGATGGAGATCTTACTGTGGTGGGAGAAAGAGGGATAGACATAAGTGGGGGGGATTGCATTGGGATAAAGCAACTGCTGTATCAATGGTGGCTATGGCAATGGCGGCATTTGAATTAACAAATGCATGAAGATGGAGAGGCCCACCGCACATGGCGCCTCTGTTAACAAATAAAGCATCCAAACCCAGGAAACGTTTAGACGATGAAAAAGGGGGTGAAGCCATTTTCCCCATCACTTCCAATCAGACTCGAGGTCTGGTTATATTCGGAAGCTTTTAAATTGCGAAACTGGAATCTGTCCCCAATCTCTCTCTTTCTTTTTCACCTCTTTCTTTCTTTCTTTCTTTCTTTCTTTTAATATAAAACTTTATATAAATATAATAAAAGTTATAAATTCAAAATTAACAAAACTAAATAAAAATATTAACATTAATTATATTAAAAAAATGAAGTTGAGATTGAAAAAGAGTTGAAATTGAGTACATTAAGGAAAAGGGTTTAAAATTTTTTAAACTAGCACTAATACCGTGTTTTCCACGGGCTCGTAAACATTCTAAACTTTTGACATTACATTAAGGTTTTTTTATTTTAGTTTTCTAATTGTGACATAACATGTGTCATATGAATTTTTTTATTTTACTCTAAGATATACTTTTTTAAAAATTAATATTATCATTTAAATATTGGTATACATACATTAATTATTCTATAAGTATTTTATGTAAAAGTAGAAAAAGATAAATTATCAATTGTTTAAAAAAAATCATACTCCCACCGTCCTTCAATTATCTTCCCGTTGCGCTTATGATGTTTGACTGAAATTATTTTTAAATTATTTTATATGAAAAATGTGATTAATTAAAAAATAAAATTACATATTCAAAAACTACATTAAAAGCTCTACAAAGTTAGATGTGACATGATTATATTATTTTATCAAATGACAACAAAACTAAGCCATCAAAGTGATTGAAATTCGACCTTGTAATTAGTGAATGAAAAGATGGTTTTAAGGCTGAGAAAGTATAAAACTTTATTTTTCAAAATATCAATAAAGTTTAACAAATACTTTTTAAGATATAATATAATTATGTAAAAATAATTTAAACTGTTTGAATATATATCGAAATGTTAATTTAAAAATTAAAAATTCTTACAAATCATTGAATGAAGTACTAATGAAAATGGTATTGACAAATAAAAAATAAAAATAAAAACTAGTAAAATAATGATGCATCATTGCAGAATGTGTGTGTGTGTGTACACACACATGTGTGTGTGGAATAATGTCACTTGTCACCCTTTAATTGAACTAATTTTACTTTATTTCCTTTGTTGAAAAATATACACGGTAATAAAATAAATAATGTAATAACATAAAAGGTTTGAAATAAAGTATTCGATGAATAAATTAAATTTGCGTACGTGTATAATCATTTTTGGAGTAGTAATGTACTAAAATAAATAGTAAATAGTACGGAGTATATTTCTTGAAATATAAGTGTTTTTTTTAAAACTAATAAATAAAAACATAACAATGCCAAAAAATTGTACATTAATTAAAACATAAAATGCCAAAAGCAATTGTTTTTGAAAGAGATATTTTTGTAACATTTTCTGAAAGGGATTTTTTTAAATTAATAATAAAGAGTCTTATACACTCTCTGTTTTAAATATTAAAATTAATATGCATATTTAAAATATAGATATAATTAAAGTAAAATCACAAATTTTTAGAGTATTTGTGTGAATTTTTCCTTAAAACAATGCCAAGGACGCTTTAGCTAATACTCCGTGGTACAAACAAGCAAACTGTGAATTGATAATGGCCCTCTCACATTAATAGTACAAAAGAGCCAACTGTGAATTGATAAATTCACATGATTTGAAACAAATAGGGCAGGGCAAAACAAAAACAAGACTTGGTTTGATGTACAACAAATGAGACCAAAAACTCCGAAAGGCTGTTGTTGCTTTTTCTCTTCAAGCCTCATCCCACTCATCATTCTTGTAAGACTCTAGAGAGTGTCAATCTTATGGATCTGCACCAGATGCAACAAAAAAAAACCCTAAAAGAGTTGGCACAAGAAACCCACAAGATTTTTATATGCAGATGGATTAATTAAATTTCAGGCACACCACCTGGGTGTCAAAGGAATGCAACTTGACCATCTCTGGATTTTCTATGAGCTTCGGGTCACTCTCTATCCATGTAAATGGCACAGCAACGTCCATGTCCGCGTAGGCCAGCACATCGAACACGCCTGAGAATTACCAGAGAAAAACCAATTGAAAAGATCCCAAAGTTTGTTACAAGAACAAAAATAAGAGCACAAACACAAAATCTTGCAATAACAGGTTGGGAAATTGGTCTCATTTGTTTTTGTTTGTTTGTTTTGAATAACAAATGGCTTCTTCTTACATGGCTCCTCAAGGCATGGGAGATATGTGAAGCTGGAAGCTATTTGTCTCATGATGGCCTGAATTTCGCGCATGATTTCTTTGTCGCTTGTCTCCCTTGGAACGCTGTGAATTCGCAAGGGAAAAAAATGAACAATCATCCAATATATTTATACAAGGTTACAAGTAGTAGAAGCTCATATTGGAAGTTCAAATGAAGAGAGAAGAGAGTGTAGAGGCATATTGTCAAAATTACCCTTTCTCAACAACCCCACTGTCTGTCACAGTGCTGAAATTCCACCTCTTCAACACCTCACCAGTGGCCTTACTCATGATCACAAGAACAGTCCTTTGTAGTTTCCCAGCTTCCAACCACTCTTTGCCACATTCAACATCAAATCATCAGCAAAAACAACAGAGAAGGGAAAAACACCAAGAATTTCACTTAAGTTGACTAGAAAAAAGAAAAAACTATGCCAAATAAAACGATGAAAAGGAAACCAGATTAGATCTTCTTGGAGGATGATTATGACTTACCAGAAAGCTGGGCAGTTAAGTTGGAAATGAAGGCTTTGACACCTTCACCTTGAGTGAGCAACATTGGAAGCCCATACTTCTTCACCTTTGCAAAACTCTCTTCCGGATACACTCCGCGATTGTATAAAATGCTAAACAAAAGGAATTCCCAGAAGAGAAGAAAATAAAAAATCCAGCCAAGAAAAATTCAAAAATCCATTTTTTTAATTCTTACTGTCTCTGGGGATCGTACCGATTTGCTGCATAACCTGGAAATGAGCGATGGATCAACAATAACAGAGAAAACCCAGTCAGGATTTAGGTAAAATTCGAAGAAAGAACAAACCCTAGAAGTGGAAAATGGCTGAGAATACCCGAAGAATTCGCTGACAATGGCGGCTGATCCCCGAAGAGTGATGATGTCTTTGGATGCAGTTCTTGAAGCCATGTGTTCTTGAAAGCCTAAAACTCCAATTTGAGACCTATAAAGTCTATTTCCAGTGTCAATTGAAGTTTACTTCCGATTGATCCAGTAGTGAATGAATACTTTCTTCATTCTTCTTTCTTTCTTTCCTTGAATGAACACATGAATATCGACATTATTTTCCATGTTTTTCCTCCGAATTTGGAAGGAAAAGAAAAATGATTTCTCCCATTTTCCTCCCAAAATGGGATGAATTTGGTTTTACTTCCACTTTGTACATTTTGCCTTCAAATTTCCCTTTCTTTCCATTTTTCCTTTCTTTTCCTCTCTAACCAAACAAGAAAAACTGTTTTATACTTCATTTTTGGGAGAAAGACAAAAGTAAGACTAAAACATTGAAAACATACCAAAATAGGACTTTCATGTTTTTATTCCTGAAATAGGACTTACATTAACAAACATGGTCATATACATTACCAAGAAAGTATAGTAATTTGCACATGTACACTGCCACATTACCACAATGCAAAGTCACATTACCACAATGCAAAGTCCTATTTCGGAAAAAAAAACATGAAAGTCCTATTTTGGTACTTTTCTCTGTGTTTTAGTCCTATTTAGGATTATTTCTATTCATTTTTATTTCTTTTCCCTTTTAAATTTCTTGAACCAAACATAGTGTAAAGATACCAATTCAATGGAATTTTACATAGTAACGTGTGAATTTCATCTTTATACAGTTCTTACACCTTGAAAGGCAAATGTGTGCTTACCTCTTGCCCCTTCTTGGACCCGACATTTGGTCTTGAGGTATTGGGTTTGTCTGGTTTGGTTTTTCCTTAAATTTGTTGCGTTGGAACAAATGAACAACTAAATTTGAGAATATGATCCTAGGTTTTGATACGGTATCGTATCGGAATAGGGAAGATTGAGTACCTTCGAGCTATAAAATTGAGGAAAAGGAAGAGATTGAGAAGGGAGATGGCCGTTGATCGGCGAGGAGGAGAGAGGGAGTTTAGGGTTAGGAAAATGATTGTTGTTTATTGATTGAATAATAAACTTATGAATATTGGCTACATATAGATCGTAGACCTAAAGAATCCTAGTCATAAAAGGTAACTAAATAAATCAAAATACTAAAACTAATATAATAATATTCCATAACCATAAATAATAAACTACATATAATAATAATAACCATAAATAATAATTACCTAATGATAATAATATTAGTAATAGTAATAATACTAAATATACTAAATGTACTCCCGTAACACTCTTCCCGAAATCAACTTGTCCTCAAGTTGAAAATCTAACAAAGAATGGGGAAGAGGTGTGTCGCTCATCGTCCATCCTCCGGGATCAAACACCTTGAGCATTGGGGCATCAAAAGAGCGTGTGAGACCTAAAGCACCGTCAGTATGAATAAAACTGCTCCATGCAACCAACGGTTGGAAAACGATGGCCTTTTGGGTAAAACATTTAGAACCACAAAAGACAATAACCTCAATATAGCATCCATAAAAAATCACATTGTTGCCCGGTGAAACTTTCTTCCGGATAGAGAGGCTTCGCAAGTGGTTGTCCCCATAAACACCATTTGTAGGGACAAGATCTGTCACAATCAGAAGAACACCATCGGGGCACTGTTCTGATAGACACTCGAACTTGTAAGTTGACTCAACATCTCTAGCTCTAGCACTAGTATCCATGACATCAAACCCACTTTTCATGTCATCCTCGACGCGTGGCTCGGCGCTTGAATTTTCTACAATAGGACCAGTGTCTTCCACGATCTGAACAATCATGTCCCCAGCCTTAGGGGCTAGATTTGGTGGAGAAAGTGGAGCACCGATGAGTGTCCTTATCGCGCTCAACATATTTGTTTTGAATAAGTGTAACTCTATCGGGATCAAACTTGGTAAAATTGGGGGACCACGAACTAAATCTTGGATTGAGCAAGAGGCATCTACAACGAACGCATATAGTTCAGAGTCATATTTTGGTAGGCTTTCAATATGACGAAATGACTGAAGTTTCTTTATAAGTTCATTAAAAGAATCTTCAATTCTAGACACTCCTTCATAAAACTCAATTTTCCCATATAAAACATTCCCCATTAAAGACAGAAGATTATCCACCTCCGCATTGAATGCATCAATCGAAGTCGTTGCCGTGCAATTTCTAAACATAATTGATTGATGAAGGTGTTGACAACCCAACTTTATAATTAGCAGCACCAAACAAAATCAACTAAAAGAACCAAACTGGATTGACAAACTTACTGGGAAAGGGGTTTGCAGCATGCAGTACACTTCAACTTGATCAATCAAGCAAATTTGGCTGGACGGAGGGCGACAATTTTGGCTGGCGATAGATAAAGGGGCGATGGAGATGGACGTTTTTTTTGTTTAAATATGGAATCTGCTTCTTTTGTGCGGCAATTGAACCAAAGGATATCTCTATTCTGCAACTTTTTGTTTTTTTCTTCCGGAAATAGCTATCCGATGGATAAATTTCGGCTACTTTGTTGGTTCAAAACCAAATTGCAACGGCTGGGGCAAATCTCGGGCACCTACAGCGGCGATGGCACAAATTTGCGGCTTTGTTGTTGGAGCTGAGATTCCTCTTGAACGCGGATGACAATTTTTTTTTTTTTTGGTTTTCTTTGCTCTGAGAATATGATCCTTGGTTATCATTTTATATGGTGGGTCATAGAGTTTTCTTTGTGATTTTATTTTATATTTCATTGGTTTCTGTTTCCCTTTTGTGGGTTATGGTAGGTTGGAGACAAAAGATTTTTGAGTTTGATAGACACCATTATAAAGCTAATCAAAGTAGCATTTTTCATGTTGCTAATGTTGTGGTTGTTGGGGGATAAACAGAATTGCAATTATAAATTTTATCACTCCAATTAAGTGTTTCAATAAATACATGAGCAAGATTATGACGATGCGTTAATGACATAATTGCAGTCTTATTGCATCAAATCTACTAGAGAAGTAGCCGGGATGGTTTCTATTCAGAAAGCTCCAATTCTCCATCACTTCTCAGAGACAATCGATGGGGCTGCAACAATCCGTTGCTTTGCTCAAGAATATCACTTCTTAAACGCCGCCTCCTTCCGGCGGGTCGGAGCGTTTTTCGGCCCTCTCCGGCAAAATTGACGTCGCTCATCCCCTCCAATGTGTTCGTGGCATCTCGGTGACCCCCTAGGACCCCTCAATTGCAAGATTTGATGGCGATTTGCAAAAACCCCCAATTTCGGATTTTAGGGTTTTTTCGAGTGGAAAAATTCAAATTCGAGGAGTTGCAGGCCAAATTGGAGAAAATGATTTGGATATTCTTGATCCCCCATCTTAAGACGAAGAGAACGGCGTTGGTCCCGCCGGAATCTGACCAGGTTGATTTTCCGGCGAGTTTGACGTGGTGTGACGGCGGCGGGAAGCGAAAGAAAAGAAAAAAAAAGAAATGAGGTCAAATTGAAATTTTAAAATATATAAAATTCTAATTTGGCTTAAATGACCGGAAGTTAACCTATAAACGGCCAAATGGATTTTTAGTGAAAGGATTGTGTAAGTTCAGAATTTTTCTGAAAGGATTTGAAGTTTAGGTACCACTTCGAAATTCCAGCTAAAGTTCAGGTACCACTGGTGAAATTCATCCTTCTTCAAGGTGATATGCCATTGTCAATGGTTAGAGTCTTGGACATGCATACTATTTGTATGTGCAAATGCTTGTTTGAGATTAAGTTTGTTTGCTATCTGACCAAAACGACTAAGGGTCTGTTTGGTATACAAAATTGGTGGAGTTAGAATTGAATTGAAATTAGAATTCACCAATTCTAATTCATTTTTTGCATTATCAATTCTAAATCCTCATACTTTTTGTGTTACCAAATACCAGAATTTGAATTGAAGTCATCAATTCCAATTTCACAATTTGGATTCTGTGTACGAAACGGGGCCTTAAGTCAATTTAAATTCAGTGAGGGCAAATTATAAAGTACTCCGTAGTAAAAGACTAAAGTACTCCGTACTCCTGATTTAATTATTTTTTTTTGCTAGATTTGCTCTTTATTCTTTTACCATTTTTAATAGAGCAATGCTAAGGGTACACTCCATTTGTACACTATCCCCTTCTTCACCACCCATTTTTAATTAATTTTTATTTATTTATTTTTTATTGATTTTTTGCCCAATTATGTGGACAAGGAGGGGGTGAGGGACAAATGGGGTACACCTTTGGTGTACCCCTAGCATTTTTCTTTTTAATATGAATGTGAAAATTCATTATCTCTAGTAGCTTAATTATTTGGCTTTTAAAATAATATTATCTTTGTCTCAGTGTATTTGTCCAATTGACTTTTTTGAGTCAAACTAGACAAAATTGGAGTTTTAATTACTCTTTATTTGTAATGCATATTAATACCATAAAATAAAATTTTGAAAATTTTCAAAAATATAAATCTACTTAAATCATTTGTAAACTAATATGCATTACATTTTTATTTAATTAAAAGTCAAAATGTATCTTGAGAGATTCGAAAAAGTCAAATCAGACAAATAAATTTAGACAGAGGGAGTAATCAATCATTTAATATATGCTGGCTCTGTTTCATTATTGTTTGCCTTTTAATAATCCAAATATTTTTATCTCATGCCATATTTTATCATATTTGTGTTGTAATTCTCCTCTTGGTTAGAATTTGTCATTTTGTTGAATTATTAATTTAGTGAAATGTGTTTGGTTTCGTTGAAAAACGAAGTAATTTTATCTTAACTTTAAAAAATACATTAATGTTTTCAACTGGAATAAAAAATTTCATTCCTCTCTTTATCTAGAAATTGATTAAAATTCACCAAATATTTCTCTTGAAATTATAACTATTCACTGCACTATATATATGCCCCAGTAATTTTCCATCCCTGAACCCGCCACTAAGTATATGCCTGATTGAGTTGACTTGTAGAGGCAATTGTGAGGGAAAGAATCACCCATATTAGGAGCTAGTAAAAAACCAAAGAGAAGATAAAAAAGTTAACATTAAATGGAATATTTTTAGGCTATGTTCTTTTCCGTTGTTTAGTTTACTTCCAATTCTTTTCATTTTTGTTTTAGTTTCTTCATAACTCCTTCAAATTTTTCTAACGACTTAAAAGAAATATTTATATGTGATGAATATACAATAATATTATACATCTAAATTTATAACATAGCACCTCGAACATGATCAAAGCTGCATTCTTTTTAATTCAAAACTATAGTTTTCTTACATATTTATTTGGGTGATTATTTAATTGAGTAACTTTTTAACATTTTAATTTTTCCAAAACTTCTTTCAGTTATTTCAATTCCAATCATTACAACTTTTATTTATTTGTAAATTTTCATTGTTTATCTGATAAAATAAAATAATTTTCTCACATATTATTTTATAGAACTTTTGCTACTCCATATTATTTATAAATACATACATTTTATTTCTAACTTTTATTCTAATATTTAAATCTTTAAATAGGAAAATTTGAAAAAATAGGTTTTTTTTTGCGCAATTTTTTGGTTGTTGGTTAGGTTGGGCGCTCACGTGTTTGTTTGTGTCTTTCTTGGGTACTTCATCCAAAGATTAAAAAGATACTTTGAGGAATTGGTCACTGTCCAACTAGTCTTTATCCAAAGACATTTTGGTTGGCTAGCATGAACTTTCTTGCTTTAGAGAATTAGAGTGGACTGACCCATACAAAAAAGTGAATTCAAAAGAGATCTAGTATTCTAGGATGACATGGACCTCGATTAGGGCTTCTAGGATGCTCCGTTCAAAAAATTGACGGTTCTTATCTCCTAATCCTCCAATAAAGCCTCACTCTTGGTCTGGCCCGAACATACCCACGCACCCCCGTCAATTGCATGCCATAAGATTTAGTGTGATTTTGGAGTCAAAATTTTGTGGCATGCAATTGACGGGGGTGCGGGTGTATGTTCTGGCCGGACCGGAGGTAGGGGATTACCGGGGGAGTAGGGAGGGTGAACTATCAATTTTTTGAACGGAGCACCGTATGAATCTCGAGTCATCCCATGACATTGAATCTCAATGTCATGAAAACCAAGATGTAAATTAAACTTCAATTGTGAATTAGTAAAGAAAGTGAGGTCTGCACCTAATACTAGCAAATATCGTATATTTTGTATGATTGTCTTTCAGCGCAAATGCTAGTAATCGAACTCGAATCTTACCCCGTGACACTTCTTATCTTTGCAAATTGCGCAATGTCACCGCCTAAAAGTGATTTCAATTATGTACTCTTCCGGTCCTTCGGGAGCATTTCTTCATGCTTGTTCGGTATACATGTTACAAAATACAAGATACTCTTTCCGTCCCAAATTCATTTACATTTTTTGAACATGTAAAATTTATATTTTTAAATTAATTTTATTTATAAATTAGAATAGAAATAAAAAGTACTAACTACATATTAAAAAATAATATAAAAAATTGTATACAAAGTTACCAGAAGACTCAAATAGTAAAAGCGAGAATCAGTTTAAGACGGATGGAGTATTATGTTCGTGATCCTCTACATTTTAAAAATTATTCTATGATTAGTCTTCTATGAACTACATATAAAAAATATTTGAGAAATTTTCTTCCAAGAGACTGTTAATAAAAAATATTCTGAAAAATGTAAATTTTATTTTTTTAATACAAATTTATAAATAAAAATTATTTTAAAAGCCATAAACTCGCGTATTATGATGTGTTTGGTGAGCAAATAAGATATAAGTTTTGATACCTCCAAATATCAGAATTTTTTTTGGGTGTTAAATGAAGCCAAAAGAGATATCGAATTCAATATCTCCAAATACCATAAATCCTTTAAATGGTGGGTTTCGATATCTCATGAATTTGGGAGATATCAATATGGGAGTTTGATACATCTTAAAACCATTGATCATTCTCCGTCATTGGCTACCATTGTCACCACCAACCACCCCCGTTGTCAGTCACCCTTATTTATCACTAATTAAATTATAATTTAAAATCTTCCCAAATAAATTTGTTTCAGATTTCAAAACTCATATCATTTCTCAGATTTCATAACTCATATATTATCATATCACCAAAACTCATCAAAAGGACTCTTAATTTATCATGTGTTGGAAGTTGGTGGAAAGAAAGAATAGAATTAGGCAAAAGAGATTGGGTGAGCGGTCAAATGCCGCCATGGCCATAGCCTCCTTTGTCTTTTGAGCACTCCATTACTCCACACAGTTGCTTTCACTCAATTCTCTTCTCAGATTCAAAGTTTGAATCCCAAGGAATATTCAGCTGCTCACTTGGCCCCCCGACCGAGACCCACCCACCCACCTCCGCCATGCTTCCTGCTTCGACCTTCTGTTCCATTCCCTTCCTTTTCCCTCTCATTATGACCCAATAATTGCGGATTTATTGCGCGAATCCCAAACCCTTCTTCCCCTATTTATTATACTCTCTTCTTCCCGATTAATCGTGCCAGCCTTTTCATGTCCCTTCTTCCGCCGGTTAGGCCTCCGCGTTCTGTGACGAATGGGGCGGTTCAGCGCGTGATCAGTCGCCATTGTTGCCCTTCTCGAGCTTCCGAGGAGCTATAAGCCGAAAAGGTGGGGTTTTTTTTAGACCTATAAAGTCTATTTCGAGTGTCAGTTGAAGTTTACTTCCGATTGCGTAGCGAATACTTTTTCCTTTTTCCTCGAATGAATACATGAATGTCGACATTATTGTCCATATTTTCCTCTGTTACCAATTGAAACTGACGTTTAATATACGGTCTTCCATAAAAGTAAAGTGGCCTGCGGCCTATCCTATTTAATGGAATTTTACAGTGTAAATTTAATGTGTGAATTCCATTCATACAGTTCAAACAAACCCTCTTGGAGACAACCTCCCTACTCCTTTGGGTAGAGTTAATTTCTGCTTACATTTTGCCTTTGCTTGGACCCTACTTTTGGGTTTGAGATATTGTGTTTGTCTGGTTTGGTTTTATTATCTACGGAGTACTACGTATATAATACTGTTCAAATCATTACTCTTCATTCGTGTGCTTTTTTATACAACATCTGTTTGGATTTAGTTCAAAGCTTTCCAAGTTGCTACATTTAGTAAATGAATTGTGATTGTGTTATGCTATATAATCTTTCTTGGACTATAACCACAAGCTTGACCTTTCAACTGCGTTGGTTTTTTGACATGGTACGAAACTCGGTTGATCTAGAGGTTACGCGTTTGAAAATCACGACCATTAAGATTTAAAAAAAACAATGTCCGTCCTTAAGGCTCGGAAAAACATTCTCACGTACGGGGCATATCAGAGTGTGAAACCTTTTCTAGACCTACAAACACTAACTTGTTTTTTCTTTAATTGGTTCTTTCACAGATCCGGTAATAAAAAATATGGCCAAAAGAGGAGATTAAGCTAGTTTATGCAATGTAGGTCAAACCAATTTCAATTACGGAGTATATTTTTGTCAATTCACATCCTTAAATTTGTGGTGTTGGAACAAATGGACTACTAAATTTGAGCATATGATCCTTGATTTTCATGTTACATGGCGTGTCATAGAGTTTTCTTTTTACGAATAAATTTTATTACCTGTCTGTGATATTCTTTTTTATTTCCTGATTTTGGTTTGCCTTTTGTGGGTTTTTGGCAGGTTGGGGACAAGATTTTTGAGTCTGATGGACATCATCATAAAGCTAATCAAAGCAGCATTTTTCATGCTGCTAATGCTGTGGTTGCTGAGGGATATTTTGAGGCATAAAAGACAAGGAAATACGGATGATAATGCTTCGAGACCAAGGGAAAGAGCCACCATCTTCGAGAAGATTGTAGTTGCATTGAACTTATTCATAGCAATTGCTTACCTGGTATTTTCTCTGCGTGAAATATGGATATGTAAGAGCATTTCCTTTGACGGTTATTTCTTCTCAGCATTGACTTGGACTGCAGCTAGTTTAGCATCTCTCTATACATTAAACCGAAACCGTGGAGAAGATAATGGGTGGCCTTTGTTGCTTATTCTCTGGTGGGTCTTTTCAGCAGTATATTGTCTAGTTTTGGCCATTCTTCATCTTCTCACCCTTTACGGCTTCATTAAAGCTCCATTAGTTTTTCAAAAGGCACACACCATTGATTTGGTTACTCTACCACTGTCAGTTGGGTTGTGTTTCAATGTGCTACCCATGTTTTCTGCCACGAAGCGGAATGATGCTCAACGTCCATTTCTTCAAAAAGAGCACCATGATCCCTTTTCTAGTGCTGGGATTTGGAGCCATGCTATGTTCATGTGGCTTAATCCTATGTTTAAAAAGGGAAGTGATGAAAAATTGAGATTGAAACACATCCCATTGGTTCCTGAAATGGATATGGCTGATTATGCTTCATCTTTGTTGGAAGACGCCTTTCGGGTGCAGAAAACTCCTTCGCTTCCAAGTGCCATACTCCAAGCTGTTCGGTGGCCTCTTGCTGCGAATGCGGTCTTTGCAGGTATACATTTCTTTTTGTTTTCACCGTTTCTGAAAGCAAGTTGAAGTAATTGCTTCTTTCATCTAACGTTGTAGGTGTTAACACAATTGCTTCATATACATGTCTCTTGCTGATCACGAGCTTTGTGAAGTTCTTATCAGAAAAGTGTGACAATTCAAACTACTTGCACCGTGGATTACTTCAAGCGTTTGTGTTCTTTTTTGCAAAAACCATGGAATCATTGTCCCAAAGACAATGGTATTTTGGTGCTCACCGTATAGGCATTAGAATCAGAGCTGCTCTCATGGCGTTGACATACAAGAAGTCTCTACTGATCAAGCATGATATCAAGAGCAATGGGAAAGTCATCAATTTTCTAAATGTAGATGTCGAGAGGATAGGAGACTTCTTCTGGCACATTCATGGAATCTGGTTGCTCCCCGTTCAGGTCATTTTTGCTTTGGTAATACTGTACTTGAACTTAGGTGCTGCTCCATCAATTGCCGCATTGTTCACCACAGTTATTGTGATGGTGAGCAACACTCCGCTTGCCAGTATGCAAGAACAGCTGCATTCCAAGATTATGGAAGCTCGAGACTTGAGAGTTAAAGCCACTTCTGAAACATTAAAGAACATCAAAGTCTTAAAACTGCATTCATGGGAATCATCATTCATGAAGAAGTTGCTTCGACTAAGAGAATCCGAGAGGAGTGTGCTTAGGAGATACCTGTATACTTGTTCTGCAGTCGCTTTCCTCTTCTGGACTTCACCCACATTAGTGTCGGTTGTGACTTTTGGTGTTTGCATTGTGCTTAAAACACCTCTAACTGCAGGCACTGTTCTTTCAGCTTTAGCAACTTTTCGTATCCTGCAAGAGCCCATCTACAATCTCCCTGAACTGATTTCTGTGATTGCTCAAACTAAGGTTTCTGTTGATCGGATGCAATGCTTCATCAGAGAGGAAGACCAAAAGAAATTGACGGGATATCTTGCTCCTGACACAACAGAAGTAGCAGTTGAGATTGAGCCCGGAGAATATTCATGGGAAAGTGATTACTTGCGAAAGTCGACAATTAAGATAACTGAGAAATTAACAATCCGAAAGGGATGCAAAGTGGCAATTTGCGGTTCAGTTGGTTCTGGCAAATCAAGCTTACTCTGCAGCATTATGGGTGAGATTCCAAAGGTTTGTGGGCGGAACATCAAGATTAAGGGTTCAAAGGCGCTGGTAACTCAAAGTGCATGGATTCAGACGGGAACTGTCAGAGAGAACGTGTTGTTTGGGAAAGAAATGGATAAAGGCCAATACCATGATGTTCTGGAACGGTGTGCCTTAAAGCGTGATATTGAGATGTGGGCTGATGGAGATCTTACTATGGTGGGAGAAAGAGGGATAAACTTAAGTGGGGGGCAAAAACAACGGATTCAGTTGGCAAGGGCAGTTTACAGTGATTCAGACATATATCTCCTAGACGATCCTTTCAGTGCTGTTGATGCTAAAACTGGTGCTCATATCTTCAAGGCAAGTTAGCTATATATTTATTTTATTATTCAATTTAATATGTTACGTTTCCTAATAGAGAATCATTTTTTCAGAAATGTCTGATGGAGATTCTTCATGGCAAAACTGTTATTTATGCCACACATCAATTAGAATTTTTAGATGCCTCAGATCTTTTACTGGTAAGTTTCCATGAAACAATGTTTGTTGTGTTCATGTGTATAATCTGTAATCTATTGGGATAGCTTTAATCTGAATATCTGATGTCTTTTGCTTTTATTTTTTCTTAGGTAATGAAAGATGGCATGATAGTTCAATCGGGAAAGTATGAAAATCTTATTGCAGATTTGAATGGTGAGCTTGTTAGCCATATGGCTGCACACAAGAAATCGTTAAATCAAGTCAGTCCTCCCAAGAACTGCATAAACCCATGTCAGAAGCCAAACACATTGATGATTGAAATGATAGAAGAATGTGAAGAATTCACCCGTGATGATAAGCAGTTGGAAAACTCTCAGCAGGAAGAGACTGAAACCGGCCGAGTTAAGTGGAATGTCTACTCCACTTTTGTCACTTCGGCATGTAAAGGGTATCTGGTCCCTCCTGTTCTTTTGTGTCAGATATTTTTCCAGGGGTTGCAAATGGCAAGTAATTACTGGATGGCATGGGGAACTGAAAAGGGAAGTGTTTCTAGAGTGCGATTGATTGGGATATTTGTGTTGTTGTCCGGTGGAAGCACTATCTTTATCTTGGGGAGAGCATTTTTGCTTTCAACCATTGCAATCGAGACTTCACAGCAGCTTTTTACTGGAATGATTAAATCGGTTTTCGGTGCACCTTTGTCATTCTTCAATTCTACTCCGTCAAGCAGAATTCTCAACCGTGTTAGTATATACTCCAATATTTTATACAGCAAACTGACAAAAACTATACATTGAACATGAGATTGAATTTTTTCTGACTTTTATTGTTTAAATATGTTTATCAGTCATCCACAGATCAAAGCACGTTGGACACAGATATACCTTACAGATTGGCAGGTCTGGTATTTGCTCTTATACAACTACTAAGCATCATTGTACTCATGTCTCAAGCTGCATGGCAGGTCTTTATCATCTTCCTTGTCATACTCCCCATCTCTGTGTGGTATCAGGTAGGTAGACAAGCAAATTTACAATTATAAATTTTATCACTCCAACTATTGTATTAATAAATACAAGAGCAAGATTATGATGATGCATTAATTGCATAATTGCAGTCTTATTACATCAAATCTGCTAGAGAACTAGCCAGGATGGTTTCTATTCAGAAAGCTCCAGTTCTCCATCACTTCTCAGAGTCAATCCATGGGGCTGCAACAATTCGCTGCTTTGCTCAGGAATCTCGCTTCTTGAAGAAGAACTTGAGTTTAATTGACGATTATTCGCGTGTTTCATTTTTTAATGTTGCCGCCATGGAATGGCTTTGCCTACGAATCAACTTCCTATTCAACCTTGCCTTTTTATTTCTTCTCGTCATTTTGGTGAACCTTCCAAGATCAGCAATTGACCCCAGTAAGTTTTTCATAGATGCAATAGATTCCTTTTGGTTCAATGATCATATCACAATAACACGATTCTTATAAAATATAAACATTACTTAATTTCAGATTATTATAGCATTGATTTTTTTTACCAAGTATTTATAGCATTGATTTGTTTGCAGGCTTGGCAGGACTTGCTGCTACATATGGCTTAAATCTCAATGTTCTTCAAGCTTGGGTCATTTGGAACCTTTGCAATGTCGAGAACAAAATGATTTCGGTGGAAAGAATACTACAGTTCACCAATATACCTAGCGAAGCTCCACTCGTCATTGAAAACAGCAGACCAAAGACTGAGTGGCCAGAGTGTGGAAGAATTCAAATCGATAATCTCCACGTGCAATATAGCCCTGATCTCCCTTTAGTTCTAAAAGGAATCACCTGCACTTTTCCCGGGGGAAAGAACATCGGTGTGGTTGGAAGAACAGGAAGTGGCAAATCTACGCTCATCCAAGCACTCTTCCGGGTAGTAGAGCCATCACAAGGCCGGATAGTGATTGATGAAATAGATATCTCGAAGATTGGCTTGCAAGATCTTAGGTCTCAGCTGAGTATAATACCACAAGAGCCAACCTTGTTTCAAGGAACTGTGAGGACGAACATTGACCCTCTTCAGCAGCACACAGACCCTGATATCTGGCAGGTAAACTTATGTGAATAAAAAAAATGTTACATAGCTTAATAACAAAACAGATGACAACCTTTACTGTGTTGACTATGTTTCAGGTTCTGGGAAAATGCCACCTTGCTGGGATAGTAAAGCAGGATTGCAGACTCTTAGATGCCCCAGGTATCACTAATATAATGCAATCCGATGTACCATGATAATCGTACAACCATTATAGATGAGCATTTTTCTTAAAGTAAAATGAGTAGTCTTCCTATTCGATTGAGCATTGAGCACACTTTAGAGATAAAAAAACCATAATCACAACAACCCAACATAATCTCAACTTTGTTGGGGTCTGAGGGTCAAGATGTACCCAAGAACAACCCAATATAATTCCAACTTAGTTGGGGTTTGAGGGTCAAGATGTACACAGGTAACACAACCTTACCCATGTAAAATGCACTCTTTCGTTAGACTCTTGGTGCATTGTTGCATTTACCACCCAAAACTTCATTGAAAGTAAGAAGCAAAGGAAATTTAATTTCTCATTTTGACTAAGGGCTTGTTCTCTTCACTTGATCTGAATGATTTTCATCTGAGTAGAATAAGTTTTGATCTGGCCTGATCTGAATGTAGTTAAATTTAAAACTATTTCTGATCTGATCGGAATGTAGTTATATTTAAAACTATTTCTGATCTGATCTGACCTGATCTAAACTAAATTGATTCAAATAAGAATAAGTAATAAGTAATAAGAATAATTTGAAGAGAACAAGCTCTAAGTGCATTATTTACCCGAAGCTAAAACATTGTCATTTATGACTATTTTAGCTCTCCATTGGCAAAGGACATTATTTTTTTTTACAAGAACACAAAAAGAAATGAGCACAAGCAATAGTTAACAAAATTTCAAAAGTGACATTGGATGTGTGATTTAATTTCCACTCGGTATGCATGATAAGATCCAATGTGTTTCGATTCTTCAAAGAAGTACCATATTATTTTTTGAAACTTGATTGAATGGTGCAGTTGCAGAAGATGGAGAAAACTGGAGTATAGGGCAAAGGCAGCTCGTTTGTTTGTCGCGGGCCTTACTACAGAAGAAGAGAATATTGGTTCTTGATGAGGCTACTGCTTCAGTGGATACTGCAACTGACAATGTGATTCAGAACACAATAAGAGAAGAAACCAGTGGTTGCACAGTCATAACTGTTGCTCATCGAATTCCCACTGTCATTGACAGTGACATTGTTCTTGTTCTTGATGAAGGTAAGCAATATAAGTATTTAAGAGAAACGACACATTGGTGAAGTCATAAAAATGCAGAAAAAAGAAAAAAAGAATGCACACAACTTTCTGACCAAATACTTGCAATTCCTAATGATGTTTACACTTTCCTTTTTTGTTGGTACCAGAATAAACATTGCCGTGCCATTTCCTATTTAGGAAAGGATTATGTGGCTCATAACATCTCTCTCTTCTAAACAATTTTTTAACCCAACTTTTACTTTTCAACACTTTTTTTAAACTACGTGAAGCCAATCCCTAAACTTCAATGTGGGATGGAGGGAGTAATATGCAAACATGATTTTTCAATACACTGCCCTTGTGTATACCAAGTAGTACACCCACCTTTTTCTACACACAAATTATTATTCTCACGAAAAGTTGTTGTATGCGTGTTATTGCGGAGTGTGTAAAAGTGTGGTGTCCAACTTGGTGTAGACAAGAGCGTTGTCACCTCTAACTGGGCATCCTTTTTGTTTGTGCAGGAAGAATTCTTGAATATGATTCTCCTGCTCGGCTACTGGACGATAGTTCTTCTGCATTTTGTAACTTGGTGAGTGAATTCTTGAGGAGGTCCACCAAGGCTAACCAATTCTAATCTCTGGCTTGGAAACATTCTCCACTTATACATGCATTCCAATCCCAAGTAGACACCGAAATTGGGAAACAACCTGAGACAGGTGTCAGTTTTGAAAATTTTCTCCCAGTCTCTAACACATCCTAGTTAGGAGGAAGATGTAGAAAGAAGGGACCCTGCGACTGAAACAAAGGTTTTCTCAACTAACCTGCACGGAACAGTACGATGTTTATCTATACCTAGGACTAATGTCTCTCTGCTTGGGGAAGTGCACAATGTTGGCATCATTTCAGGATGGTCACTTGGCGTGTTCTTTACAACTGGGAATCGGCACAGACGGCCATATGCGGCTTACATCCTTGTACAAATTAAGCTAGATGGATGCCTAGACGCTACCCGGATGCACCTTTAGGTACTCTTTTTCCTTCCTTTTAGATCAGATACTTCGGTAAGTAAACGTGTGCATATCATGTAGGGTTTGAGATGCAATAATTTGTAAGGACTTGAAATCGTATCTGTAGGGTATGTTGTCCATTTTTTATAGGTAAGAACTCAACTGAACTCTTTAGCCACTAATGCCTTGTTTGGCATTCACCTATTTTAACCAGTTCATTGTTCTATAAAATCCTTTTTCATTCATAAATAAGACTTCACATTGCAGCGGCATGATTATTAAAAAAAAGATGATACTGTGTGGATAGTGTGACTGTGTGATTGAAATTCTTGCGATGGGGAGAAAGATAATAAGAATCACATAAGTTATTATATCTATGAAAGGGAATTGGAATTTTGTTTTGGGATAGATAAGAAAAGAAACAAAGATCTCTTCTCTTCTCTCTTGTAAAATAATGTTTCACATTTGACTAATTAAAGATTTGAATTGGGTTAAATAGAGTAAATTGTATGATTAAAAAAGGTGTAGATGAAAGAAAAATAGTATGAGCTACAATTTTTTTAGAAATGTTGAAAGCGAGATTTCTAGGAAAAAAGGAGTGCCTTTTTGGGATGAATCGAGTATGTAATAAAGAGAGCATTTAGTAAATTTATTTGGTTAAAATATACTCTCTGTTCAGAAATGATCAATCCAAGTTGACTTTCTACCTATTCTACGAGTGTTGAAAAATAATGCAAGATGTCTACTTTATCTTTAATGATGGTGATGGGTGGAGCATGTTAAATGAAGTGGATAAGGTGCAAAAAAGGGTGTCATAAGTGGCGTTTTGAAATTAATTCTAATTTGCAAAATAACTACCTATGTATAAAAAAGCTCGGGCATCCTAGTTTGTATACCAAAGACAAACACCTTTGGTATACATATTGGGGCATGCGGACTACCTCTATGGCTACACTTCGACAACAAAGCTTCATTGTTCCCTGAGATTGACTTTGAGCCTTTCTTGTGTAGCTCAATTGGAAAGCGAAGAAGTCCTCCTTACGAGAGGCTCTCACCATTAGCAAAATACGAAGTACCATTTTAGAAAGGCTATAATCCTTATTTCATGCCAACTGCCAAGACCTATAGACTAAGAATCATTTTCAAGTAAGATCATGTGTTATGGTGGAACTTGATGGGGGTGCTACGTAGGCATTCCATAAACAGGTGAGTGTGAGTAGAAAAATATGTTTTACTGGGCTTGAAAAAGGTGATGTGACCAAAAACCGATGGAATAGAAATATTGATTATTTTAATTGGTTAAAATGAAAATGTGTTATTTTTTATCGATTGAAATTTTTTTAAAAAAGAAAAGGGATCATCACAAGGGGGTGGCCATCACTTGGTAAGGCGTAACGTTCAGTCACGCTAGATGCGGCATGGGATGGAGGGCGCGAATGTGGCTATAACACCCCTCACGGGATGGTAAAAAATAGAGATAAAAAAAGCCAAAGCAGTCTCTTGTTTGGCATTTCGTTTTTTGACGGTTTCAACCCAACAACTAACTAAAAAAGTCAAATATAGTCAAAGAGTTAGAAGTGGCTGAAAACTATTTTCCAAACACTACTAAGGACAATTTATGTGGGGGCGTAGGCCTCTCCCCAAAAGGTAACGGACGCCCGCTTAGGCCATCTGGTGTGCCTTCCCCTTTTCCCTTTCGCGAATTCAGCACCACGTCAGCTTCAAGTTTTCCTTTTTCCATGGAAATGCCTTCCCCTTTTCCTCTTCTATTTTTAATATTATTTTTAATAATTATTTTAATTTAAACAACTAAACTAAAAATTTAAAAATAATTAAATAATTAAACATGCTACTAAACTTGTAATAATTGAACATTTCATTAAAATTTAAATAAGAAATATAATAAAAGTGCGTAAAACAATACATTTTTTTGAAGGAAACAAAATAACAATACATATTAAAAATAAACATAATAGTAAAAAAAACTAAACATTCCTGCTTGAGTCGTCACCCGCCGTACCTCCAAGCCACATGCGGGATATCCTATCTTTCATCCTCATCACCACCGCACGCTCCGTCGGTCCACAAACTCATTGATGTCGGCGACCATGATTTTCAAGTCTTCTTGCTCTAGACATTGGCGCTCGAGGGCAAGCTGTCTATTTTTTCTTTGCGTCTTTGCTCCAACTTCTCCTCTCTCGCTTGTTGTTTAACCCAATGCCTCTCTGCCTGCATCTTAGCAAAGGCGGCCAACGAAGTCTTGAGTTGCTCAAACCCTTTAACTAAGGGTTCATGCGTCATGTGCGAGGATCCTTCTCTTTTTTTGATCGAGTCCTCCTGATGGGTCGTTTCGGCTTCGGTATTGTTTGTATGTTGTCATTATCGTCACTGATACTCGGCATCTAACGCGCATCACACATGCCAAGACTATAGTCGCCCAATTCGGACGTTTTGGATCGCTTCACCCAGGCGACCTCTTTTGGAACCAGCGCCCACATAGCACATTCATGAAAGATGTCCCACACCCTAAGTTGCATGATTGAATGAGAAAATTGCGCTTGATATTTATCAAGCACTTGCTGCAAGATGTCTTGATCAATCGAATCGCTCGCACGATTCAGTTAAATGTTGTTGTAGATATTGCTAATTTTTTTTATTTTTTATTCATATCGTAGTACTTGAAAGCTACAGAGTTAAGAAGACGGTACGGCTTTGAGATTATCAACTCATGGAATTTGTCAGTCACTTTAGCCCAAAAGCCGTCGCTCGTCCGACCATTTCCTGTACACGAGTCATAACAAACTTGAGAAAAAACAAATATAGAAAAAAAATATTAACTAAAAACATAATTCAAGTTAAACACACCTTTTATCGGGTCGGTAAAAATTTTAACCCAAGTTTTAGCTAACGCTTCCTCCTTGGTGATGGTCCAAAATTTTGGAGCACTCCGAGTCGTGCTTGGTCCCCCTTCATGTTTTCCTTCACCTTTTGTCTTTTTTGGACGTTGTGTTTCGGGCACAACCTCATCGATTTCGTCATCGATATCGTAAGGGAATGTCCTGTGTGAGAGCCGTTGCATACTTGCGTGCGGTGGTGGCGTGGCGGTAGTCGGGAAGGTTAGGTGCCACTGGTTCTGGAATTGTTGCCACTGCATTTGTTGCCATTCTTGAAATTGTTGCATTTGAAAAGAATTCGGCCCTTGAACGTAAACCACAAATGAGAAAAAGTGAATCATGGAAAGACACCACTGGTTGGAAATTGGAATGGATATATAGTACTAAAAAACATGAAAAATATTTAATAAAAAAAAATACTCAAACTCAAAATACGGAGTGCCATTTGGCTTCTGGCCTGAGGCTCTTACCGACCGAAGACGGAGTGCCATTTTCCACCGAAAAAATAAACCAGCTGCTTACCCCTAGGAAAAAAAAAGCAGTTTCCTTCTGGAATATTCGAATGTGCCATATCGCCTTTTAAATCCTTTCCATTTCCCCTTCCCATTATCTCTTCTGCTTTTACTCTTCAACCCACCAACCATCATCTCTCTCTCTCTCTCTCTCTCTCTAAAACCTCTCTGTCACTCTTAAACCTCCGCCATGGCGAAAATCAAGATCGGAATCAACGGTACGCATCCGCCTTCCTATCTTATGCAGTTTTTTGGTTTTCATTTCTGGATTCCCTGTTCGACGTTTCATGATTTTTGATGTTGATTTTGTTGATTTTTGGTTCAGGATTTGGAAGGATCGGGAGACTGGTTGCGAGAGTTGCTCTCCAGAGAGATGATATTGAGCTCGTGGCTGTCAACGATCCGTTCATCACCACCGACTACATGGTAACCTTTTTCTCGTTTCTGCTCGGCTTGCTTGTGTGGTTCGGATCTATGTTTTTTACTATTAATATCGGAATATAGGTTGTTAGATCTGTTGAATCTGATGAGATATGGTCTTATTTTGCACTCTGTAGACGTACATGTTCAAGTATGATACAGTGCATGGTCAATGGAAGCACCATGAGTTGAAGATCAAGGACGAGAAAACACTTCTGTTTGGTGAACAGCATGTTAAGGTCTATGGATGCAGGTACTGCTTTTGTTTGTTAGATCCGGGATTTTTTATGTTTCTTTTTGATAGATTGCTTTTGCTGTAGCTGTTTTTTATTGTAACCTACTGATTTTCAGAAACCCCGAGGAGATCCCCTGGGCTGAAGCGGGTGCTGATTATGTTGTGGAGTCTACTGGTGTCTTCACTGACAAGGACAAAGCTGCTGCACACTTGAAGGTTTTCTATTCACATTCATGAAATCAAATGGCCTTGTATTATAATTTGTATCTTGTTGAATGTTGATGATCATTTCACTGATTTTAACTAATAATCCCTGCTCTATTTACACTGCTTGAAATTGCAGTATAATGGGTTGTAGATTGATCTTGACCAATGATCAAATGTTCTTGAACATCTGGTCCTTATTCATGTTGTATTTGATTTCTTCTAATCATAGTATTCTTCTGCATTGAATAGATGATTGAATGGAAATTAATGACCTTTATCTACTTGGTTTGATTAGGCTGGTGCTAAGAAGGTTGTGATATCTGCTCCCAGCAAAGATGCCCCAATGTTTGTTATGGGAGTGAATGAGAGTGAATACAAGCCGGATATTACCATTGTTTCCAATGCTAGTTGCACTACCAACTGTCTTGCTCCATTGGCTAAGGTTGTAGATAAAACAATTTCTTTCCTTCGTGGAATGTGGATATATGCAGGCATGCTTATGTTGTTTGTTGGTTTCTGCAGGTCATTAATGATAAGTTTGGCATTGTTGAGGGCCTCATGACTACTGTCCACTCCATCACTGGTTAGTTGTGGTACCTGCATTGTGTGGTATCATATTTAGTATTTATTCATATCTGTATAAATGTTATCTCTGCACATGTTTTCAGCTACCCAGAAAACTGTTGATGGTCCATCAATGAAAGATTGGAGAGGTGGAAGAGCTGCTTCATTCAACATCATTCCTAGCAGTACTGGAGCAGCTAAGGCAAGATGATTTTTTTATTTATCAAAATATCATTTCAGTTTGGTTGGTTTGTTTTGGATTGGGTATACTAACTTTGGTTTGATTTGGTTGTCTTTTGATCATAATTTTCATACATTGATGAGTAGGCTGTTGGGAAAGTACTACCAGCACTCAATGGGAAGTTGACTGGAATGGCCTTCAGAGTTCCCACTGTAGATGTTTCTGTGGTTGACCTCACTGTGAGAACTGAGAAAAAAACCACCTATGATGAGATCAAGGAGGCTATCAAGTATGTTTTCCCTGATACATTGTAGAATAAGTCAATTCCAGCAGTGGAAATGTATATTACTCCCTCCGTCCCATTTTATAACGCCTGTTTCAATTTACGATGTTTAACTAAAGTTATTTTAAAATCATTTTATATGACAAATGGTATAGAGTTAAAAAATAAAAATTACATATCAAAATACTACATCAAAAGATCTACAAAACTAGTAGTGACAACAATATTTTATTTTATCACATTACTAACGAAAATAGAGAAAAAAGTGAATGAAGTTTGACCCTGTGAATAGTGAACATGCATTATAATTTGGGACGGAGGAAGTATTTATTTACAAAATTTGATGTCTTTATTTATAGGCAAGCATCTGAAGGACCATTGAAAGGCATATTGGGTTACACTGAAGATGACTTGGTGTCCATGGATTTTGTTGGTGATAGCAGGTTAACACTGGTTTATTTAATTTGGCCCACAAGTAGTTAGTTTACCTATGACTAATTGCAGAAGAGTAAATTACTAAATGTGCATGTAATAACTGCTAACACAGGTCAAGCATCTTTGATGCCAAGGCTGGAATTTCATTGAATGACAATTTCCACAAGCTTGTTTCGTGGTATGACAATGAATGGGGATACAGGTAAACAACTTATTCGAATTCAAATATGATTTCTTTGCACGGTTAGGAACTTCACATTCGAATGCTCTAGCTAACTTGTTTTCTCTTTCTGCAGCAACCGTGTGGTTGATTTGATCTGCCATATTGATTCTGTTTCCAAGTAAGAAGGCGTTTAGCTATTCAGTGGCGGACCGGAGTGGTCTTTTTTCAAATCCAATTGTTGCATTTTGTAAGGTTTCATGTTTTTGAACCGAGACATGTTTTCAAATAAGAACAGAGAGTATGTTTTTCTTCTGATCGGTTCGATTTGATCATGTGGTGATGTGGTTGAGCACATCATGTTATGTGCTTTGGATGCGCAACTTTAATAAAGTGTCAAGTATTTGGTATTGATGCATGTTCTTTGGGCTGGTTTGAGAGTCATATAGTGTACTAGAAGAACATAGTGTGCTTATATCTGTTACATAGATCAACCTCTTGAAAGCATGGTTTGTCCTTTTTTTCCTTCTTAAATGTGGGAGTAGAAAGATTGATTAATCTAAAAGATTATACACCAATTTACTCTGAACTCTAAGGCTTCGTTTGGTACACGAAATTCAAATTATAGAATTGAGGACTTCAATTCCATTTTTGGTGTTTGGTAGGACAAAAATTGCGTAGATTTGGAATTGGTAGTGCAAAAAATGAATTGAAATTGATGAATTCAATTCTATGAAATTGAATCGCATGGAATTACAATTTCATCAATTCTGTATACCAAACAGTGCAATAGTTATCAAATTAAGCAAGAATTCGAATTCATTTCCAATTTAAGAACTGAAACTCAAGTATTTTCACAATATATTTTTTTCTTATTAAAAAAAATGTATGCTACATATTTGGGCACAATTTTGTAACCACTTTTTCAGATGTTCTGATCTTCTTTAAACTTTCTTCGTTTCTTCTTTGGGCACAATTTTTTAACCACTTTTTCAGATCTTCAACCTCCACATCTTCCTTAACCTCTATATTAAAAAGTGTAGCCTTTTCAAGTTCCCATTTTGGTAACCTTCTTTTTCTCAATCTCATTTCTAAAATGTAACAAAATTTTGGTTTGAAATGCAATTTCCAAAACTATTTGCGTCTGTGAATGGTACAAACACATATGTGTATTTTCCTTTGTTAAAAAACGCAAAAAATTTAGCCTTTGTGGTGCGTTTTGGAGAACTATTGGGGACAAATCTACAATGCTTTTTGCGTTTTAGTGTACCATTGTAGTTGGTCTTTCCTCTATTGATTTAAGAAACAAGGGTATGTTTATGGCCCATCTAAAGTTCTTAAATGATTAAAAAAAGAGATTTAAATGATCTTAAATGATAACGAAGTAAAAAAGTAGAAATTCAAATGAATATATAGTAAGTTTGTGAAATTAGTGACAATTCTATTTATGGTTCTAACATTTGTCAAAAATACTTCATCTGTCCTAAAATAAATTACTTGTTGATCCATGTCAGTATTTTAAATTTATTTTTATTTACAAATGGGTATTGAAATATTTATTCCGTCCTGATGTATTCGTCTAGTTTGAGTTTTTTAAGTAAAATCAAATGAGCTTTGATCATAAAATTTTTTTATTTAATTGATGTCCAAAGTTCATCCATTGAAAATAAGAATAAATTTTATGTGGCAGGGTGGTTGGGGTTGGGGGTGCAAGAAATTTTTGTTTATTTATACGTTTTCATCGATTATTTGATAAAATAAAATATTTTTGACGCATCTTGTTTTGAATAACTTTTGACATAGTTTTCAAGTATATAAATTTTATTTTTATTTTAATTTATATATCAATCTTTAAATAAATGAACTTAAAAAAATTAAAATTTTACTTCGGACTGCAGACAAATCTTTTGAGATAAAAATGGTATAAAATACTTCCTCCGTCTCACAATTGATTACAAAACTTTTTTTCTTTCATCTCGATAACTTTTCTTTATTTGCATATTTGAATAGATTATTTGATAAAATAAAATAATCTTGACATATCTTATTTTGTAGATTTTTGATGTAGTTTTTAATATGTAAGTTTCATTATATATTCTTATCCCAATTTCTTACAAAAGTAATTTTAAAAAATATGAGATTTTGTTCGAAATTATAAAATTGTAATTAAAATTGGGACGGAGGGATATATTGGGCTTAATATCTTTTTTAAGAAATGAAGACTATGGAAATTGGAAACCACAAGGTCTCCCTCTCCAATGGAGGGAAATCTTTGGCGCTCATTTGCCTCTTATTCTAAAGTTTTTTTTTTCTCCTCTGCGCCAGTAGTTCTAACTTCTAACCAGTGAGTACAAAACCCAATCAAAAACCCTAATCTCGCCACCGAAATCGCCATGGAAGAGGAAATCGCAGCTGAATTCAAGAAGAGAGGGTTCATCCTCCAAGACGACGGGGAAATCCTCGCAAAATGTAAGATATATGCTGTGAAATAATTCGACCGCCATAAACTTCATTGTTTTGCAGTACGAATAAGCTACAGTGGCTAAATTGTTTACTGTTCTCTATATAGGCCTGACATTTTGCATACAATACAAGCTCAGCGCTTCCGATCTCGTCACCAATTGGGACGCTTTCTCATTAAACAGGTCAGGTTTTCCATAATAACGCCCTAATAGAGTTTTCTTTTACTGGAATGAAGCTTTGATAATCGATTCTGGTATCTTTCACCGGAGTTAATTTTAGGAGTGAAGTTAAAGAAGAAAAGACTGAGATCATTGTTCCTCAGAGATTTAAAGAAACTGTCAAGATGTCTATCTAGTTTTTTAGTTCCTGAAGCCTTAATTTCTGTCTGGCATTAATTCATTCGTGAAAGGTAAAATTCTGTGTTTTTTTTGTCTGAGTGAACTCAGAAGAAAAAAAAGTAATTGTTCCTCTCAGTGATCAAAAGAATTTTTTTTCTTTTTTTTTCAAATAATTTTTGTGAACACTAATAACTCTATTACAATGTCCTTTTTTATCAATCAATCAATGATTGAAATAAATTGAAGCATTTATATGTATGCATGCTATTTTTAAAATTCATTTCATTTCTAGGCCTAATGTCAATAATTTGTGAACAAACCATTCGCTAATTAATACTCTGTATATTAAATTTAGTGGAACACGTTTCCATTTAAAATTTCCACTTATGTAAGTCTTAAATTTCATAATGCATTTTTTGTTTGATGATTGAAAGTTGAGCTTAGAGTTTGAAACTTTGAATCTTATACATTTGTAACAGAGGTCTGGACATGACAGTAAAGAGTTCGGACATGGGTGTATTTCAACAGCTTTTAGAGCGTGAGCAGAGAGATGAAATTGTAAAGAAAGAATCTGGTCTGCATTACTACTCCAATGATATTGTAATGTGCGTATAGTCTTTAAGTTCAGTCTTTAGATTTGCTCAGTTCTTTCAGTATATTGTGATTATATCTTCCAATTTCATTTTTCATGGAGACAAATGCTAATTGGAAGCTTTTGTACTTGATGACTAACTGTCCAAGTGATTTTCAATAGAAGAAAATTACAACAAGCAGCAGCTGACTGTTCTGTAGTTTATTTTTTTTGAATGCAAATAGTTAATTAGTTTTACCATTTGCTATAAATAGTTGATCTTTTTATATCACTATTTCTCTATATATCAATTGACATTTCCATTTCAGGATGTTGAATGATGAATATGATAAAACTGCAGAAGATATTCCCAGCTCCCCACCAAGTAGACCCAATGTTTTTGAAGGGGAGTCACTCCAATCATCAGAAAAGACTAATGCGAGCATGTTTGGCTCTAGAAAGCATTTAGATGTAGTAACACCCTTTGGACAGAGAAAGAGCAAATTTGAAGTGCAATATACCCTTAATGGGCCGTCCATCACAAATGACATGAAAGTAGGAAATGATGATTGTGATAACAGTGATGATGATATCATAAAGAGGGTGCAACCCATCAAAAGATGTTCATTGCAGATTAATGGATCTCAACCTGAGCCAGGCTGCAGGTTTATGTACGATAGGATTGAAGATAAGGTACTGTGATATTCCTATGGAACAGATGTGCATATTTTCTCCAACATTAATTTTTTTTATTTATCTTGTTTTTTAGTTCAATTTTCTTGAGGATCGTATAAAAAGACATGCAAGAGCTCTCACTGCTTCTGGGCTCTTTGAAGAACCTAGAGATCCTACAGTTGCATCCCAGGCAAATTTTTTGCTCTCTTGCTCTTACAGTTGAGGAATCAAATTTTAGTTTGCTTCATTTATGCAATTTATGTTTACTGTTCCGGATTGTTTGATGTTTTGGTTCCAGAGGAGCTTACTAGCTGTTGGCATGATTTGCTGCGAGGAAGGACGATTGAAGGAAATGCCCATTTTGCTGCAAAGTAGGTAATAGACTAGTGCCTTATTACTTGTTTCGTGATACTTACACTATTGTTTCCCCTTCAATAGGACCGGTAGTCATTTTTTTCTTCCATGAAAGTTTTACATTGGCTGCATGCACTTGAGTAGTTTAGTACATTTAGGGTCCGTTTGGTATACGGAATTGATGGAATTGGAATTGAATTGGAACTGAAATTCCATGGGATTCAATTCCATAGAATTGAATTCTGCCAATTCCAGTTCATTTTTTGCACTATCAATTCCAAATCCACATAATTTTTGTGCTACCAAACACCAGAATTGGAATTGAAGTCCTCAATTCCAATTCCATAGTTTGAATTCCGTGTACCAAACGGGGCCTTAAGAAGTTTATACTTTTGATGGTGCATAATATTATGAAATTTAGGAGAATGCTGCAAAGTAAAATTCTTTATTAGAACATGAAATTTTACCTTCTAGAGATGTCTCACAAGTCAAAATTTGCTCAAATTTCATCGTTCCTATGTGCTCACTGTTATTGTGATCATATTTTGAAAGCATTTGTCCTTAAATTGAAGTTAGAAATTTAAACTCAATGTATGTTCCCCCTGTATCCATTTTCGAAGTATATATATGTTCCCCCCTGTGCATATATTCATGCTCTTATAATATTTTGAAAGCATTTATTTTGACAGCGTTGAGCACTCTGGAGGACAGCGTGTGCGTCTTGACTTCCAAAACTTGGATCACTTTTCGATCTTCCCTGGTCAGGTATTGGTAGCACATGTTTTTGTATGTATATTATCCTTTTGGTCGTTAGCCTATATCAAAACAGTTGATTTGGATAGTAGACTTAAAACCAGACATGAACAGGTGATTGGCATTGAAGGACGTAACCCTAGTGGTCACTGTTTGATTGCGTCAAAAGTTATTGATCATATTCCTTTGTCAGCTTCTTCGGATGAAAATATGCATCCTGCAAAGAAACAAGCCATGGATCAAGAGCTTCGGCAAATTGAGACACATGGTGCTGTGTCAGAATTATCATTGGTATGTCTGCTTTATTCCCTTACGAATTATAAAACACAAATATGGATATTTGAACTATATTTAGAAATTGTCATATAATAGTCATGATGCACTGTTTTGTGACGTGGCATTCTAGCTCGCTAGTCACTATTTTAGCCAACTGTTTTTTGTTCTCTCTTCAGCAATAACAATCCACTCGAATCCCATGAATGTGGGGTCTAAGGAGGGTAGATGTATTCATACCTTATCCATACCTTGGTAGGGTGGCTGTTTCTGAAAAGATCCTGCCTTTAAGCAGTTAGCGTATCGGCTTCAAGAAATTACACTCCCCTATCAACGGCCATGTCTTATTGAGTTGCAAATTGCAGTAACCTCATGTCTTCTCTAATTACCTCACCCCAATTGTTTTTCAGTCTATCTTTGCCTTTCAAACCTGTCATTGCCAACTTTGCACACTTTCTCATTGGTGCATAGGTACTTGTCCTTCTCACGTAGCTTAACCACGTCAATCCCAACTAGCGCATCTTGTTGTCCATAAGGTCACTCCCACAGTCCCAACCTTATCACACATATCTTCATTTTTTATCATGTCCACTCAATATGTCTGCCCATCCACCACAGCGTCCTCACATCAGCCACCTTTCATCCTTGCATATGCAGGCGTTTAGGTTACCAACACTCAATCTTGTTCAACATTTCCAGTTGAACCACCAAATTATAGAACTGAGCCTATAGTTTCGACTACACTTGCTGTTGTAGCACAAGACTCCAGAGGCAAGTCTCTGTTTCATCCAACTCGCCTCAACGCGGTGAGTAACATCGCCATCAATCTACCCATTATCCTGAATAAATGATCCAAGGTACCTGTAACTATCCTTCTTGGGATGGGTAGTGAATCAAGTTTCACTTCCGCACCCGGCTCCATTGTGGGATGTCACTGAATTTACAGGCCATATACACTGAATTTACTTGCAATTTTCTATTTTAAAATTGGGCATTGCATCTTCCTTCAATACATAACCAATAGATGCGATCCTTTTTTGTACTCTAAAGTCTAAATATGGTATCAAGATCAATCTGAGCCTTTCTTCATTAACCTAAAACTAATCTTCTTCACGTGTTCCCCTTTCCCATTTGAATCCATTCAGTTTACTTCTCTGTCACTTTTATGAAAAATGTACAAATTCTCCTTGATTCCTGACCAGTTCTAATGGTGAAATTACTCTAGATGATCCTTTACTTTCTACTTCATCTCTTTATAAAATTGTCAGCATCTTCCCACATCAGGCCAGCCGTGTGGGTAGCCTGTTTCCAATATTTCAATCCTTGTTTTTTGGTATGACAGCTCAATTGTTTTTATATAGATGACACCTCATGCTTCTGTACTGTACAATGACCCTAAAATTAGCAATCGAAGATGTGTATAGAAGCATTGGTGGGAAAAACTTAAATACTTGTGTTTGGCTTCAATAAACTCATGTATATTGTATTGGAGAATCCTGGGAAGAACAGATTGTCCACCACAATAATTTCTTTATGGTCCTATCTCTTCAGTAGCTTCAATTTGAGCAACAGGCTTACACTTAAATACAGAGATGCATTTCTTCCAAATACTAAATAATTGTTATCAAAACTTCTCTAGTTTTCTCATGCTTTTAATGAAACAACAATGTTTAAGCTCTCCACACTTGCTATTTGATTTCAAAAACTTAATAAAGGAAGAGAAGGATGACAACGATGATTTCATTGATCTTGTTGATCCTTGATTGATATTTAATATATTATTAAATTAAAGCAAGAGGTCTTATGAATTGGAATCTCTTACGGTTTTAAAATGCTTTTAAGCCGGAGGTCTTGCGGAAATAGCCTTTCTACCTGTTGGGTAGGGATAAAGTTTGCATACATCTACCCACCATCTCACAAAACTAAAACGAGAAAGTCTAAACAACTAACTACCTCGTGCTCTGTTTGAGAGCTTTGGATTCCAGGAAGTGATGCCACAGCTCCAACCTGTCATTGAGTCTCTCACAAATCTCGTCGATCAGCACAATATCTGTAGCAAAAAGCATGCACCAAGGGACCTCTTCTTGGACACCCTGCGATAGAGCATTCGTCATCAGAGCAAACATGAAGGGACTAAGGGCCCACTTTTATAGAGAAAGGATCAGAGACACCCCATAGTATTCACATTACTCCTTGCTATCTCTAGCACCAACTGCATGAATGCACACAATCAGAACCCCTCTAAACTCAAAACACCTCCACAAAGCCTCCCTTGGTGTCCTATTGTACACCTTCTCAAGGACAATAAACACCATGTGAAGATCCTTCTTCTTAGATCTTGTTCCCTTCAACTTATTCTTATCACTTATTATTATTGGAATCAGATCAGACTAGATCAAATCAGACTAGAAACAACTTTAAAAGATCAGATCAGATCTTATTAAAACCACACCAGAATAGACAAAGAGGACAAGCTCTTTGTCCTATACGTTTCCATCAACCTCCACAAGAAGTGAATGGCCTCTGTGGTCGACCATCCAGGCATGAACCCAAACTGATACTCAGAAATGCAAACCTCCTTTCGCAGCCTAGCCTCCATAATACACTCCAAACCTTCATCTTGCGGGTAAGAAGTTTGATGCCTCTACAATTATCACAACTTTGGATATCTTCACTCAACCGGAATCTCATTCGACCCCAAGGCTCTCTCCCTTCTCATCCTACAGATGGCCCTTGTTGCCTCTCTTGACTAATGAGCCGACAGTATCCGAAGTCCCAATGTCTCTCCAACTGCCCCAACTCACCCAGCTCTAGCCTCCTATCGCCTCACATTTTGAANCCCCCCCCCCCCCCACCACCAGTCCACTACCACCACCAATTGGATACCTCTGTTGCTTCAAACAAAACCTGCCATCGTTGTCCTTCACACATCTCACATGTTCCAGGTCTAAGGCCTTCCTCTCATGTGCCTTTGCTAGCTAAAATAGCCTCTTATCACTGCCACGCAATGTTCAAACTACAAATTGCATTAATGTATTAAAAACTTAAGCTATTGTTTACTAAAATTAAATGCAAGAAAGAGAAGAAGGAACTTAAAACAAGCAAAATCAATGAAAATTAGTAAAGTGGTGCGGTGCAGTGCAATTTCAACCAAACCGCAGTGAAACCATTACACCTTACAGCAGTAATTGTTTCACTGGTTTTTTTTGTCCACCCCATTTTGTGCTGCACTGTTAAGTGGCATGCGATATAGCAATCCATAATTTTTTGTTTCGTTTTGTCATTTGTGCATATATACCGGCATTGCATCTCTTTTAGGGTACAATTAATATACAAATTCTCTTTTCTTTCTCTCTTAACAATACTCCTGACATTTTATTTGAAGAATCCTTTTTCAATAAGTGAATTGTTTTAAAGTTATACCAGCGCAATTTAAAATTCAGATTACTGCGTCTTCTCTCTGGACTTGGTCAATGATTATTACTTATTAGCATTTTCATGCTCAATTGCTCATAAAGTCTACTCCCACACAGCAATATTTTATTTCGTAAGAAACATATAGAATGATCATATGTTTTGTATAACCTTTTTCCCTTTTAAATGCTTTACATAAAAAAATGTTATCACAGCGAGAGTTTGGCATAGACTGGATATTTCATTATATGTATGCATGTACATATAACATGCTCGAGTTCTTCATTTGGAGCTTTGTAACTCAATCTGGAGCATTTGAACAGATCATTGCTGCTGGGCCTTTTACAACTACTGATAACCTATTCTTTGAACCTCTTACTGAGCTACTAGCGTATGCACGTCGTAAACAGCCTCAGTTGCTTGTGCTGGTAAATGATGTCAATTTTACTTGTAAATATTCATGAATTGAGTCTGTTATAACAAATGAGGCAAGTCTCAGTTTAATATCAAAGAATCTTTTCCAGTTAGGGCCTTTCATTGATTCTGATCATCCAGAGATCAAGAAAGCCAACATGCACAAGACATTTGAGGAAATGTACCAAGATGAAATTGTTGGAAGGGTATTTAAATTCACTCAATAGAATTCAACGATAGTTTCATTGTATTGTGTAGGTGTGTGTTTATTTTCTTTGGTTGTGTTTTTCAGTTAAAAGATTATGTGGAATATATGGGTTCCTCTGTCCAAGTGATCCTTATTCCATCTATTCGTGATGCCCATCATGACTTTGTTTTTCCCCAGGTCATTCACATTTTGCTGTACTCATAAATGGCCATTACATAGATAGATTTTAGATATATATTCAATATGGTATGTGTTTTTTATTACAGCCAGCTTTTGAGATTCCCAAGGCTGATAGTATACTTCAGGTACCCAACAGGCCAACACAGTGCACTTTTTGAGTTGATTTCATGTACTACATTAATTTTAGTGCATCATCAGCTAATTTGTTCTCTATTTTTTTGTTTGTATTTTCACCATTGCAGTTGCGCAGCATCTCAAATCCAGGAACATTTCATGCAAATGAGGTACCTACTATGCAACAATGATTTTCGCCTTGAACATACATGTTTGATGAATGGGCAGTTTTTACTATGCTGTTATACATATAGGTTAAAGTTGCTTGCTGCACAGTTGATATCTTAAAACAACTTAGCGCTGAGGAGATTTCACGAAACCCCCAAGGGGGTGCCAAGCAGCGCATGTCTACCCTTGCCAGTCATGTCTTGAACCAACGCAGGCATGTTCAGGGTTATATACAGAAGGGAATCTTTCAATATTATTTACAATTTTTTAAGTAAACATTTCTTTCATATTTCTGTGGTGCAGCTTCTATCCTTTGTATCCACCAGCTGAAGGCATTCCCTTGGACTTCTCTATTGCATCACAAGCTCTCCAGATATCATCCATTCCAGACATACTAATTTTACCATCAGATTTGACTAACTTTGTGAGGGTTAGTAAAGAACAGAACTGCAGAAGCTAGAATCATTCATTCGGATGTGCTTTTTTTCTTTGTAAAGCATTTGATTGTTTGCCAACATTTGTTCATCATCATCTTCACCTCCTTGATCCTACCTATCTCTGAGGTTGTGAGAAAAAAAAACTGAATTGTTCTGTCATGGGACAGGTGCTGTCTGTCAAGGGAAAAGGAGAAGAAGACGTGAAATGCATTTGCGTGAATCCAGGAAGGCTGGCAAAAGGCGAAGGCGCCGGTTTCTTTGTTGAGCTTAACTATCGTGGAAATCCCGATTCAGCAAGCGCTTCAGTTATTCGTCTGTAGGCTGCCGCCAAGCATTGGTTCTTTTAATGAAGGGCATGTTTGGTTGGAGGGGACGTGAGAGAAAGTGGAGGACACTTTCCCACCCCTCAAACCAAACACCATAAAGAGGTACAGGTATGTATGGTTTCATTTCATCCTCAAGTGTACCAATGCCGGCTTGAAACCAGATCTAAGAAGCACATGAGCATCAACATTAATGAAAGCTTCATGAATGTCTGGCTGGAGAAGTAGAAGAGCATATTTGTGTGGCATATCACGGATATACGATAAATGATAAAAAACAGTTCATAGATTATTCAGATCACTGCTATGCCAATAATGTAACATATGGACTGGTATGGTCTCGACTCTCTCGAGTGATGTACAATATTCATTTATGTGATTAGCAATGTAGCATTGTGGTAAGTTATTTCTCATTAAACATTTTAGTTTCCATTCATATTTATACTCTCCATTCTCCCTTCTGCAATAGTGGTTTCACTTTTTGTTTTAGTTTCCTTTGTTATTTGGCATATGTTTCATGCTTTGAAAGAAGCACATTTAATAAGATCAAGCATTTTACATCATGAATGGGGGGGGGGCATGCGAGGAATGAGAAAACCCATGAAGGGGACAATCCACTATTTCAGGTACTTAGGGCATTATATTTTTTATATGGTTATGATTTCAATTTATTAAGGTTTGATTTAGATAATATGGTTGGATTTGGTCTGATCTGATTTTAATAAAAGTTAATGTTGTTTTTTTATTTGATTTGGAAGAAGTATAGTGAGATGTTAAAAGAAATGACAAATAATTAGAAAAACCTAAAGTTTGAAAAAATTAAAATGACTTGAATTAAGTGTCATACATATTTTTTATCAAAAACAATTTATATGGCCTAGTATTCTTTCAAATGTTTTAAGTCAGAACAACTCATACTCCATTCATTTTTAGGATTTTATCTCTTTTTAACTTTTAAAAAAAAATTATTTACAAATTCATAGAGATACAAAACATAAAAATTTGATATTTAAAAAGTACATAAAAAACTTTACAAAACAAATAAATGAGAAAAATATTTTATTTTATCAAATTATCAATGGGAACATGCAAACAAATAAGAGTTATCGAAAGAATGTAATAATAAACAGGTAACTCTTTTAGAGACGAAGGGAGTATAAGAACAAAGGGAATGGTGTGTAGATGACACGCTTGCCACCTCAGATAAAACTTTCTCTCTACCTCGCGTGTATATACCATTCCTCCAGGGTTTGCAAGTTAGGTGCAAGACACTTTCGTAGTATGAGTGATGCTTTTTCATGGTCTCAAGTTTCACATTTAAAATGTAGACTTCCTCACATTTTAAATGAGTTTTCATGTGGATATTTACTATTTTGCAAAAAGTCCACTTCTTTTATACTACAAATACACTAAGGTTCATAAAATAAACGTGGACTTAGGTTTACAGAAGAATTTGCCTAGTATAGTATATAGTATACTCCATTTCCTTTTTGTTTGTTTTTTGTGGCATAAAACAGTTTTTTAAGTACAATTACTTTGTTTTTAATTTTTTAAAAGTTAGTGGAACTATTCTTTTATGTTGTTTTTTAATTTGTAAGATTTATTGTTTTATTCTTTTGCTAATTTTTAAATAAAATAGTTTTTAAAAACAAGCATTTTTGCAGCATAATTATATAATTGTAATCTAATTTGAGACGGAGGGGTAAACAAAATTACGAAGTAGATAACAAAAATAGTTTTTAATAATTAAAATATATTTTTAAAATGTTATTTTTTGAGTAAATAGAAATATTTTTATGTTAAAATAAACAGGTAAATGTTTTTTAATCATTCAAATATAGAAAGAAAACGAAAAACAGTGATAAAATAGTGACTTGCCATTGCAAGGCTTGCCACTCCACTCAGTTTCCACATCAGCGTGTGACATTCCATTTTTGTTCACCATTGTTCATGCTCTAAGTCCTACTTATTCTAACTTTTTCTTAATTTTCAATATCAATTGTTTATAAATGCGGATTGAAATACAAAATTGATATAAATAATCTAATGTCTGATCGATAAAAAATGCTTTTAAATCGCATTATAGATCTTAAAATAACATGAGAATTATCAATATCAATTTTTCATTAGAAATTATTGATGTGGCATAATTATTTTCCAGTTGAGCATAAGAATAACACACCACTTATCCAATCAAACTCGATTAGATTGCAAACACCACTCCAGTATAAATTACTTTATCTTATCCTTAAATTTATCCCTTTTAATCTTTCATGGTTAGCTTGTTCATGGAACCTCACCTTCCACTTTTAAGTGTTCTTTTAAAAGAATAATTACCCAATGTGCTTGGAAGAGAATGTGAGAAATCCAACCTAAATTTGAACAAACTAAAACTATTTGGTGACGGTGTGACATTTTTATAAAATGAATAATACTAAGGTACCACCACATGGTCTACCATAGGCGTACTCATGTTTGGCACAGACAAATACAGACGATAATCGTTTGTGTTGCCCATTATAAAATACAGTACATTTCAAAAATAATCATACCATATCTTATTTTAGGTTGGAAAATTATTGTAAGAAGAGAACACACAAAATACTTTTTAACACACGAAATGCCTTAAATACCCCTCTACTATTTCTCCTCTTCAATTTTTTCTCTTTTTCTTTTTCCTCCACCACTTTCTTCTTTCTTTCTTTTTCTTTTTTTTTTCTTTTTCTGCCGATTGGATTATTTTTGATTGATTAAAATCTTCCATGTCAACGTGCGACATTCCATTATCATTATTTACATTATTTACCTCGGGAAACATACTAAACCCGTCAAAACCTAAACTCATTGTACAAAAATAGCAAAACCTCTCGGGGAATAACTGTTTAACTCAGCCACTACCACCCCCACCAAACTAACCTGCGCCGCTCTCCCAAAATGGAGCCTTGATTAGCCCATCCGGAACATGATTGAGGGGGGACTAGTTTGAAACAATCTGACAAGGAGGGACTACATTGCAATAACAACTTTGATTTCGGAACCTGGAAATGCCAGAGGGGAATTGAAAAGAAAATTAAATTTCAGAGAAAAATAGTTCAAACTCAATATATCAAGTTCTATTTGTATTATATAAACACAAATGAATCTGTGCGAGCACGTGTGTGTTGTGTTTACGAAGGTAAAACCAAACACAGCCTTGTTTAGTAGCTATAATTTGAGTCATATGAGATGAAAATGTTTTGGCCATGCTCGAATTCGTAAAGCAAACCTCTTTGGCATCTCATCCGCCCGAATGTTTTTGCTTGCTTGCAACACCTCCTCCCATGCAGAGTTTGGAAAAGCATTACCCAGTGCACGAAACAAAGCGATGGCGGAAGGCTCCCACACTTCAACATCAAGTGTCAAGGATCTTACCTGACCACGGTAAACGTTGATCCATAAGATAAGAAATAAACTATTTCCTGCTCTGATATTGATGGGCATACAAAACGTTTGTATAAAGTGTCAATAACCAAATCAAACCAAGTATATCCCACTTAAGAGTCGGGTCTGGGTGGAGGGCGAGATGTACACAAACTGTACCTCTACTACAAGGAGTAGAGCCAAGGCCATTTTTGAAAGGACCCCAGACAAACAATGACCAGCTGTGAGCGATAAAAAACACATCAACAGCATTCACACACATCCCTTAAATAACCTCCAGGAACTCCTATCAGAGTTCAAACACTCAAATGAGTTGTGCACGTGATGAGCATTGTTTGGGTAAAAATAACGATGCCTACATGTGAGGGCGTGCCATCTATATTAGCTAAATTAAAAGTAAATTCCATAAATGGTCTCTAATTACAGGCAGTTTTCCATATTTAGTCCCAAATTCTAGGGCATTACATAAATGGTCCTCGATTTTTGAAAACTATTCGATAATCGGTCCTTCATGGACTATTTGTGGAAAAAATATTGTCATATTTGGCCTAAAGGACTATTTATGGAATAGTTTCCAAAAATTGAGGACCATTTATGTAATATCTTCGATACCACCTATAATTGGGGACCATTTACAGAATTTACTCTAAATTAAATAGCAATAATTAGAGCCATGTACGATCTAAATAGATTAGAGGTTTACGAAGTTTGAATGTGAATTGCAAATAAACGGAACCAAAGAAACCCAGTAAATTCCACTCAGGAATGCAATCTACGGGAAAGATTATTTGCTTACTTGCCTTTGACATACGTACACCAAGGTTCCGGTGAACCAGAACGTTCAATGCATATTTATCAGGTGCACCACAGTCAGCACATTTGTCAATCCTCTGCAACCATTTTAGTGCATCGACCGGTTTTCCTGCATGAACGCTTGTGGGCAGTTAAGTGTACTTCTTGATGCACTGGCAATAATTTGATGAATTGGAGGTTATATCCCCTCCAGAATCCAGATGAAATATCTTCAATTGCCATTCTGAAGGACTTCCAATAGAACTGCTCTTACGTCCCCAAAAAATATTTATTCCTTGAATGAAGGCCTCCTAAATGCATTTTTGAACATAAGAAATAGTGACATCCTAGCTGGTAGCTTTCTGAACACATTTAGGCTAGATATGGCCTTGTGATTGTGTTGTCTCCTTTGTATGTGCTCCCTTTTCTTCTCTGGTTGGGAAAGTGTGATTAATGAGTAAATCCCAGCTTTGGTTATTTAAAAAAATAAAGAAACTAGTATGCTCTAAGTTTATTAAAAAAAATAATAATGTGCAAAATGAGTATTCTATAACTACTAAATGGGTGTATGCTGAATGTACAATAAACACCGTGCATGTAATATAGAAAGTCCTGTATCTGTTCATCAGTTCATCTAGAGATCATAATAAGCTAGTGTTACAAAATAAGTAATAAAAGAAATTGAATAATTGATAATAACAAAGATAATATAGAAATAAAGAACAAACTTTGCACCTTTTCATCATGTCTTCTGATTATATAGCATACCTTCTGATAAAGACCTCTGAACAGTTTGACTTTCCTTCTAATACAACTTGACTACTTTTTTTACTAAAAATAAAATAAATTAACCACTTTTCAACCACTTCACGCAGCATAAATGAACTCAATTCAACAAACCCAAGCAATATAAATCAAATTTATATCACACAAATAAACAAAGGTCACCTTTCAATCACTGCCCACAGCAAAAATCAAGTCAATCCAAAAATACACAAACTATAAGAATTGAATCTTTACTGTGAAAAAAATGAGCTTTTAAAAATCAAGTGGACAAATGCAAAAAATCAGCAATGACATTGACATATTAAAGATTCATAGATTACTCTCAACGGCCCAAGATACAAACAATATTGTAGCTGTCAGTCCTGTTCGATAACAGAATTTTAAGAGAAAACTGAACCTCTTAAAGCATTCCTTAAAAAGTTAGGTATAGCTAGAACTTCTACCTTTCCACTTCATGCCTTTCCTTCCTCTGTTGTTCACGCATCATCTTAGGTTCTTCTAGGAAGACAGTAACATATAATTTAAGATGCTAGCGTTGACATATGGAGAAGAGCACGGGAAACACAAAGAAACACTTATATTACTTGAGACTTCTCCATGTATTCCTATTCTGGAGGGATTCAAGGACAGCTCTTGAAACGGCAAAAAGATTAGCTAGTCAACTCGGTGTTCAGATATTCTTGATATGGTTGGAATTGTTTTTGGAAATGCATGCCTTGCCTCTTCAACTGCTGAAACAAATCCAGCTCCTTCGGTGTCAAGTCAAAATTACTACTACCAAAATTCAACTCCATGGGGCATCCCTCATCAAATAGTGTTGCTCCTCCTATCAGCTCCTCTTCCCCGTGTTTCCGGTAAACAAAGGTCTCATACATTTTCTGTTCATCAGATTTCTCTAGTGTCGCATCGCCTAAAGAAAAAGTAGGTCTGTGTATACCCAAAATATTCAGGTTTTCAACTGCATTCAAAATATCATCTGTATCATCAGCTAGTGAAGCAATGTTTCCGTTCAGAGGTTCAGCAGATTGCATTGCACATGCTTCTTCCATTACTTTACCACATTCACGTTGAAATTCATCATCAACTGGTAAAATATCACTTTCTTCCATTCCCTGGTTACGAAGAACAATCAGAAAATGAGTAGGAAGGACTGGACTTACAAAAGCATCAGAAGAAGACTGCACTTCTTCCGATGATGATGAGGTTTTCTGAAAAGGAAAAGGATATAGATTTCTATCTGAAAAAATATCAACCCCGTCAGAAGAAGCTGAGGAAGCAGTCAAGGCAAGGAGATTCATAGGCAAACTGGCCCAAATGCTTTTCATAGTGATCTCATTAAAGCTAGTAGGAAAGGTGGCAGTTTTTATCATTGCTGGAATACCTTGCAGTGATCTCAGTGCAGTGATGCCACGTGCCTTCATGTTCTCACATATTTCATGATGGAACTTTGACTGATTTTGCTCGGCATATTTCTGAAGATTTATTTGCCTCCTGTCAACAAGCATAGTAAGATTACCATACAGATACTCTTTAAGAAAGTCCATTTTCAGATAACCATGCTTACGCAACTCAAGCTCACCACTATTGCCTGCGTCATCATACAAAAAATTGTCCTCAGTGCAACCAGATTTTGACACTTTGTGGGCTTCTTTGCACGCATTATTATTAAATACCCAATCTGCAATGTATCTTTGAGCTTCTAGTTTGCCAGAGGACATTAACCTAATAAGAGAGAACCCAAGAGACTTGTTGCAGTTAACATTATGATCATTATCAAGAATCCCAAACCCCAAAACAATGTCTTTTTTCTGTTTCCAATCAATCCAATCAGGGAGAAGATCTTTGAGGAGATCTCCTCTCATTAGACAACTTCCACAAAAACAATCACGGCCAGACAAAGAAAGTTCTGAGGGGAGGCCCCATGAATAGAAGGCGTTGCAGGCTGTTGAAAAAACCGATGGTCCTCTCCTACCATCTGGTGGCCCATAAAAAAAAATACTAAATCCACAATTCCAAAACGAACCCAATAAAATGCAGTGGCCAGAGTCAGATGCCCAGTTGAAATCATCGTCATTGATAATTGGTCTTAACTTAGATAATTTAAAGATAGTGATGTATTCGGGGTTTTGGATAGTGTGGGCCCATTGTAGCACTGGCATGGACGGCTTTCTTACATCGCAAAGTATCAGCAAGCTGTTGGAAGCCGCAGCAAAACAAAAGCCACTAGAATCTGGCCTAGACAGGGCAACAAATCTATCACATGTCCCCATAGATAAGAACCCAACCTTTAGTAGAGTGCAAACTTTATGCTCGTCAAACCTCAAATCAACCAGGAAAATTGTACTAGAATGAGCAACAACCAATATTCTAGGGTGCCAACTGAACTCACAACCCACCCACCTCCCATTCTGACTCAAATCACCCCAGGGAACACACAGCTTTTTTCCTTGTCTGTTTAATGCATTCCCACCACTTTTCAGCCAACAACTCATATCAAACAGGAAGAGTTTCCCGCTTTCGAGCAGAACTACACACTCTTCACTCAAATGTGGACTCCAACAGGCATGAACAACAGCAGAACCCTGAAACAACTTAACACCGACATGGCCCAAATAATCTAAGAGTGTACTTTCAATGCCCCCTTCCGGCATCTTCACACTAAACCAATGCACAGAATACATTGTGCAAGCCATGATATACCCAAAACAATTTCCACTGTGTGAAGAGGTGCTAAATACATCAAAATCAGCAACGGGGTTCACCAATAATCTCGAGATTCGATGATACAGTCTATGACTATGCACACAGAAATCTCTCCCATCCTTGAACTCCCTGACACTCGTAGATCCAGAATCATTCAAAGTGAGCATAGCAAACCCTATCTGGTCATAATTATCTCCGGTGGGGAAAAAAGCAAGAACCCTAGCATCAGCATCACCATCACCATCTTTTTGGCTCGGGCAAGGAAGCAGTTGAAGAGCATTGTAGTTGTGGGCATGGCCAGGATCCAGCGGGGGTCCCATATCTGAAGCAATGCTAGAGGCAGTAGAATGATTGATGGTAGTTGAAGTGAAGAGAAATCTGTGAAGGGTGAAGTCAGGATATGGAGGAGGGAGGCGAGGGGAAAGGGAAGGGGAGTTCAGAAGGCCAATTAGGGTTTCCCGGCACGGATTGAAGATTAGAGGTCCAATTGAAGGGATGGAAGGGCTTTTCTCGAGACACCTGCGCTTGGAAGAGGATGATGCTTTGTTTGGGACAAGGAGCGGGGGGCAGAAGGAGAAGGATACTGGCCATAGGGATTTCCAGTCTTCAGAAAACTCCATTGCAGAGGTAGCCAGACAGGTTTTCCTGATGTTTTCTTGTTTCTGAGGGAGAAATGCCCTAAAGGGGAGGATTGTCTGCAGCAAGAAGATCGAGTTTCAATAACGTGTTTATGGGATATTTGCTCTCTCAATTAAAGGAAATTAAACTCAAACACTGAGACGCATCCAGAATTTTGTGACCACGGGTCCCAAACTCTCTCAAAGCTCCAAGTCTCTGTCTCAAGATAATTCCTAACTTTTACTCATAAGTTTTAACAATAAATTAAAAATTTGTCTACTATAACTAATAATAAAATCATATAGAAATAATGATATTTTACAACCGGATTCTTCTAACTTTCATACTTTGAAAGTGATCTATTATTACATCATCACTAATAGTGGAAAAAACATTTCTCTCAACATATGTTACTAAGCAATCATCCAACCATCGGTCACATATTTTATTCCACCAATTAGTTTGGAAGAAAATTTATAGTATCAAAGTTGAAAATTCCCTTTTTGAAATAAGTATGACGCATCTCATCTTGAACATTTGGTTAAAGTCAAATACAGAGTATTTCTTTTTCTAACTTAGGGTGAGCTTCCAAAGATTCAAAATCCAAATTATCTTCAAATTCTTTTTCTTTAAGAACAGGTGTAGATTGAGTGCTTTCTTGGGACATTAGAGCACAGATATTAAAATTTGTACCACTTCCACTGGACTTTGATTCTTTATATTTGGGTTGTTTTTTGAAATATCTTTGCATGGTACGGAGTAAATCCTAACTTTAAAAATACTCTCTCCGATCTTAAAAACTCTTCCTGTTTTCACTTTTTTTGGTCAAACGGTGACACTCTTTGACCACAAATTAAACATAATCTAAATAAATAAAATGTTATGCAATTTGACATATTTAAATTATATCCTAAGACTACCCCAATTATATTGAATTTATATCATACTTCAATATACTTTTATCACAATTTTTGGTCAACGAGTGATACTGTATGACCAAAAAAAAGTCAAAACAGGAAGACTTTTTAGGACGGGAGAGAGTAAATATTAATTATGCATTTTAGATTTCTAGTTTAACACTAATTGTGAATTTAATCAATGTATAGAGGATATATTTAACAATCAATTGAATTCATAAATCATAACACTTAGTAAAATATCCAAATAAAATGCAAAAACATCATAGGGCATACATTACTTACTGATAATCAAAAGACCTTAAAACTATTTACCTTTTATATTAAAGATTAGGAAATATGGCCGGTAGATTTTGGTGGAATGGCGGTGCCGACCGTCACTGTAGCCAGACTGTGCCACTGGGGAGTCACTGCCATGCCGCAGAATCATGAAAGGAATTGAAAATGATAAGTTACAAGAAATTGGGGGTGTCGTACTCATCAGTAACCAAAAGGAGAACCTTTTGCTAATTGCGATATGCTTCGTATCAAATTTCAGAACTGAAATTAAAGCTGCTCATTTAAACAATTAAGCTCGAAAACTGAAAATTTTCGAAAAAAGATCAACCTTTGTAACCGGAGCCGGTGGTGCTCCGTTTCCGGCGAGTGGATCAGAACGTGACTAGGTTTTCGCCCTCCCTTTCTAAGTCGTCGATCGGGATCTATTTAGTGAAACGGAGTCGTTTCACGTGGTCCTTTTATATAGGGTCCAAATTCAGGCCGAGACCGAATAAAGGCTTTTTTTCAAACGTACCACATCTTTAATGAAAAGGTACTCCGCCTTAAAAAAATATAACAAAGAAGTACCTCTTGCTGGAGATCTAAGAATTCGACCAGCGAGCGTACATGTGGTGTTCTATAAAGCTTAGTGTACATGTTACATTTCATATAGCTTTTAAATTGACTCGTAATTTATCTAATATTTGATTAAATTTGTATTTAACACATAAGTCATATTGTTTTCTTGTAATGAAAATACGGAGGGTATTTTATGGAGAATATTTTATGTTTATTTTTAAATCATGCTTTTTATAAGATTTTACTTTTAATTTCAGCATTTTGAAAATTTATAAGATACTTCATATTTTAAACATATGTAGAAATAACATTTTAAGAAATTGTCTATAATATATTTTTAAAGATTTATTAGAAATTTTCTAAAGTTTGAATTCTAAAAAATACATATTATTATTCGGGAGAAAGACCAAAGTATGACTAAAACATTGAATATATACATGGCCGGTCCTGAGAATTCATCACCGTGGGCCGAAACAGAAAAAAGGCCCTAAAAGTCTTATCTTTAATGGTCTAAAAACTTCACATATGTAAACTAATTATATTTAAATTATAATTAACGCAATATTATTAGAAGAAAAAAATAAATGACAAAATATATCATAAATAAATAAATATATCATAAATTAATATCAATTCGTCAATTTTTCTTTTTTTAATTGTTTTTTTCTTTTTCAGTTTTATTTTTTTTATAAATCATAAATTCATATCAATTCATCAATTTATCAGTTTTTAATTTTTTTTTCGGTTTTCAATTTTTTTTATATAAATATATAATTATCATAAATAACAAATTCAAATCAATTCATCCAAATCATATAAATAACATATAGAATCATTCATTCATTCTATTTCAAAGAATACAACAACAACAACAACCCAGTTAAATCCCACAAGAGTAGGGTCTGGGGAGGGTGTGTGTACGCAGACCTTGCCCCTACTCGAAAGTAGAGAGGCTGTTTCCAAAGAGACCCCCGGCTCAACGTCGAAAGTTGCATTGCTTGACTAACTGCTACTTCATTAATTAAAGAAGCGCAAATAGTTTAGATATCCATTTTGATTTATTCCATCACACCCCAAAGCCAAAAACAAGTGAAATTTTGGTTCCATCGGAGATGATGGAAATTAGAAAAGATTTCAAATTAAAAACTAATAATTAACCTTAGATTTTAAATCTAAAAAATGAAACAATGAAAGAAAATTAAGATTTAAGAAATAAAAATTACAAAATTGGAAAGGGAAGGCTATGAATAATAACCTGGAGGGTGGAGGGGCTGGAGGCGTGCAGGTCGGCGACTCGGCGTCCGGCGGTGGAGGCGGCGAGTCTCGGCTCTCTTGTTTCTTCCGGTCCTTGACGTTTCTGCCTTCTGGTTTCTTCGATCGGCACTTGCACTCTTTTCGTCCGTTTCGTTTTTTTGGTCTACGGAGTGGGCTAAGTTAAGGGATGGGTCATGGGATTGGGCCTAGGCATACATACATACATACATACATACATACATACATATATATATATATATTGACTCCAGTGAGATGACACCTTATGGTGAGATGACATGCTTCGGTGAGATGACGCAAAGCTCACCACACTACACTACGAAGCTCACCAATGGACAATGCAAAACTCACCTAGAAATAGAGTAAAGCTCACCACTTTGAACACCAAAAATCACCTTTTTTTTAAATTTTGAAAATTAAAAATTTAATAAAAAATAAAATAGCAACATCGGCCAACCACCGGTCAGCGGCGGCGGCAGAGTAGCGGTGGTTGCCGGCGACCGGCGTCAGATTCCGGCGACCGGTGGCGGACTCCGGCGACCGGCGATGGTGGAGGATTCCGGCGACCGGCGGCGGATTCCATTGACCGGCGGTGGCTGGAGGCGGTCAAAGGTCTCGGTCACCAGTCAAAGTTTAGTCCGCACCCCTTTCTTTGATTTTATTTTTTCAAAAAAAAAAATTAAAGTGTTGAAAAAATATGGTGAGCTTTGCCTTACAGTTTGGTGAGCTTTGTAGTTGTCTTTGGTGAGCTTTGCCGTTGGCAGTGGTGAGCTTTGCGTCATCTGACCGTAACATGTCATCTCACCCGTAATGTGTCATCTGACAGGATATATATATATATATATATATATATATATATATATATATATATATATATATATATAATACTTAAAAAAATTTGTGCCCCTAAATTTTTTGGGCCCGGTCCGGACAGACACCTTGTCCCCCTATTGGGCCGGCCCTGAATATATACCAAAATAGAACTTACATGTTTCTATTCCCAAAATAGAATTTACATTACCAAACATGGTCATGTACATTACCAAAAAAGTATAGTAATGTGCACATGTACAGTGCCATATTACCACAATACAAAGTCATATTTTGGGAAAAAACATGAAAGTCCTATCTTGATACTTTTCTCTATGTTTTAGTCTTATTTAAGGTGATTTTTATTATTATTACTACTATTACGATCATCATCATTATCAAGTATTATTGATATGTGTAATGAGTTTTTATAAGTTATTTAAGTACGGAGTATATTTTAGAAGAGATATTTATGCAACATCATGTTTATTTATCTATTAAAATTCTAACTCCAAAAGACGGTAGATATTTTAAAATTTAAATAAATAAGAAACGTTGCATTTTAAATTACAATAAAGAAAAATATTCAAAAAGTAATTGCTAGTTTGGTTTAAAATAGTTAATAAATATTAAAATATGATATTGCTATATAAAGAAAATATAATTTTAAAAAAATTAGAACATCACGTACAAAGTTAATAACGTATATTAGAACATCACGTATATAATTTCAAATATTTTACCTGTATATGTTTTTATGTGATTATTTTTTACTTTAAACTAAGATTTTCTTTTGTCAGTGGGGGTAAACTAACTTTTTATCGGATTCGTTCTTTTAAAATTATTTTAATATTGTATATTACGGAGTAAAAAAATTGACTAGCCCCCGTATTCATACATGTAGATCCGCCCCTGTATAACCTTGTAGTTGTTATATAGATGTGAGATGAAAATTAGGGTAACACATCTATTTAAACATCGTACTGTTATAATTTTTTAAACAACGGCATTTCGTAAGGGAGCAAAAAATTGATTTTCTAAAAATAACTCTGGGGACTAATATCAAAAGACCTTAAAATTTTCCATAAGAACTAATGGGATACATTCTGATAACATCACGACTACAAATTTAGAATGGGCTAAAATGCCCTTCTACACCCTTCAAAAAACTATATGGATCCATTTTTCATAAAAAACTCACATGTCGCCGTATTTTATTTATATACCAAAATACCTTCAAATTTATTTTGTACAACTTAATAAATGTAAAAATAAAAAAGTGAATTGTTAGGTTTTGTTATATGTGAGGTGAATATTTGGGTGACGTATTAATTACTGAAATATAAAATGAAGTGTAGTATTTTATTTTCAAAGTTGGGCGATGGATACATTTTGTTGCCACAGGTGAAACGGTGTCGTTCGCTTAATTTAAACCGACGGTTGGTTTAATGCATATGGAAACAATTTTTTTGTTGCTAAGAGGACCAACAATAAAAGTCGTTGCGGAAATTGTCGCCCCAGAGTCCAGACATGACAAGAACATTCCCAAGAAAATGTATGACAAATATTTAAATCCATCGTCTTCTTTCATTATCGAAAAGATTTTGTCGTTTTTCCCGTAGTCAGGGACAACGGACTTAAACCGTCGCTAATTTCCATCGTTTTCTAGTAATTTTTTGTAGTGGCTAGTAAATATACGGAACATAAGTTTTCATATAGACTTTTTATATGATACAAACTATTGTATCATAAAGTAACTCTTAAAACAAATCTTAAGGATAAATTTCAATAATACTCTTCTATTTTATCAATAATCTACTTTTTTAGTACTTTTTTAATAATAAAAGAAGATTTAAAAGTTTATAGTATGTGCATTTTTGAAAATTTTACATTTTTTTACTATTCCTTAATAAGCGTGCCAAGTCAACACGGAAAGAATATTTCCGGACGGAGGGAATATATTTGTTTGACGAGTTAGCTACTTCATTCATATTTAACCGATTATTACGAGTTTTGTGATACATCAAAGTGAAATTAATGTAGATTTGATGTGTGTCTAAATTATCCAACTCCGATGTATCACACATCTAATATTTCATCTCTTTATCTGTGATCTGTCCCATAAAAAGTTTTATATTTCTATTTTGTCTATCCAAAAAAAGTGATACTTTTTACTTTTGGAAAAAAATAATGCATACAACTTATTTTATCTGTACTACTTTCAACCACTTGATTTCTATTTTCTTAATCTTTGTGTCAAATCAAACACAAAACTTTGTTAAGAAGAAGGGAGGAGTAATAATCATTTAAAAGTATGAATGGAGGGAATAATCAAATCAATTAAAGAGGTGAAGTATGAACATAGTACCTTCAAAATTGTGGAAAAAACGTTGCTTTGGATTTGGTTGTGGTGGTAGGCAAGCCATAGTTCCTTTGTCTTGGAAATTGGTGCCTCATAGTAAAAGACATCCCATCTTACGCCCACCAAAGTAAAACAGTGCCACTCAAAAGCACCATGTGCATATGGGTCTTCCCCTTCATCCAACCCATGAAAAGGTACTTACTGCTTCTGCTTAACTCCCTCCGTACTCATCACCATTAATTCCCCCAAACAAAACCCATTAATAATTTCTACCCAAAAACCCAAAAACAAAAAAAAAATGAGAAAAACAAAATAAAAATTACAGCTTGGGAAAAGCTTGCTGAGAAGCAAAGAAGAAAGAAAAGCTTCTTCTCATTACCAAATCCTTTTTGCGCCACACTGCTCTCTGAACTGAACTTTCACCTTTCCCTTCCTTGCAATCCATCTTTCACGTGCTTCTTGTCCGTGTTTTTTTATACTATGCGTACAGTATATGTGAATTACAGTTAATAATAAATTTTCACTTTTTCCTTCGTATTTCTTGATCTATCCGAATGCTGGCAGATCTGGGTCCGGAATTCTACTTTCAATCTCGGGATTGATCCGATTTTGGAGGGGGGTCTTGGCGGGTTTCGATCTCCAGTGCATTGGAGCTCAAGGTGAGTTAAAGGGCACGGCTGAAATTCTTGAAGTGAAAGTTCTTTAGCTGGGACTCGAGCTGCTGAAGAATTTTGCAGTTGAAGAATTTTGGGTTTTAATTTTAGGGTTTAGTTGGGTTGTGATTCATTTGGTATTTGAGCTCCACAGTTGAGGCTTTGCATTTGATTATTTGTGGTTTAGGCTTTCTTGGTATCTATTTGGAATCCATTGTTACCTTTAGTTTGGAAACCTGTTAATGGTTGCCCATATGGAGATGTTGACATTGAATTTGGCTGCCTCATTGGGCGAAAGATATATATACACGGGTTAAGTTCGTACAAGCGAAAGTTTGGTTAGGTCGTTTGTTCATGAGGCACCGCAGAGCAATTTGATTATTACCAATTATTGGTTTTGTTGGGCTTTGGATACTGAGATGCCTCCTTCACCATCGATGAGACGTTCCCCTGGAAGGGCAGAGCCCAAGGCAGTAAATCACAAGAGAGGTCACAGTGTAGAAAGTCGGGCAGTTTTCAAGGAGAAAGACGATGATGACCTTGCGCTGTTCAACGAGGTGCAAAGCAGAGAAAGGGATCATTTCTTGCTTGATGCCAAGGATGAATTTGAAGACATATGCTGTAAATTCCTAGACTTGCCTCAATTTTCACCTTTTAGAAGCTTAGTTGTGCCCCCAAATCATGAGACTGATACTCTCCCCCCTCCCATATTTGTTTCCTTTGACAGCAACTAGACTTAGATGCTTTTCGGAGTATAAGCGCGGGATTTCCATCCCTGCTCGGGGAGAGGGCAGCGAATTGCTCAATGATGAGGGAAACAAGAATGATTATGACTGGTTGGTCTTAATTTCCTTTTTCTTGTTCTTCATGTTTAGATTTCTTCCTATTTGAAGATGTAAACATGCACTAATTATTAGATTTCTTAGCTTGTCTTTTCTTGTTTAGTGATTTAATTTGATTTATTCATTCATTAAAGGTTATTAACTCCACCAGACACACCTCTTTTTCCTTCATTGGATGACGACGAGATACCACCACCGGTTAATGTTTCCCAGAGGGGAAGGCCTCGAAGTCAACCCATATCAATCTCTAGATCATCCACCGTAAGTGGCATTGATACGTCACCACTATTTCAATAGCATAACTAGTACCCATGCTTTCAGTATCTCCTTGACATTTTCTTCTTCTTCTTCTTGTTGTGGTTTGGATCATTTACAGATGGAGATGAGCCATAGAAGTAGCAGAGGTAGTGCGAGTCCAGGCGCGGATTCGGGAAGAGGAGCCAGAAGGTTATTATCAATATTACGTCGCTTAGTAGACTATTGTTCTCCTTCCTGTAGTAGAGGGAGAGGATGATCCTTGTTTTTTGAGAGTTCAGGAGGAGGAGGTTGAAGTAGACGAGATTGAGGGTCTTCTGACTCGTGTCCGAGGTCACCGTCCAACTCCCCATGTAGGGGACAATTGTCGAATAGAGGAAACTCGGCATCTCCAAAGATTAGGGCATGGCAATCTAATTTGCTTCCTGGGTTTTCCATGGAGGCACCTCCTAACCTTCGCACTTCCTTGGCAGACCGACCAACATCTTATGTTAGGGGATCCTCACCAGCATCAGGAAATGGATCCCGGTCTGGCAGAAAATCATCAATGTCCCCTGTTAGAAGTGTCAGTTCTACGTATAGTCATGACCGGGATCGTGTGAGCTCATATGGTAAATGTTCAGTTGCATCATCCGGCGATGATGACACAGAATCTTTACAATCGACCCCTGCGAGCAGTTTAGACCCTTTGGGTCCAAGAAGTTTTGGGGGGACATTCCAACATAATAAAGCTCTGGGTTCAAAGAAGAAGATGACTAGAATAACTTCTTCCAGTTCTGCTCCAAAGAGGTCCATTGACTTGACACTTCGACAAATGGTATCTTGTTTTACTCTTCTGTTTTGCTTGCAACGATGATAAAATAAATAGGATAAGAGAAAATTGCAATCTCGGGCCCAATTAATTTTGCCTGTTGGTGTTTTCACGGTCTTGAATGCAACACTTTGACCATTAGTTACTATATTTCTATATAAAGAAATATTATAAAAATATGATATTTCAAAATGAATATACACTTTGTATTAAAGTGGGACAGAGGGAGTAGCATTTTTCTGATGAGTTTTTGATCCGTTTAATCGGTTGACCCATGCTTATAAAGAACTGCAAAACTCATTTACTGCTTATCTTCAGAATCTATCACTATTGTGAGTAAAACTAAACTGTATTTTGATTTTGATGACCTTAACATTCAAAAAAGTTGAGATTGGTACATTTCATATTTTCATCTGTTATTATATTTTGTTTGGGAATACTGATTTCACACTTCAAGTGAATCTTTACGCATTCCTGCCAAGCATGCTTAATACGATGACCACATTTTTTTTTGGGATAGGATCAGCGGAAAAGTCCACATAATATGTTCAGGCCGCTGTTATCAAGTGTACCTAGTTCAACGTTCTATTCTGGCAAAGCAAGTGGCGCGCGTCGTTCCCTTGGATCTCTACACTCTTCAGTCACAACCAGCAGTAATGCTAGCTCTGATCAAGGCATCTGTATTGCACATGACACCGAAGCAAGCGAGCAAAATCAGGACATAAATAGCGAACATGTACAGTCATTGTTTCATGATTCCGACATAGTGTTCGCCTTAGATAATGATGTTGACGCTCTAGACAATTTAGATCATGGTAATCAAAATGTTGTGCCACCTAGCAGCCTGCTTGACAAACTAGATGGTCCCCTTGCTGTTGATTCTGGGTCAATTGCTGATGAAGGTTTCAGTACAAACACTGGAAATTCTGAAGTATTGACCCAATTCGAAGCTCTAATAGTTTGCTCGAAATGCAGCTTGAAGTATCCTCCTACAAAACCAGTTGAAGAAGATCCCAAACTCTGTCCAGACTGCAAAAGTTTGGAAGCACAACAAGTTTTGAGCAGTCCAATGACTAGAATTTTGGTCGTCGCTGATTCTCCGGGAGTTTTGGCTGGTCACAATGAACAACAGGCTTATAGTTACTGCGAAAATCAGAGCGATGTGCCAGGCTGGGACTTGACTTCAAATAAGTCCATTGATCAAACACCATTGCAACCAAGTGACTGTTCTAGTGCCACTGCTGATGTTGCAGAGGGTGCAGGCATTTCTCTGCTGCTGAAAAGGTGTGGCAGCGGCAAAGGGCATATTGTTCAAAACAGGACACTTAGTGCCACTAGCATAGCATATGATGATTTGTCGTATGTACGCGACAGTGTGAGCAGCCTGAGAAGCTCTTTTGGGCATGGCAGTGCATCTGCTTCATCATCTTCAGTTGACATCAGGTCAACTACTCAAATGGAGACCGGCATTCAGCGGCAATCCAGTGGCAGGAGGAAACCAGAGGCAGAAAGCTATCGGAATGATGTTGAAGCAAACTTGTTGTTATTGAGTAATAAAGATAGTAAGGGCGAAAGTATTTGTAGAATCCCTTTGGAACCCACGAGTCACACGACAATTATCCATGCAGAGGAAACTTCGGCTGCAAATTTTGACTCTACTTTTTCTGAAAATGGTGACATATTAACTAACTCAGTTCATTCGTTAGACATGGATCCTTCTTGCATGGAATCTGTGCCATCAACTGTTAAAGAAGATGTGCCAAATTATTGCGTTGACAATTTGCATGACACTGAAATTCCTGAGGAAGACTGTTTTGATGCAAAATGTGGAGTGCAAATTCAGAATGATGATATACGCTCTCATCATTTGCAGTCTGATGGTAGTTCAGGGAGCAGTAGACATGACGTGAAGGGGTGTGCTTTACATGCAGCGAATGATGAAGAAATTGGAGATCCTTTTGAAACAGACGCTTGTCACAGATACGGTATATATATATATATATATATCTTTTGAATTTCATATAATCCTGCTTGTGTTGAATTCCTTTTTCACTTTTCTTTTCTACCCAATTTTAGCATTATGAAATAAAGTATAGAATCTTGATATATTTATACTGTTGTTTTATTGCATCCTTACTTCAAGTTAAATAAATGACTTCATCAAAATGAAAAAATTAAACTTCTATTGCTTCTTACTTTCTATGAAGTTTTTGGAAATAAATGCAGCAATGCATCTATGGTCTTAACAAGCTATTTTTATAGGGGTAAGACAACATACACTGTACATCTTGACCCTCAACAATGTTGATAGCATTGGGTTGTTGTTGGTTTTATTGCGTCCTTACACCTTATATGCTTAATTGGAGGGAGTCATGCTCAAATAAACCATTTTTGTATTTTGACAACAAAAACCAAGGACCTAAAAGTGGTATCTAGGTAGGGGGTGCGTGTACGCAGACCTTAACCCCTACCTAAAAAGGTAGAGGTTGTTTCCAAAAGACCATTGCCCAAAAAGAAACATAAAAACGTGTTAGAGCACTCAAATTATCTACAAATTAACAATCCCCTACAAAGGCAACCCTCCACACCTAACCCCCTCGGGTAATCCGAGTGTCATGTCACATTATCCCACAACTTTTTTGTATTTTCAGAATTTAAAAAAAATATCAAGAAGTGAAAAAGAATATGATATTCATCAATTTTTTTGCGCTGTTACAAAACAGAGGAATCGACTGTTGTCATAGAGGGACATTCGGGTGTCAAAACAAGAAGCTTGACATTAGAAGAAGCAACGGATACAATACTGTTTTGCAGCTCTCTGGTCCACAATCTGGCATATAAGGCTGCCGATATAGCAATTAGCAAGGAAAGTTCGTCCCAGCCTACTCCCACGGTATTTGGCAAAGCCAGCCCAGATAGAAGGGGGGACCTGTGGAGCAGAACCTCTGCGAGGCGCAACTCCAGGCCTTCTCAAAAGGTGAAACCAAAGGTGATTGAACCTGAATCACAACCCCCTCCAAACAACACCGATTGTGACGAGAAAACCGAGAAATCGGGTGCTCATGTTGTGGGGGTGGGTCCCACAAAGGACGACGCCTTGAAGCCTCCTCCCCCTCCAAAACAGGAATCCAAATGCAACTGCACAATCATGTGAGTCTTCAATTCACACCATTCTTGCACAGCTCAAAGGGTGCTCGGCGTAGAGTTTGATTTGGCAATTGCTTTTTTTTTGGTCCCCTTTCTTTTTTCCCACTCTTTTGTTGGTTCAAATTGAATTTAAAGATATGATTCAGTAACATAATCATTGTAAAGTTTTAAATTCTTGTTAGGCTGATAAATAGCAAGCTGTTCCTGATGCCATATATATATATTCTTGTTACATCTCTTCACTTGTATCTGGTTTGTAGTTTTCCACTAGAGAGCAAAGTGTGATCATTTATTTTTTGCACTTTCAAGCTATAATGAGTTCCTTGTTAGATTCATTCATGTATTGTTCTTTGTGCTTTCAATGGAGGGAAAGAGAAGGATAGATAGGGTTTAGATGGATTTTGAGACTTGTGGGTGTATGCAATCATAAATTTTGTTGAGAAAAGAGAAATGATGATGGATATAGTTTGTTTAGAAAAGAGAATATAGTGAGTCACACACTCTTTTTCTTAAAAGGAAATTTAAGAAGAATGAGTTTAATTTCGAGACTGCCAGAAATGAAAAGTGTGATGTTGTTTTAGGGACAAGGTATAAGAAATAAGAAAAGCTTAATGTGCTCTTTTTAAGGTTGCCCTCACTTCTTCTAATGTGTCATTTTGATCTTATTCATTATTACTTTGTATATATCTAAAACTAAGGGTGTGTTTAGTGAGCAAACATGATATAGGTTTTGAGATCTCCGGAAATCAAAATCCTTTTCTGGTGCTTGGTGAAACTAAAAAAGATATCGAATTCGATATATCAAGATATCATAAATTTTCAAAATGGAGAATTTCGATATCTTTCGAATTTGGGAGATATCAATATGTGGTTTTGATATCTCTCTCAACTGTTAATCATTCTCCGCTTTCAGTTACCATTGTCACCTCCAACCATCCACATTACTAGTCATTCTTGCTTATCACTAATTAAATCATGATTTTAAATCTTTCCAAACAAGTTCTTTTCAGATTTCAAAACACATCATTTTTTCAAGATTTCATAACCCATATCTTATCATATCTCTAAATTTTACCAAATGACAAACATTGTGAAAAATATTTCTTTTAGCTCCATTGACATTAGATGCAATGCATTTACGGAGTATAAAATAAATAATGGCTTGTTGAGGAATTTGGATTTAGATTTCAAATTTGAATCAACTTTCTCTAATTCTCAAGAATGCTCAAGTACAAATCTATATACTCCTAGAATCCTTTTGGTATATGAAATTCAAATTATAAAATTAGAATTGGAGACAAAAATTTTAATTTTTCTTTTTTGGTAGTACAAAAATATGTGGATTTGAATGAAATTGACTAAAATGTTACTCTCTCCGTCCCGAATTGGATGTTATTGTCACTATTACGACTTCTCGATAATTTTTATTTGTTTATATATTTTTATTAATTATTTGATAAAATATTATAAGAGTCGATAAAATATTTTATTTTATCAAATAAGCAATAAAAATATATTCTATAACAAATAAAAATCATACTCCAGTAAATTTCAAATGGGAAATAGAAGAGGACCGGTTTGAACATGAGCAGATCACAAGGAAATACATATGCCATCAACCTCCAACCTAAACGTCTATGTACGAACGATTCTGGAGAAATGCCGCCATATCCATCATCTCGAGCAGCTTCAAGCTCATCTCATCGCGCTCGGCCATGGCCAGACCCAATTCTACGCCTCCAAGCTCGTCCGGTTCTGCACCGTCTCCCTCTCCGATCTTGGCTATGCCCGCTTCATCTTCGACCACCTTCCACACCCTAACGTGCATCTCTACACCGCCTTGATCACCGCCTACAATCTGCACTCCGATCACAGTTCCGCGCTTCGACTGTACAGGGAAATGGTGCGCAGAGGCAGTTCGAAGCCGAATGAGTTTGTGTTTCCCTTAGTCTTGAAGTCTTGTCCGGCGGTCGTCGAGCGTTTTGGGACTCAAATGGTGCATACCCAGATTGAGAAAACGGGGTTTCTGGATTACCCGGTTGTGAAGACGGCGCTTTTGGATTCGTACTCTAGGTTTTCCTCTGATATTGGGGTTGCCCGTGAACTGTTCGACGAAATGCCTGAGAGGAATGTGGTGTCATGGACTGCTATGATCTCTGGTTTGACCAGAGTTGGGAAGATGGGAGATGCCATTTTCCTGTTCGAGGAAATGCCCAAGGAGCTGAGAGATACTCCCTCTTGGAATTCGATCATCTCTGGGTGCACGCAGAACGGTTTGTTTCCGGAAGCACTTTTGTTTTTCAGCAAGCTGGTTCTGGAGGAAAGGAAGACAGGGAATGCGAATAGACCAAACCAGACTTCTGTAGTGTGTGCGCTTTCTGCGTGTGGCCATGGTGGAATGCTGCAACTGGGAAAGTGCATCCATGGGTATATGCTCAGGACTGTGCTTCCATCTGATTCATTCACATCAAACGCTCTGATCGACATGTATGGGAAATGTGGGAGTTTGAAACAAGCAAGAACAGTTTTTGATTCCAGCCCCAGAAAGAAAAGCTTGACCTGTTGGAATTCCATAATCAATTCTTTTGCCCTTCACGGTCACTGGAAATCTGCCATTGCTGTTTTCACAGAGATGCTACAATGCAAAGATGCTGTGAAACCAGACGGGGTAACTTTCGTCGGATTACTGAATGCCTGCACACATGGGGGATTGGTAGAGGAGGGGCTTCGCTTGTACGATTTGATGACGAGAAAGTACATGATTGAGCCTGAGATTCATCACTATGGCTGCTTAGTCGACCTTCTGGGCAGGGCAGGCCGGTTCAATGAGATAATGGAAGTCGTGAAGGGGATGAGGGTCCCACCTGATGAGGTGGTCTGGGGTTCTTTACTCAACGGGTGCAAGATTCACGGGCAAACGGATCTGGCCCGGTTTGCTCTGAAGAAACTGATTGAGATTGACCCGAACAATGGTGGGTACTACGCAATGCTGGCCAATCTCTGCGGGGGGCTAGAAAAGTGGGACGAAGCGCTGAGGTTGAGGAAGATAATCAATGACCAGAGTGCGTATAAGGTCCCGGGTTGCAGTTGGATCGAGGTTGATGGCCGAGTTCATCAGTTCTATTCTTTTGACAAATCACACTCTATGACTTCATATATATACATGGTTTTGGATTCTATACTGACCCCTATAAGTCCAAACTAAGGGGTGTATTCAATTCCGACTTCACAAGAGTCTTTTGTATATTAAAAATACGCGGGCATTCTCAAAGAATCATTTAAAATCTTCAAGTATTCAAGATCTCGAACTTTCATTTTAAAATATTCATCAATTAGCATTGAAAAATCAATGGGTTTCCAAAGAGTTTCATCAAATAAGGATCGTGAAGGATTCTAGAGCCCTTTTACAAATCCCACTAAAAATGTAGAGATTTTGATGGAGATAAAGCCTTCTCTTCATCTTTGGTATCTTGATCTGCTTGGCTGCACAATTTGGAAGGAATCTGGAACGCCGCGATGGCTGGCGGTGCAGCAAGCTTCCGCCCGCGGCGATCTGCGGCAAACTCACCCCTTGCTGCGCTCTCATGACCACCGGCAACGGCGGTGGGAACCGAACCTGTGGCGGCATGCGGCTCAGACGGTGCTGGCTCTCCGGAGCAGTGCCATCAATTTTATTCCCCATTTTCTTCTTATATCTTCGACTATTAGTATCGCACCGCGTTGTACTGGTCATATTTACATTTTGAAATTAAAATAGACTACATAATGAAATATAAAACTGTAAAGCTTGTATATCAAATCAATTACAAGTTTTAAAATAATTTTTTTTATAAACTACATTGCTACTCATAATCATTGATTAGAACCTTACTTTTTTTGTTAGGCGCAACGCAATGCAATATATCCAAATGAAGGAAGAATTAATCTGTGAATTGATAATTGTGTTGTTTGGATCATTATAGAATTACTGGCAATATTTAATGAAAATCTCTACCAAACACAATTATTTTTCGTCCAAAAGTTTGATTTTCACTCATTGGATTGAAAATTAAATAGAAAGATTAATCATATGTTGAACTAAACTAAAATGAAAATAAATTCAAAAACAATATGCATTGTAACTTGTAAATATTACTACGTACTACGTATAAGAATTGAGCATGAAATAATATGAAGAGTTCTTCTTTGGTGCACTTTGAATACATTTAATTTTTGTAGATCTTGTCACATAAAAAATTTACCCCGGAGTATTTTTTATTTAAAAAAACGGATGCTTGTTTAAGCAGTAATGAAATGCTTATTTTACTCCTATGTAGGTTTGCCTAATATGAAATGTTAAGAGTCTCCATTATAAATTGATTTCCAATTATGCAGAATTAAATGCTCTCTATATGGCAATAGACACATTTTTAGCATTACGATGATAAAAAAAAGCTTCAATTTTGTAAAAGCGGTCATTAAGATACCTAATAAAAATCATCCTAAATAGCACTAAAACATTGAAAAATACCAAAATAAAAGTTCTATATTTTTTGTTTCGAAATAAGAGTACACACTGTGGTTATGTGGTACTGTACATGTACACGTTAATATACTTTTTGGTAATGTACATGGACATGTTTGGTAATGTACATTGTGACTAAAGTAGGAGTAAAATTTTGAAAAAAACCAAAATAGAACTTCTACATTTTTATTATCAAAATAGGGGTAAAAATGCAGTCGGTTGACATTGTGACTTTGATTGACATTGTGTTTAGTTTTTTTCTTGACAATGGCACCATGAACAAATTTTAAAATCAAAGACAGTCGGTTGGCTCACCATTCTGTATTTGAACTATGTTACTCCGTATCATTTTTCAACTATAAGAATAAAATAAAATTGTTGCTGCACAAATACATATTGTCTGCGATAAGGATTCCTCACAATATATTTTGCAATAAAGAATTTCCCCTAATAGTGCGCCAGTGTCAGACCCAAACCCAAAAACGTAAATGATTTCAAATAAGGAAAAGTAAAAAACCATAAATTCATTCACATTTCACAACAATTAGCAAAGATTTTAGATTAATAATTAAGGTTAAGAAACAAGATAGGAGTAAAACATTGATAAAATCTCAAAATATGAGTTGAAAGATAAAACCCTCAAAATAGGAGCTACTGACTCACCGAATCTACAAAAAGGGCAATAATCCATATATACAGTGGAAGAAATTCTCCACTTCTCACCTCCTCCAAGTTTCATTAGCCCAGGATTTTTTGGTTTCGAGCTACGTCCATTTTTTTGTCGTTTCTATTGTCTTATTCATTGCCTAGCATCCGAGGACTAAGCTCAATCCCTCTCCAGATGCATCTAAACCATTCAAATTTACTTCTTTTTCCATTTTTAATCATCAACCACTGAACATATATTCTTCGTGTAATTCAAGAACCAGAAGTGCATGAAACAAGTGATGAAGTCCATACCACTGCCAGAGCTGTAGACAAGTGCATTGGACGCCAACTCTTTGATACTGGTCCCTAGAGTCCAGTAGTGAGTGCTGCTGGTTTGAAACTGCGACCAGTGCTGAACAACAGCGCTCATTGGTGATGGAAGCCTTAGTAGCTGGTGGATAGGAGGAACTCACCGCCATTGTCGCCGCCGCCACAAATTTCACCTCACATTCCAAAGCATAAAATTTTCAGGTTTGCAATACATCCAATTACTAGAAAGGAGTTTGGAAGATAGCGGGTTCAGAACCTCAAGAAAATGAAAACCCCTCACATAAAAAAGTAAACCCGTATTTTAATTTTTAAGATTGCAAAAAAGTCACTCTTTAATTCTCTTAACCAACATTAACATCTCTAGATCATAAATCAAAAGAAAATCTCCTACTGTCGTCACCATAGTACCAGATTAATTGTCCATAAAGTGTGAAATAAGGACATAATGCCAAACATGACAATGTATAATGACAAACATGTCAACATATAATGAAACAAATAACAATACATAATGTTAAAAAAGAGAAATGCCAAAAAACTCTATAATTTGCCAATGTCATAATCATTCAATTCAAACTTCAATCAAGTAATTCATATTCTAGATCAAAAAGTGCCAATTTAACTTTTATTCCAAATACCCCAATCACACAAACAATAAGAACGATAATCTCAAAAGAACACTAGAAAAGAACGATAATCACAAAAGTCTGGAATCTTTGATTTCCAAAAAATATAGCTAAAAAATACACAAAGAGTGCACACAACACACAAAAAAATTCCAATGAATATTTGCAGCCCCAACAAATCTAAACATACATCTAAATTAAACTAAAACATGCAAATGAATTGAAAAAGCAGGTTTTCTTTAATATTTAACTCTAGATTTTCAGGCCAACAAATCAAGTACAATGGCAGAAGGGGCTCGATGGCGATTGCGGCAGCGGCGGCGCGATGGTGAAAGGAAGAGAGAGAAAGGAGGTGGGACGACTATGTTGTTTTACCGATCGATCGGGAAGTGGAGGGGACACTATACAAAATTACAGAGTAAATTATATTATAATAATTACTTCCATTTTGGGTATATAAGTATCCGGAAATGGAGGGGACATTATTAACCCTAGATTTTCAAGCTAGCGAATAAAGGATGAAACTATGAAAAAGTCACAAAAATAGGTACCTAAAGGCTAGAGCAGTGGAAGGGGGAAATAGGAAGGGGGGTAATTGGCCCCTCAAATAGATGGGCCTGATCTCAGAATTTACATGCCATGTTTGAGTGGGGGCTGGTTAAAAATCATGAAAAACATATGATCATGGCTTTAAGAGATTAATTAATCATAATTACTTTTCCCATGCCGAAAAATCTAGGGCGTAGATTTGGGGGACCGGTATAGTAATACATTAAGTAATGTTATATTCTTTTTTATTTCATCTTTTTAATTTCGTTTCTTCTCAAACTTTTTTATCGATGAAAAATTAGGCTTTGTTCATTCCTTGTCATTTTCAAGGAATTTGACACTTTCACCATGCCGCTCACTTGTGGCTCATGGAAGATTTATCTGTGATGATGATGGGTATGAGTACAAAATTTGACTGCTGAAAAACTAGTTTGGTACTCGCGAGGATTCACGTATATAGTTCGAAATTCATGTCTCCCTGAAAATAAGTGTTCCGTGTTTCATCCCATTAGAATAATACCATATGAGCCGGTAAGCATATATTTTTTGAAGTATTTTTATGCAAAGGGAACCAATTCAAGCATACCAACACAGATTGAACTAACAACAATTGGCTGAAATCTTGGGTTTTTTGGCAGATGTTTTGGTGTTTTTCTGGGATCTTCTTTTGTCCTCCTTCTCTTTAAACTCACGGAAGTAAATTATGGTAGTGAGTTCTTCCACGTCGAAAGGATGGTACCAGAATTTAACACAGTAAGATCTCTCCTTTTGCTTGTCGTCCCATGCAAGTAGAGTGAAGTAGAGCATGAGGCCTCTAACGATCCCCGCGCTTACCTTCACAAGTTTCACCAACTCTAAGCTTGTCTCCTGCACATTTTTATATGTATATATATTGAAGACGCATTCAAAAAAATCAAATCATAGATCTTGTAGAGGAGACAGAAGAGTAAATACATATACAATGAAAACAAAAAAGGAAAGAGAAAACAAGTTAGTTAACATTTTCCTTGTTATGTTGCTCAACAGCCTCCTGGATAGTCTCTTCTTTGACCTCCCATTCCCTCACACTTCCAGGTATGTATCGACGACAACAATGATGACGCAGTCTTGAACTCTCACCCAAACTTGGAAACACAAAAACGGAGATCATTTAAAATTAAACAAATACTCTCGTAATATCCTGAAAATGATAGCAAGTTTGTTTATAGTATGGTTGATTTCATTACTGCGCGTAACAAAATTATCTTTTGTGCAATAACCTTGACCCTAACTTGTTCAGTTGAATTTGTGCCCTCCTTGTTTTTTTAATTCTGGCGCCGATGTATCTTGGATTGCGAGAGTGTTTGTTTAATTTGATATGATTTTCGTTTTCGTGTTTCAAAGTTTGGGTGATAGTTCAAGACTGCGTCATCGTTGTAATTGTCGGTACATACCTGGAAGTGTGAGGTAATGGGAGGTCAAACAGGAGACTATCCAATATGCACAGGAGGCTATTGAGCAACATAACAAGGAAAAGGTTAACTAATTTCCTTGTTTTCTCTTTCCTTTTTTGTTTTCATTATATATGTATTTACTCCTCTGCCCCCTCTACAAGATCATGTGTGTATGATTTAATTTTTTGAATGTGTCTTCAATATGTATACATATAAATAATGTGCAGGAGACGAGCTTAGAGTTGGTGAAACTTGTGAAGGTAAGCGCGTGGATCGTTGGAGGCCTCATACTATACTTCACACTACTTGCACGGGACGACAAGCAAAACGAGAGATCTTACCGTGTTAAATTCTGGTACTATCCTTTTGACGTGGAAGAACCTACTACCATAATTTACTTCTATGAGTTTAAAGAGAAGGAGCGCAAAAGAAGATCACAGAAAAACACCAAAACATTTGCCAAAAAACTCAAGATGTCAGCCAAATGTTGTTAGTTCAATCTATGTTGGTATGCTTGAATTGGTTCCCTTTGCATAAAAGCTATTGAACTTTTATGTCTGCACTCTTTAAAATTTCTCTCAATGTCTTATGCTTATGCTCCCTGTATGTATTTACTTGGGGTGATCGTGGTACGGTATGGTACGGTATTTGGTTCTTACTGATACCGTACGGTATTTGGTTCTTAGTACATATATTTGGGCGATCTGGTAAATCTTTATCTGAATGACCCTAAGTGGGTCGTGGTGGCTCTACTTTACCAGAGTATATACAATGGTATTGATGGGTTGACAGAGACAAAATTACATTACAGTTGATTATTCGAAGTAGCTTAAAAGTAATACTTGAGTATTTTCATTATGCAAACAAGACAATTTCAATTCACAAAATTTACCTACTTACAAAATAAATATTTTTCGCAAAGTTTTTTTACTATATTTTTTCACAAGTGCTACGTCACAATGGGTTTTACTTGTAACTCTTTATTAAAGATAAATAGCTAATGATGAGTTTTGATTAGTGGTTATAGAAGATGAGTTTTTAAATAGTCTCCCTTTAACATTTTGGGACAAGACCGTGTAAGACTATGGGATAAGACCTCATCTTTCATAACTCATCTTTAGTTATTTATCCTTAATAAAGATTTGCAAGTAAAACAAGTTGTGACGTAGCACTTGTGAAAAAATAAAATAAAAACTTAATAAAAATTATAAATTTTGTCTTGTTTGTATAGTAGTAATACCTGAGTGTTACTTTTAATATACTTTGAACACATCAATTGGAATGTAATTTTACCTATGTTAACCCATCAATACTATTGTACTTACTATGGTAGAGTAGAGCCTCCACGACTCACATTGGGTTATTCAGATAAAGATCCACCAGACCACCCAAACACATGTTTCTATTAATGATATGGTTTACTAAAGATTCTTCCTACAAAAAGTAAAAGTTATATTGTATCATAATATGATTAACGAATGCATATTCATGATAATATGATTAACGAATGCATATTCATGTAGAAGGGAAAAACACAAAAAAAAAATATACTTGATTATATTTTACTTAATATTAAGACAATACATAAATAAAAAAATACTCTAAACATATATTCTTACAGTGGAAAATACTCTAAAAATACTAAAAAAAACGCTCACATGCACTAAAAATGCATAAATTTCGGTAGGATATATTGAAAACAAGTATAGGTGTATATACTCTAAAAATAACACATAAATGAAACATACTAAAGATACTATATAAATTGGTTCTAAATAAAACATAAAATACCCAAAAAATAACACAAACATAAAAATACCCTAAAAATACCCATTTATAGGCCCAAAAAATTATAAATAAATTGGTTCTAAATGATACATAAATGAAAAATATTACTCAGAATAAATACTTACAAAGTGAAAAAATAGTAATAAGTGAAAAATACTCTAAAATATACATGCTTACCGTCTGATATGGTATTATTCTAATAGGATAAAACAGAGAGAGCTCATTTTTAGAGACACATGATTTCGAACTATATATGTGAATCCTCTGTCCGCATCGCGAGTACCAAACTAGTTTTTCACCTACTAAATTTTGTACACGGATCCCTCATCATCACAGATAAAAACCTTTCATAAGCTACAAGTAGGGCAGCATGGTGAGGTGTCTCAAACTCCTTGAAAACGACAAGCGATGAACAAAGTCTAATTATTCATCAATAAAAAAAGTTTGAGTGAAAACGAAATATAAAGGATGAAATCAATAGGAATATAACATTGTATTACTATATTGATCCCCAAATATGCGCCCTAATATTTTCGGCATTGAAAAAGCAATTATGATTGGTTGATCCTCTAAAGCCCTGATCATGTGTTTTCATCATTTCTAACCATCTCCATTCAAACATGCTATGTAAATTCTGAGACTGAACACAATAATTATATATTATGGAATTATTAATTTAATGAAATATAATTATAAAAACAAAGGTAACTACTATGTACTTCTTATTTGAATCGTACGTATTCTATTATACTAGTTGGTTTCAAAACAAAAAGTATATATTTGGTATGAACTGTTTAACTTTGACAAAAGAAAAAAATTATATTCGATCATCACATACCCGGTTTGCAAGCAGTTTGAGCATCTGTGTACTGACAAATGGCACATTCGACTCTTTCGCAACCTTGTTGTATTTCATCTATACCAGCGCAGCCATATTTGAGTAGCCCTTGCAGTAGGCATCTCTATTGTGGTTTACAACATCTTGGGCAGAAAGCACAAGAATAAGAGGCTGTTGGGACCATAATCTAGTGACGTTGAAGGCCATCCGCAGACGCAATCCCGTAGCAAGTGCACATTCTTCCCCGAGGCCTTATGGGTGAAAGAATTGAGTTATCACCATAATGGTGCTCCAAAGAGAAGTCTATTTCTAGTTTCTCAGCTCGGCCCTTATTACAAATATGGAAGCATTCAAACTTGTCCACATTATGGACAAATTAGAGGTTTAGGTGCATGTGGAAGGGAGCTAAGGCCAAACGTATAGATCTCTAAGAGAGGATTGGTGCTAAGGAGGGCATAAAAATGTATGTTCAAACATCATTTGCTTTCGGACCCTTGGACATATATGGTAGGAAGCCCTAAAGTCAAGGACCCACACATCAGCATGATGCGTGTGTTCATCTGCAACCAAAGCAATGTCCTCTTCGGAATTGGTGCCATCTACCGCTACCGCAATACATCCAGATCTAATTTTATGCTCCAAATATTGCTTTCTCTTCTTTGGGCAATAGTTACAAACATCATTTGCTTTCGGACCATTGGAACCCGGCATCTTAAATTTCTTCTTGCCCAATTGTCCATGTCCCTTACTTCCACTAGCTATCAATCCAGCGGCCTAATAGTATATTCCTGCACCAGTCGCCTTATGGCGCAACTCCCTGCTATGGAGAGATGACCTGAACTCTTCCATAGACACTATATATTTCCCAACGATGAAAGACTATACGAAATTCTCATACGATAATGGCAGTGAGACCAACAAAATTAAGGCAACATCTTCATCTTCTACCTTAACATCAATATTACGCAACTCTAAATGAATTGTATTTAATTGATCTAGATGGTCTATAAGAGGGGTACCTTCTTCGTGCATTCGTAGACTGAACAGGCGTTGCTTTAGAAGCAACTTGTTGGTTAAAGACTTCGTCATGTATAGACTTTCCAACTTCAACCATAAACTAGCAGCACTTTCTTCATCTGCGACCCCAGTGATGACATCATCTACAAAACACAACATGATAGTCGAATGTGCCTTCTCCTCAAAGGCAGCCAACTCAGCGTCGTCACACTAATGTCCTTTGATAATGGCATCCACAAGCCTTGTTGCTTCAACAAAGCTCGCATCTGGATCTGTCATGGACTAAAGTTGTTCCTCCCTGTGAAGATGCAAAATAACTATTAATCTCATATTCGAGGTGTAAATATAACTAGATTCGATTTGGGGCTAGTGGATGAAGTTTGCTGAACTTTGACCTGGAGAGATAATGATTGAAGGATGTGCGACAAAATATAGGAACTGAAGCGTACCTGAGCTCTACCGGCCCCAGCCTAATACGCCGGATTGAAGCGCAGCTGACAGCTGGGCATCGCCGATTGAACCAGCGGCTAGATTCCCAGCCTGATCTCGTCTGTGTTGCCGTGGCCGGTGGTTGATGTCGGATAGCCGCAAGCGGTGTTGAATGTATCTATACTCCAAATAAATACGCAATGGAGAGGGTAGGGTAAATGAGTCATAATGGAGGTGGTTGTGGTTGTGTACATCTTTTGTTATATTCCTACCATTGCTCATGTATTTATGTACCAAATAAATAAATATAGATATTATGCATCTCTATTTCACAGACACACGCTTCCTCCGTCTCAAATTGTAAAAATAACATTTTGAATAACGTGTAAAATATTACTTCGTAATTCTTTTAAAGTTATTTTATATATAAATTAATAGAGAAATAAAGAATAAAAAAGTATACCGTTCAAAAAAAGATCAAAAATATTACAAAATAAGATGTAATAAAAATAATTTATTTTATCAATAATCAACCAAAATGAGTCAACAAACAAAAGTTATTGATAGAACAAAATAATGTATAGAGACTGAGAGAGAAGAAAGAGATGTACTCCATACCATTTATTTATAGAAAAAAGGAATTCCATAAGGTAGTATATTGAAACTATTATTTCATTTCAATTTATGCATTTCAATTCTAAACTTTAAAATTTTGAATTGAAATGACAAGGGGAGTTGTATGAATTTCGAATTAAATTTTGTAATGCATGAAAAGATTTTGACTCAAATTCAAACCCAAAATTTTTAAGTTCTCCAAACATAGAATTTGATGAACATAGAATTTAAAATCACTTTCTATTAATAACAAGCTTGGTAAAATATAGAAAGCCAAAAAGAAGATGAAAAATGTTGATTGGGTTAGTTTTTTCATGTGCAACAACGCATTTGTTCCCTCACGTTCATACCACAATGCAAGGAAAAATAAAATACTTCGTATTAATTTATTTTTTTGCAAAAAACAATTATTTTTTCACAATAAAAATAATAAAATTTATTTTCTTTTATTTAAATTATTATTTTTAAAGTGCATTCTTGCAAATATTACTTAATTTCTAAAATAAAATTACAATATTTAATAATTATTATAAATCGTGTACTATAATAGTGAAATCTATATATTTTAGCTAAATTAAAGCAAGCAAAGATTGAAAATTACAATATAAAATGACCTGTTATATCACTATTTATATACTCTCCCCGTCCCAAATTATTTGTCACATTTTCTTTTTCAACAGTCGCGAGAACTTTTGTTTATTTCTACGTTTTCATTGGTTATTTGATAAAATAAAATATTTTTGACACCTCTTATTTCGAAGAACTCTTCATGTAGTTTTTTGATATATAATTTTATTTTTTATTTCTTTACCAATATATAATTAAAATGAATTGAAAAAACTTGATATTTTATCTCGGTAATAGAAATGTGACAAATAATTTAAGACGGAGAGAGTACTAAAAATGACTTTAGCACAGTCATATTTAGCAAGATGATCTTAGACATGACATTGAAGTTTTTTTTCCGTATGAGGCGGATTAGGTAAACCCAAATCTGACTTTTTGTACTTTTGAGGGTGCACATTGAATGCTTTGTGTATCTTTGAGGATTGACTTTTTGTTCTTGGAGGATGTGATTTACAGTGGTACATTGAATGCTTTGTGTATCTTTGAGTACGCAATGATGTCAGTTATTACTCTAAGACGATTAGACGAATAATTTATACATTTGTAGAAAATAATACTCCCCCGTCCTAATTCTTTCTTCACAGTTTAACTTTTCTCCATTTTTAATTTTTGGCTTTAACTTCAAATTTTACCCTCCTTAAAAAAGATTTTATAAATTTTTTTTGCAGTCATTCAAAATATAGAGTTAGAAGATAACTGGTGTAAATACATGAGGGGGTATTAATGTCATTTGTCATCTTTTTTTTCTAATGGAAAGGTAGTTTTAAGACGAAGAAAAAGAAAAAGTGGAAAGAAAGTTTTAGAATGGAGGGAATAATAGAGAATAATTCTAATATTGAATTGTCTTAGAGATTACAAAAATTCAACTCTCTTTATATAGATAGAAGGTCAAACAAATAAATAAAATTTTATATCTATCATAATTCTATTCCTACTATAACAAGAATAGGAAAACTATTTACCTAAATCATATCCTAACACTCCCCTTCAAATTGAGAATGAGGATTGAACAATTCTTACATGTACACATCACTATTTCTACTTTTTATAATTAAAGCAACTTTACATTTATTTCTTAAATCACACCGCCAAAAGACAATTTTTAAATAAAATGATTTCAAAAAACACTAGGTTTTTCTTCATAACTCCCTTTGTGTAATCTATTACGCGGCGAACAAAGTATTTATTATCAGCGCTCCAAAAAAATCATTTTTTTACAATAATACTCCAAAATTAGATATTGATCCAAATAAAAAATCTATGGGATCCATGTAAAACAAACCTCTCTTCTTCTCTGGGAGAAGATATAGTAAAAATATTGAACTTTTGCAAGCGCCGGTGATAATTATACCATCCTGGGGTGTTCGCGTAAAATCTCAAATTTCTGAGGGTATTGCATGAACTTTTCCATATCTGTTAAGCTTCAAGGATTGTATGAAAAACCTTTCTCATCTCAGCAGCAGCCATACCGGCGGCGAGTTCTGACTTGGTGCGCCAAGCGACGTGCTCATCCGGCCTCACTAAAATTGCTCCCCTGTGTGACATCTGGCAGATGTCCCACCAAGAAGACGGCGATGAATTTTGTGGGTTCTCAACTTCCACAACATCTATGAAATTTTCCCAAGGTGCCAATGCAGCTTTGCTTGTGCTGTTGTTGGATCCCCCAGTAACAGTGTCTCCAGGCCACATCACACATACCTTCAAAGGGACTTTCCTTTCCTCAGCGGTTTGGAGTGCTGCTAGAGCCAAATGGTAGGAGGGCTCCACTGGTGCTATAATGAAAAGAAACTCGGTCTTCTCTGCCGATACAAGGTCCAATGTAGAAAATGCTTCCTGCACATGGTGATTTTTCTCTTAAGAGTCTGAATTTCCACATTTTGCATGTCAAGATCATGTATTTGAGTGGACCTCTAAAAAAATGTAGTCGTTTGCTCAAATAATTGTTTTGAATAAATTGAAAATTATACAAAATACATGTAATATTATTGATATCACATCCACGAGACAGATGTCAATTGGTTGGGAGTTACGACATTAGTAGTAACGATGTGGTCCATTAAAAACGGCTAGAAATCCCTTCTATGAATAACATCAAGTGGAAATTCTTAAAAATGAGTAGCTTAAAGGTCTACTCCATCCGTCTCACACAAGATTTCCCACTTTGACTTCACGAACATTAAGAAAATTATTGAACGGTGAAAGGTTTGTGGTTAGATTTTGTTATGAACTGAGAAATATTTTGAGCTACATTTTTTTTCCAAAAAGAGAGAAAAAGTTTTAGAATTACTCTGGAACGAACGAAAAAAGGAGTGGAAAAATCTGTGTGGGAGGGAGTAAGTGCTTTGAGTATTATGTCAAAGTTGAAGTCATGGAATGTGTGGGAGCCTGCATCCAGGATCTGTATTCCATATTGATGAAGGAGATGCAAAATTAATGCAATACCTTGCTTGGTGAATCTGATAAAGGTCTAACATTTATGTGTGGCAGCCTGCATCCAGGATCTGCAGATGGCACAAATTCCCTTCTTCGGCCTGTGGGTGTTTCAGGTGACAACAGATTCTCACCATCAGACACTAATGCTCCTCCAAGATACCTAATGCATGCAATTTGAAATTAGAGAAAATAATACGATGAGAAATTCAGTTACCCGTAAAGCTGACCAGCCCATAGAACTCCACACACACGTGCATCACAACATGCTTGAATTCGGAGTCAACGAATAAACCCAAATTGGTTGAGGATAACATAATCAACTTGATAAGCACAAAATCTATTCATATAAGTGTTTGTCAATGGATTTACCTGAAACCAATATCCTCAGCAGGGAACTGGAGCTGAAGGCTCTGTCCTTCCTCGAATATTTCTCTTAGTTTTTTAAGCCTAGCAGATCCAATCGGGTTATTTGGATTTAAAACAAGACCAGAAAGCTGTGCGCGACCTATGCTAAAAATCCCGTCTAAAATAGTCGTCTGTAGCCTAGATGGTAAAATGGAGCTGACGGTGCTATTAAGAGCTTGATGGACTGCAAAGAAATCGATACATCATTAACCATTGTTATAGCTACTCGGCTACTCCGTATATTACAGAGCACAACAGCATAGATGTATATGTGATGAAAGATGATGCACACATTTTACCTGTATTTGCAATGGTTGGATCAAGCCCAAGTGCAGCAGGAACTCTCATAGCAGCTTTGTAGTTTTGGACGCTAAGTGAGGTATTAAAGCTGGCAATCTAAAAGTTTTTGTATACGAAAACCGTAAGTCAAAGCTATGAATTTGTGGAATGGTAATTAAACGTGTCTCATAACAGGGTAGGGATAATGGGATGTAAAGAACTGATAAAGCAGAAAATCAATACCTGTCTACGCTCAACTTCATAAGTGGAAAGAAATGATGCAGGTGCAATTCCCTTGCTGATTAAAGATAATTTCCAAGCAATATTGTGGGCGTCTTGAATACCAGTATTCATTCCTGAAATGGCAGACAGAATCTTATGAAATCTCCTACGTTCCATTTCAACATATATCAACAGCCTTAGGCCATATTCTTTAGTTGTTGTCGTGTTGACTTGTTGTATGTATACTTGCATGTATAGCTATTTCTAATCAGGGCCCAGTCCCAGGTATAGTGTGATTAAACACTTTTGCTGATGGCAAATAGTCCTTTAGTTTAAGTTCATTAGTGAACTTCTGATATGGAGATGATTAAAGGTTCCAACCAAAGAAATGCCACAATTGGTTCACACTTGACAACATCTCTCTTTCCTTTGGAAACTCTTTTCCTCAAGTGAGGAATGATTCTTCCCTTGCCCCCGTGCTGTTTCATTTTCCCAAATTTCAAAGGAAGAAAAAATGAAAAGCACCCAGAAAAAATACTCTTATGAAACATTATTGACAAAGTGAACTTTTACTCTATGATTATTAGAAGTATGGGCATTTTGGTCTTTGTAAAACATTTGAAATTAAATAAGACACTAAAAGTTTGAGAGGCATGTGCTGATTCAATCTAGAAACTAAATCTGAACAACAACGACTCCACATAGATAATAGAATGCCAAGTTGTGAAATCCAAAACCTTCACAGGTAAATGGCATCAAACTCACTAAAATTGGCTGGTTGAGAGGCTATTATGCATATGATTGATACTTAAGGATAATATCGCAGAACCTTAAATTAAATAAAGTAACTGGCACATGAGAGCAGCTGCCTACCAAAACCGCCGGCAGGGGGGAAACGATGTGCAGCATCACCAGCAAGAATTACTCTGTTCCCACAGGACAGGAATTTCTCAGCAACTTCAGCATGCATTACCCAGGGCTTTATGTCTATGACATTGATGTCTGCAAGTTCTTGACCAACCAGCTCATAAATTATGTTATATATCTGCACAGTTATGATATTAAGAAAGCAAGTTACCATGTAATCTTAAATTTTTACATATACTTTAGCTACAGAAAGAAACAAAATACATTGTTTTCCTCATGCATATAAAACTTCTTCGTATACCTTTGAGCTAAAGTCCTCAAGCTTCTGCTGAGGTGGATAAAATGGTATCTACAGATTACAAGTAGTGTAAGTTTTCTTATGCAGAGTAGAAAAGCCATACATATCAAAACAATTCCATACTTGCAAGTAGTGTATTACATACTTGCAATACAAATTCACCCTGCCTGAGATCATGGGCAACAAGAACGCCAATAGCTTTTTCATTGAAAATGAAAAACAGCATCCCTGGTCTCTCATTAATGAGGTACTGCCCCAATTCTTGGCTTGTAAAGTGCACACTGATAAGCTTCTGCAAATCTTTTTCCCCTTCCATATTTATTCCCATAAGCTTCCTCACTGTACTTCCAGCACCATCTGTACCAACAAGGAACTGACACCGTATACTTTTTTCAACAGACTTCCCATCCTCATGGAAAGATGCTGTCACATTAACAAAGTTATTGCTAGGATGTATCGCTGTGCACTCATGTCCCATAAAAAGCTGACCCTCCGAAACAGAGTCATTGTGTGTCTCAACCCCTTTGCAGTTCCTGATATGAAAGCCAAGTCCCTTTATATGTTCACACATCAATCTGGTCAGTTTATACTGTGAGAAGTGTGCAACAGAGACAGGGCTCACAATATGTTTGAAATCTGAATAAAAGAGAAGTAAATTATAGTGGCACCAAATATAGCACTCTCAGATAAAATATGTAAGAACTGTCTTAAATAATAACTGCTTTAGTACTATACTACTATATTCTACCTTCAGGTCGCATATGATTGACAGAGCCAAGAATAGGACCAGTAAGAGAAGTACAATATACAAACTTCTGCCAGAACTCCACTGGTGGCTGAGATCTCAGAATCTCATCTGCTAAGCCATCCATTTTTCGAAAAACCTATCAATAAACTTTACATCAAAACAAATGACTTTACTTTACCATCACAAAAGATCCAGTGTTGAATAACAATACAAAAACACCCATTTGGCGCAACAAAATCCAACCTCCATTGATCTGTTATTAATAAAGTGCGCTTGAGGATGCCTAGAGAAGACCTTGTTCTTCTCCAAGACTGCACATTTCACACCTTAAAGCAAAGAATACGATAAATGTGATGAATAAATTAACCCCCAAACAACAAAACCCAATAAAAGGGTTGAACAATTAATGATATGAAAAGGGTTGTGTGGGTGAGGATATAAGATAAGTACCCAATTTGGTGAGGAGTATAGATAGAGAGAGCCCAACAGGTCCGGCGCCGATGATCAGAACAGGCAAAATTGGTTCTTCTGCATAGTTTGTTGGGTGTGAATTCGATAGTGATCTTCGTTGAGTGTGCTTATACGTGATAGACAAATAACCAAATCCTGTGAGATCCCGGAGGCTCTTTCTCCCCGTAATTTGCAGTAAACGAAGCGGGGTTGATCGGGCCATTGATATCTTTGATTCACACCCGGTAAAGCATTGAAATTTGCGCAGTGCTCGGATAGAAAAGCTCAGATGAACTGCAGTTGAAATGGTTCGTTAATCACATCCCATGAACTGGCACTGTTTTCGACATTACATTTGCATTAACACACTACCTAAAATTCTTGAAGCAGGAATTAAAAAACTAGGGGTCCATTTGGAAATTAGGAAAATTAGAAAATGACTTCTGAAAATTGAGTTATATTCTGAAGTCTAAAAATCATCTATTTCTGTTTGGTTCATTTTCTAGAAAATGAACATCCGGAAATGCTTAACCTCTAATCTAAACTTTGATGATACAAAAAGAGAATACTGAAATAGGAAAGATACAAAATTTTAACAAACATAGAAAATCCTCCAATATTGAATCTTGGTAGTACCTGTATTGCTCTTTTAGAAGCATTAAACAAACTGCCCACTTCTCTCATGAAAATTTTTTTACCCAACTTTATCCGTGCTAAAAATTTTAAGAACAAGCAACAAAGAGGAGATTGAATTCTAGTTCAGAAAAAAAATAATGCATATACCATAGAGGAAGTGAGACATTATCTGTATGACCTTTTGGATGACAAAAATAATTTCTAAAACATACTATAATCAAAATCAACTTCTAAAACATGTACTCTGTACAATTAAAACTGAGAATCATAGTGAATTTCTACAGAAAATAGATGAGGAACTAAAGAAATTGAGAGACGAAAAAAGCAAATGGAAACCGACAGCAGAGAGAGAGAGGACTTACCCTAAAATGGCGAGTAGAGAGGAAGGAGAAGAATTCGAGCTAAGAGGGAGTTGGCTAACAAGAAATCAAGAAAGGGCTATCAGAAAAACCTGTAGAACGGGAGTGACATTACGGTATATGCATTGTAAAAAAAAGGTAGATCTTCAATTGGGGTTCTCCATCATCCTTGGTGGGTGAAGGAGAGGTAAACCCACACTGGCCAACCCCCTTCTAATCCATAGCCATTTCCATGAGCCATAGAAACCCATACTGCCACTAATACAATTCGCAGCTGGAAGACGAACAGATTTACCCCATGGTAGAGGTAAAATGGAAGATAAAAACTCAAATCAATAAAGAAAAATCTGGATTCGCCTACCATTAAAATGAAAAATGAAATTGACAATTGATATAACATAGGCTAAATTCTCAGGTGACGACGCCGAGGCAGAGATGGGAGAGAACAGAGTGCACGAGCATAAGCACGTACGTATTGCAGCGATGCTACCTACGAAGGTGTGAGGCTGGACTGAGAAAAACCAATGGAAGCCTAAAAGGTCTGAAGTGTGAAGTGGCAAACTGGCAATTTTGAAAGTCAAACTCATACTCCCTCCGCCTAGTCAATTTTTTCAAATTTTGGTGACAAATATATACTTTATTAAAAAAGAGGGGAAACCTCTATTTCATTTTTTTTAAATGGTCACACTCACAAATGGTAATTGCTAAACTTGAATAGGTAAATACTTAATGTCATTTCGCCATTAAAAGGTAATTAATAATTAGCCGGAAACCTACTAAAAAGTCAAGGTACCTTACCTGGTGGGGGTCTCTACATTGTAAAAGTCATAATGCACCTGTGGATCTAGAATGGACTTTGTAAAAGTCATATTCGGATGTATATGAATTTGAAAACAGTAAAAAAAAACTAAAAAAAACAGACAATTCCTAAGACATACTCCCTCCGTCCGGAAATGTTCTTCCCGTGTTGACTTGGCACGCTTATTAAGGAATAGTAAAAAAAATGCAAAATTTTCAAAAATGCACATACTATAAACTTTTAAATCTCCTTTTATTATTAAAAAAGTAGATTTGTGATAAAATAGAAGGGTATTATTGATATTTAGCCTTAAAAAGCATACTAAAAAAGGAAATGGGAAGATTATTTCCGGACAAACCAAAAAGAAAAATGGGAAGAATATTTCCGGACGGAGGGAATACTTTTTTATTTTATTTGACGATGACAGCATTTTAAAATTAGGTTTTCCTCAACATAATACTAATTATAAATCCTATATTAAGAAACACCTTAATTACGGACAAAAAGGAAAGGCATATATAGATCAATGGATGAATCAAGAAGAACACATTAGTGTTAATACAAACACTCTCCTGATTGAAGAAACACCTCAGGCGAAAGAATCTAAATAGGTTTTAATAGATAGATGGATGGATCAACAAGTAAGCTCTGCTTGTAATAACAAGAATTAAGGGGTTCCGACCTGGAAGCGCTTCCCTGACGGCTCATCGGAGAAGACAACAAAGGTGCACGACAATGAATGGTAGTAGCGCAATTTTCTGGACAACTCATCCATATTCGTATGCTACATCTCGTTCGCCAACAACCTGAAGACGAGATGTGGTTTTTGATCAATGGTACTCTTAAAAAATTCACTTTCGGAAAATTCTGTTGAATCACTATTTTGCCAAATTCCAAGTCATATCCAAACTTTAGCAATGTCAACATTTCGTTCGAGACAATTCACAATAAATATCTCGAAGGGGCAAGGAGAGATGCATTTTGGCCTACTTGCGTTCTATGTTTATAACTGCGAAGGAGGATGTACCTGGCGGTGATTTACATAAGCTTGCATCGTTGTATTTTGTCGAGCATGTGTTGCTAGCGAAGGATAGAGGTACATGTATTGATGCCTCCCACTTGGAAGTAGTTGATGACTCTAACATGTTCGCTGCATACCCTTGGGCTTGGGAGTCATACATCTTGACCATGCGACATCTAAAGGGAATGATGGATGGCCAACCAGAGGAATTCAAAGAAAAGAAAAATAACAACTCAAATTTAAAGTCATGGAAATATGCTTTATATGGGATTCCGTTTGCTGTGCAAGTGGAAACCCATATAAAGCATATTTCCATGACTTCAAATTTGAGTTGTATTTTTCTTTTCTTTGAATTTCTCTGGTTGGCCATCCATCATTCCCTTTAGATGTCGAATGGTCAAGATGCATGACTCCCAAACCCAAGGGTATGCAAGTTCTCATGAAATTAGGGAAGGTCGTAGTTAGATTGATTCCCGTTTGCTTTGCTTGCCGAACTGGGTTATCCTGCTTTACTGGCAACTTACAGTAGCTCGTAGGCAGAAGGGACAAGAAAGGAAACTCCAACTTCCTATCCCTAAAGCCAACATGTTAGGGTCATCAACTACTTCCAGGTGGGAGGCATCAATACATGTACCTCTATCCTTCGCTAGCAACACATGCTCGACAAAATATAACGATGCAAGCTTATGTAAATTACCGCCAGGTACATCCTCCTCGGCAGTCATAAACATAGAACGCAAGTAGGCAAAAGTGCATCTCACTGTGCCCCTTCGAGATATTTATTGTGAATAGTCTCGGACAAAACATTGACATCGCTAAAGTTTCGATATGACTTGGAATTTGGCAAAGTAGTGATTCAACAGAATTTTTCGAAAGTGAATTTTTTAAGAGTACCATTGATCAAAAACCTCATCTCGTCTTCAGGTTGTTGGCGAACGAGATGTAGCATACGAAAATGGATGAGTTGTCCAGAAAATTGCAGCTTCCGCATATCCATAAAATGACCAAATGACATTTCTCGAAATTTCCCGAATACTGGGCAGGGTAGTGATCTTTGGTGGGAATCCAAAGTGACATTTTATTTGTACCTACAAAATAAACATCTGTCATTGCCATAGTCATCATATAAGTGAACAAAGAAAACTAATAACCATAACGTAGTACTTCTAGTAGAGACATGATAGTAATAAGTGAGCAAAGAATGCTCATCCATAACAGTTTAAGAAGATAAATACATGATACGAAGCGGGCAAGCAATTAACACTGAAAACAGATATTCTGCGTGTGTGAGTAGCAATTCACATAAATTGACCATTTTTTCAGAAACTTAACATGAAAAAAACGTAACGTAATTAAGAACTTATGGTTCAAAATACAAGAACAAAAAGTAATAATTCAGGAAGATAAATACATGATACGAAGCAAGCAAGCAATTAAAACTGAAAACAGATATTCTACGTTTGTGAGTAGCAGTTAACATACATTTACCATTTTTCCAGACATAAACATGAAACAACTGTAATTAAGAACTTAGGGTTCATAATCCAAGAAGAAAAATAATAATTGAGCATATTAATACCTGGAGGGAATATTTCTATGAACTTCAAACTGCTTGGGACGCCGGGGAGGGTGGGGGTGGTGGAAGATCCACTGTTTGGATGGTTGTTAGCTGGCTTGTTCTTTTATGCGGCCGATCTTGTGAGAACATTAACAATTGGGGAAGATTGAAACCCTAGGGGAGAGGACAAAGATGAAAACTGAAATATAGTGAGGGATGGTGTACATCAATCACCAGCGATGGTGAAGAAGGGTTTTTAGTGTACTGGGGAGGTGCATAGGTTTGGGAAGGCGAAGAGATAAGTCAAAAAGACATGGGTGGGATAAGGGAGAAACCAAAAGAAAGAGAGAATTTTTTTTCTTGGGGGTATTTCGTGTGGGGGTAAGGGAGTATATGGTGTAAATGCGGTGTATAACCGGTGTACCCATAGAATTATACTTCTATAAATATAAAAAAAGGCAAAAAAAATTAAAAAAAATTAAGAATAAAAATAAAATAAAATAAATGGTAGATAGGGGTGGTGTACATTTGGGGTACACAATATCCCTATAAAAAAACATCAATACACCAGAATTTAAAAAACAGAAAAAAACCAAAGAGCAATGCTAGGGGTACACCATTTTGGTGTACCCCAAATGTACACCACCCCTTTTTCACCACATATTTTTATTTGATTTTTATTTACCTATTTTTTTTAAATTTTTTTGCCTTTTTTAGTGGACAAGGAGGGGGTGGAGGACATATGGGGTACACCAAGTACCCCTAGCATTTTTCAAAACCAAAACATGCTACTTCAAGTAACAGACAAAAAACTGGAAAAAAGCGTAAAAACACCAAAAAACAGAAAAGAAAACGAAAAGAAAGCAGAAAAACAGCAAAAACAGATAAACAGAAACACAACACGAAAAATAAATAAAAAAACAGGAAAAAAATCAACGGCACAAAAGAAAAATGAAGGAAGGGAACAAAATCCGAAAAAAAACAGGAAAAAAACAGAAATTTTCAATATTTCGCAAAATAAAAGTAAAAAAAAGTGTTGGATGGGGGGAAGAACTCCATACCCGCAGATCTCATAATATTGAAAAATAATGAATAAACGAAGAGCTGGAAGATGAAGGGAGAGTAAGAACCTGGAAGAGGAGCTGGAAAGCAGCGGGAGATGAAGATCGGCAGCGATGGGAGAGGAAGATCGTCCGACCTGCGCCAGAAGATCGTCCAAACACAGCCTTACGTTCTGACACAACCAAGTTGGACTGGATTTGGGGTAGGGGTTCAGTCCACAAAAAATGTAAGCATTCGGGCTTAGGTTTGATCTCGTTTAAATATGAAATAATTGAGATAGGTGTAGACGAACTGGATAGAATGACTCTAATGACCTTTTAGACCTAAAATATTTACTGTAAATATTAAAATTTTAATTTTTTAAAGTTTGGTACCTTAATTTATTTAATTAAAAAAGTTTCCTATTACGTTATTTTTTTAACAATTCGAAAAAAAATTCAAATTAGTTTTTTGAAATCTTTTACATTATTTTTGATTCAAGAATTTTGGAAAGAAAAGAAAAGAAATTTTCTCACACTTTCCTCACTAAAATGAAAAGAATTTGTTTTTCCCTTCTTTTAATACGTTTTGCCTTCTTAATTTCTTTTCCTTCCACTTTTTCTCTCTTTTCCTCTCTAACCAAACATGAAAATCAATTATTCACTTTATTTTCTTTTGTTTTCCCTTTCAAATTTATTGAATCAAACATAAAGTTAATATAAAATTTGAGAGTTTAAGAGTTTTATTTTTATGGCATGTGGCACCTTTTAAAGCTGATATTTTTTGACACATATATAATGTGTACACGCGTCTAGACTGGGTTATTTGACTTCTTCATCCACTTCCACTTAGCCCTCTTCTTCCCCAATTATTGTTATTATGCGTTTCTTCTTCGCCAAAGGAAAGTATATGATTGCTTCTTTGCCAAAATTTTGTACTTTTTACACATCTCTTCTTCGGCAAAAGTAAAGACAACTACACTGAAGGAAAGTCTCAAAAAGAATAAGATCCAGAGAATCCCTAATTGCGATTGAATTTTTTCAACGGTGCAAGAATCCTTTAAAGTAGGTTTGTTTCCAAAATTCATATATACGGAGTAATTGTTACTCAATTCGTGTTTTCTATGTTTATTTCGCAAACTTTTCCTTTTAATTCTTAAAGTTGATTCCGAATCACATATCATGTGCATTTTTTTAATAATCACCATTCTTGCAGTTCTACTTGTGTATGCAATTCCACCACTCCTACAATTCTTCATGTTCACATTTCTACAATTCTCTCTATGGTGATTCTAATGCTTATGTTTTAATAATATCCTACTCTTATTACTTTATGTTGAAAGTTGGATGTTTGTTTTTTCACAAATTCTGTTCCAATATGATGATATATTATAAGGTGTGTGTATATGTGAAAATACAACTTTAATTTGAAAATAGAACTTGATTTGTTTCTCTACAACATTGTGACTTGTGAGCCCTTCATAACTTTGTGGGAAAATCATTTTAAACTTGTACTCCCTCCGTTCTAATTTAAATCGTCCGTTTTGACTTTTGGGCATATTTAAGGAAAATAAAAAATAGAGTTGATTTTTCGAAATTGACATTACTTTTAAAGAGGGGTAATGATGAATGAGAAGATAAGGTGAAAAAGAGTGACTTATTTTAAGGGTAGTTTAGATAATTTATTTTTAAAAGTTTACAAAAACAACTAACAGACAATTTATTTTGGGACGGAGAAAAAAGGCAAACATACAATTTAAAATGGGACGGAGGGAGTATTATTCACTTTCATCATATTGAAATCATTTAGACCTTACTACTTTTTTTATGTGTCCGATGCTTTAAATCCTCTTCAATTTTTTAGCCAAATTCTTTTTTTAGACACCACTCAATAAAATATGATTCATTTGATGAATCATTTTTGGAGCATGCAAACAGCCCATGTTGGTTATATATAAACATCTTTTTTAAGACAGAAAATCTTATTTATTCATTGATAGTTTTATTACTCCCTCCGTTCCATTTTAAATTGCATTTTTGCCTTTTTTCTCCGTCCCAAACTAAATTGCATGTTAGTTGTTTTCGTAAACTTTTAAAAATAAAATACCTAAACTACCCTTAAAATAAGTTATTTTTTTTCACCTTATCTTTTCATTCATCATTACCCCTCTTAAAAAGTAAGATTAATTTTGAAAAATTAACTCTATTTTTTATTTTCCTTAAATATGCCTAAAAGTCAAAACGGACGATTTAAATTGGGACGGGGTAGTATAAATGAAGTGAAAAAATATTAAATTAGAAAAGCACTTGAATATTATACTAAAAGCAATGATTTTTATGTCATAATTAAGTTTTGTAACGCCGTGAAAGCTAACTAAGTAATTAGCCGTTGTTTTAATAAAAATAAATATATTATTTATTAACTCCAAAATATGAATAATTTATAAAGTTAACTATTTTAATTAAAAGTTAGATTTTCGGCTAGATCTCGTAAAATGGTGACCAAAGATATATAATTTGTCAATTTTAGAATTTCATGTGAATTGGGATAAGCGAAATAAACATTACAGTTTAATAAATAAATATAAAGATTTTATAATATTAAAGATTAATAAATAATCTAAAACAAATTTCCTAAAAAAAACTAGACCTGTGCAAATAAGGGTCGGCCCGTCCGACCCGCCCAGCCCGCTCTTTAAAATGGGCGGATATGGACAATCTTTAATATCCACATGGGCGGGCCGGCCCAAGCCCGAATTGTATTTGGGCGGATCTGGAAATTACTTTTAGCCCATTCGGGCCAATAGGCCCGCCCATATTCATTAAATACATTTACTTTATTATTAATTATCTAAACATTATAAATTTTAAAATATTCTTTAATTCATGTATAATAGTTCATATCACTCACCCCTCTTAAACAAAAATCAATAGTGTTTTAATTAATCTGTATGATGGTTTATTAATTATGTAACAATATTTTTATTATGTTTTCTATGTAAATGTGGCGAGTGATAATTTTATTTTAAACGTTTGAAAAGGAGTTCAATATTTTCTTTTTGATTTTTTTGTGTAAAAAAGATTTACTTGATGTTTTATCCGGGCCGGGCGGCCCGATGGGCAGTTCGGCCCGCTAAAGTGTGCGGGTATGGGTAAAGAGTTTAGCCCATCAAATCCGGGCCGGGCCAAGCCCGCCCATGCAAATGGGCTAATAATTTGTATCAAGCCCGGCGCAGATCCGGCTCGGATCCTTATTTGCACATGTCTAAAAAAAACTAATACCTACCGTACTCCTATTTCGTTGTATTGGCCCAAGTCCACTTTATAAATATGAATGCCTATTCTCTTGGTAGTTCCTCCTCATCTACATGCAAAATATAAGCCAGAGTATTCGCCGGAAAACCCATCAACAAATTGAGAGTTCTTCATCAATTTAGATTGAGGTGAGTGAATTATGTCTCGTTAGAATTGAATCGTTGATATATTCTTGCCCAATTGATGTTGAATTTGTGAATTGAATTGTTGAGTAAATGATTAATTGTGTTAAGAATATTAAATTTAAATTGGAAAGATTTGAGATGAGTTGTTCGGATCTCCGTTCTGGTTCTCTCTTTTAGTGCTCTATTTGGGTTCTTGTATGTTTTCCTATTTCTTTTCTGCTCTGTACGGCTGTTCTCCTTCCCCCTCGTTTTGTTCATGCTCTTTATTCGGCTTTCTCGCTGCTGCTAATGTCCGTGGGCTGCCGCCGGCTGTGATTGCTGCTGCGGTTCCGGCGTGGATTGACGCCGCCGTTGATACGCCAGTTCTGTCGCTCAGTCCGTCACTGGGTTGCGTGCAAAGATTCAAAGAAGAAGACGGGGGCTGGATCCTGGTTTCGGGGAATTGAGGTGTTATTAGGTTTATAAATTTGCAATTAGGCCCTCTTCTATACTTCCTCTAAATTACTACCTCCGTCCCACTCTTTTTGTCCACTTTTGACTTTTGGAACTGTTCATTTAAGCACTTTGACTCATCAAATTCTCTCAATGTGTAAGCCTAAATATAGTCATGTGTGATCTTGTTTGATTTTTCTTAACATATAGATTATTAATATATAATTTATATAATTTTTTAATATACAAATTAGAAGATAAAATGGATTAAAGAAGTGTATTGGATGATGTGTAAAAATGAAAGTGGACAAAAAGAGTGAGACGGAGGGAGTACTACGTATAAACAAAGACTACATTTTAATCTAATTCATTGTTTAAACTAGTGAGTTGAGTAACGACAATTATGTGATTTAATTGGATTATGGGAATATTCTCCTCGTATATCTAGGAAGGTTTGAGTTAAACTGAATTCATAAGGATTAAGATTTAGGATTTAGACCTGGTGGGGCGAGCTTCGCATAACTCACGGGTCTTGAGTTAAAAACGTACGTACAGGAGTCAGAGACTACCTAGGGATTTCTTTGTAGGGGCTCCAACCCACCAATTGAAGATTCTCTTTAGGGTTCATCAAGCATGGCCTCGGGGGATCCGTCCGAGTGTCCATGACTTAGTTAGTCAAAAGGAAATCTTAGCCTATAGGGTTAAGTGTTGATGAACAACAGGAACTGAATATAAATAAATAGTTGATCATGATATTCGATATGATAATTGCTGATTCTTCTGAATTGTGTGATTATATGTTCATGGATAGTATTCTATGACAGTGAGTCGTGACGTTGGTGGATGACCTGAAGGCGTTTGAAATAGTTCTAAATGTTTGTTGACTTTATTTTGTTTAAACTACAAGAGTGTTCGATGATATTGTTTTAAAGGCTTCCGCAACATTTGTTTTATTTACTCCGATTAAACGATGAATTGTTTTTAAATAAATACAAATATATGTTTTATTTCTAAAAACGTTTTTAAAATATTATGCAAATGAATGTCGAATTAATAATAACCCGATTCGCTAACTCGTTGTTTCGGGTTACGCGGGTTGAGGTGTTACAAGTTTACCCAATAATATTGAAATTGTAAAGAATGTTAGTATAAACATAACATGTCATGGTGACACATTTTTTTAATCAATTGTATTACATAATGTAGTAAAAAATCATATTATAATAGATAATTAAAAACAATATATTATTTAATTTGTATTCCATTTAAATTTAAAACATAAATTATTAAGAACTATAAATCATAAATTGTCTAAAAATAAAATAAAATCATCAATGCATTTGAACTATGAATTTACTTATTACTCCTTCCGTCCCCCATAGATCTTCTCAATAGTCCTTTTTCTTTGTCCACAATAGATCTTCTCATTTCATTTTTTAACAATTAAAATACCATAACTACCCCCACTTACTTTATTTATTACACCTCACCCACCTCATTTAATACACTCTATCCATATTTCATTAAGGGTATTATGGTAAACTTTCACCTTTTTTCAACTCTCCTTAAAAACCACCAAAAGTCAAAATGAGAACATCTTAGGGGGACGGAGGGAGTATTTTTTTCTATTTCAAAAGCAACTATAGTCTGGTCATCTTTTGTTTTATAAGTATTTTAATGTAGTTTTTAAAATATATTGTTCTTTAAATTTTATATCAATATTGCAAATAATAGGATCAAAATTAACTTTATTGTAACATATCATAAACAAATAATCGTATAACATTGATTTAGAGGTTAAAAAGCATCGAATTATATAATTAAAAGTTTTGTTATGAAGGGCGATAATGAAAAAATATTAAATTTGTAAAGAATATTTTCATAAAAATCAATAATTCGCTTTGATGATTAAGTTTATTCAAAGATTTCATATTAAAACATTGATTTTATGTCTTAAATTAGGTGGTATATTATATGTAAAATGAAATTTCTTTACAGGTAAAGAAAAATAATTTTTATTAGGTGTGAGTATTTAAATAAATATAATCAAATTAACTTTGTTTAAATGTATCATAGGCATTCCCAAGTATAAAATTGATTTATGGCTGAAGATAATATTTTATTTATTATTTAAAAGTTTATTCTAGTTTAACAAAATTATAAACAAGTTATATCATATTTTTATAATTTTCTGATGTAGTTTTTAAAATATCTTGTTTGGTTTTAATTTTACATCAATATTAACATAATTAGAATCAAAGCTAATTTCATTTTAACATGTCATAAACAAATACTTGCTTGAGAATTTTTTAGATGTCAAAAAGACATCTTATTTATTAATTAAAAGTTTTATTACAAATAAAGAGTGTAGAAAATAAAGTATTAAATTGGAAAAAATACTAGCTATCATAAGAAAGAATCTTCCTCTTCCATAATTAGATTTACTCAAAGATTTCATACCAATTCACATTTTGTATATCTTAATTTAGGTGGCATATTAGGTGTTAAAACAAATATAAAATTTATTTATAAGTAAAACATGTATTTTATTTATTAGATGTCAACATTTAAATGAATATGATCAAAATAATTTCATGTACATGCATAATGAGCAAATATAAAATTACTTTAGAAAGGATAGAGTATTTAATTTATTATTCTAAAATAATTTTGTTATAAATGAAGATAAAAAAAAATTAGAATTTGGACATATTAGATGTTAAAAAAGGCAACATAATTATGCCAGATGTTAGTTTATTAGAGATTCGAGTCTCATTTTTATATTTAAAGAATAAAGGATTCTTTATTTTTTCCTAATTTTTTATTGATTATACTAATATTCGTCTAATATAAATATATTCTATTTGATAAATGTAGTCATGTCAAATGTAGTTTTGTAGATTTTTTTATATAGCTTTTAAAAATATTTTTTTATTTAAATAGATAGAATAAAAAATAACTTCTTAATATTAAATATGAATTAAAAAACATGGGATTTATAGAGGTGAAGAAAATATCTTATTTATTATATAAAAGTTTCAGTATACATTAAGATGAACTTTAATTAATTTTAAGTTCAGTAGTTGATATATTGTTTAAATATTATTATATAAGTTTTTTTTAAAAAATGAAGTTTTAATTATAAGTAGATAAAAATGTTATTAATAAATTATAAAAACTCTCTTTTTATAAAAAAAATTGTGTTACTTTATTTACTTTGCTATAAAAATGATTTTCTTTCCTTTAGTGATTTTTTAAATAAATGCTATAAATTAGAATTTTCTTATTTCTTTTACTTTATTTTTACTTTTCTATAAAAATGATCTTCTATCATTTTATTCTGCTGACTAATTTTCAAATATATTTTTGTTGATCATTTGGTAAATGACAAAGTTTTTAGATCTTTGATATATTTGTATGAATTTATAACTGACATGATTCTACCATTTTATTTTTAAAAAACATTCATAACCCTAAAAAATTGTTCGTAAATTTTCTGATTTATCAAATCTGAGTTAGGTATTGAAAATATTTTCACGTATAGTAATGATAAAATAATATTTTATTATAATAAAAAATTATATTGAAAAATAATGTTAATTCTAAATTGGATTCATGAGTTCAAAATAATTAATTATCATTTTTTGGAAACATAGTAAAAAGAATATGAAATAATTGAAAAGGGGAGGAGAAGGAAATGAAATACTAAAAAAATAGTCGATCAATAAGGACTGTCATACATCATTTTCTAAGGTTTGACGCATGTCATCCTCGAATTGATTGGAGTCTGAAAATTTATATATAAAAGAAAAGATAAGAAGTTTGGAAAAAACGTAATGCTATTTGTATCTCAAGAATTTGTACTCCATTTTGTACACTGCATGAATGCAGGTGGTGCAATGCTAATTTTTGTTATCGCATCAACACTTTATGTCAGTGTAAATTTTTATTAACACACCAATACTTTATGTCAGTGTGAACCATCAAAATGCTGATATATATCTTTAGTGTATAAATGAAGTATAAATTTTGGGTACATCTAGCATGCTCCTTGAAAAAAAGTGGCACTTAAGTTCATGCGCTGAATTGTGTTTGTTTTTCGCGGGATGTGGTTATTGGGCCCAATTGGAATTCTGTTGGGTTTGAAAATTGAAGGCTAGATTGACCAGTTATACTACTACATGTGTATATATCTGTAGATAGGCCTAAAAAAAGACGGGGCCACTCACCTCAGATTGGAGTATTGGTGCGGTCAGAGATATGGATGCGGCGGATACGGCGGAGAGAGAAGTGGGAAGTCTGAAGGCCACGATGGAGACGGCGGGAGGACAAGTCCAGACGGCGGCGGAGGGGGGAGGATATGAAAGGCTCCAGGAGGAGGAGGAATTCGTCCTCATGGTACCTGCCGGCCATGGGGCCAGGTACGAAAAATTAATTTCAATTCTCTCTCTCTTTTTTTTTGTGAAATTTAACTGATTTGATTCGACAAATATCCTGAAAATGATAGCAAATCTGTGTATAGTATGGTTGATTTCATTGCTGCGGAACAAAATTATCTTTTGTTCAATAAATCTAATCCTAACTTGTTCGGTTGAACTTGTGCCCTCGTTTTTTTTTGAATTCTGGCGTCGATGTACCTTGGATTGCGAGAGTGTTTGTTTAGTTTGATATGATCTCTGTTTTCGTGTTTTTTAGTTTGGGCGAGAGTTCAAGACCGCGTCATCGTTGTGGTCTTCGGTGCATCCCTGGAGGTGTGAATGAATGGGAAGTCAAAGAGGAGACTATCCAATATGCACGGGAGGCTGTTGAGCAACATAACAAGGAAAAGGTTAACTAATTTAATTGTTTTCTCTTTCCTTTGTTGTTTCCTTTAAGTTGAATATTCGAGAGGAGTATGTTGTATTGAGTCCCTTAATTCATACACATAATGAACATGTGTGGGGGTGGGGATGGGTTGGTGGGGGGGGGGTGTGTGCACAGTGTGCTTGTGTGTTTGTGTGTATGTGGTGGTGTTTCACATGTCCGGTGCTTCAGTAAGAAAGGACAGAAATAATTATGAGCACAAAGGCGCGATCTTAGCCACCAAGATAAAATGTCATAGTAGTCCAGACCAAAGATTTGAAAATAGTCTCTAGCAGCCAACAAAGCATTGAGGGTTTCAAATCCTTCCAATCATACCTTCTTGTATGGTCTATACTGTTAAAGTGGCCTACACTCAGTCACATGGTTCACCAGGAGGATTAATTAACTCCCTTGTACTATCACTTTGTAATGCCTCCATCTCACTAAACATAGTTTGATGCCACAATGCCACCTTGGATCCAATCACACCCGAGAAACTAGCTTGTAAGAACACGTAGTAAGGGGTATTTACTTTGCCTCCTTTGCAAGATCATGTGTGTATGAATTGATTTCTTTAACGTGTCTTCAATATATATACATATAAATAATATGCAGGGGACGAGCTTAGAGTTGGTGAAACTTGTCAAGGTAAGCGCGGGGATCGTTGGAGGCCTCATGCTCTACCTCACTCTAGTTGCACGGGACGACAAGCAAAAGGAGAGATCGTATCGTGTTAAATTCTGGTGCCATCCTTTTGACGTAGAAGAACCCACTACCATAATTTACTTCCGTGAGTTTAAAGAGAAGAAGCGAAAAAGAAGATCCCGGAAACACTAAAACATCTGCCAAAAAACCCAAGATATCTGCCAAATGTTGTTAGTTCATTGTCTTATGCTTTATATTATGCTCCCTGTATGTACTTACCCCGCTATGTCATTCTCTTAGTTTTGGATGTTTTCTTATAAAATACTCCGTATATGATCGTTGTGTCTTGCGCTCCTAATATTATATTCTGTCACACCTATTTTCTCCCTATCCTTTGTTGTGCCATAAAGTTGTGTTGAACGTATTTGCAAAATATTTGTAGTTTTGACTTGTAGTAATTGAATGGGGAGCAAGATATTCTTCCAATACAGTGTAAGTTTCATAGACGAATTTGCACAATAGGATGTGAGTACATATAGGGAGTAGCAGGGGATGGGGGAGATGATGGGGGGGTGTGTGAGAGAAGGGATGAACTCGATCGAGGAATTAAAGTATTTGGTGATTGAGTAAAAAATAAATGTTGATTCAAATCTAATAAAAGTCATTTTATCTCTTTGAGAAACATTTATTCTAAAGAAATGGTTTCCTACCACTCATGTAATCTAACATTGGAAAGTAGAATTATAATTTTATAAAAAATTATTTTTCTTTCAACCAAATAGATCCAAGGAATTGCAAAGTAGGATCCAAAAAGAACATAAAAATTGAAGAAAATTTGTACTGTAAACAATAATTACGTTCTCCCTGTGTGTGGCACCGGTTAAAAAAACTAAGTAGTTTGGAAAAAAGTGTCACTTAAGTTAATGGGCCTATTTGTGTTTGTTTTTCACGGGATGTGTTGTTGGGCCCAATTGGAATGTGTTGGGTTAGGAAATTGAAGGCTAGATTGACCATTTTGCGTAGATAGACCTTAAAAAAAAAGTTGGACGATGGAGGAGTATTGGTGCGATTAGAGAGATATGGATGTGGCGGAGACGGCGAATACGGCGGAGAGAGAAGTGGGAAGTGTGAAGGCCACGATGGAGACGGCGGGAGGACAAGTCCAGAAGGCGGCGGAGGGGGGAGGATATGAAAGGCTCCAGGAGGAGGAGGAATTCGTCCTCATGGTACCTGCCGGCCATGGGGCCAGGTACGAAAAATTAATTTCAATTATCTCTTTTTTTTTGTAAAATTTAACTGATTTGATTCGACAAATATCCTGAAAATGATAGCAAATCTGTGTATAGTATGGTTGATTTCTTTGTTGCGGAACAAAATTATCTTTTGTTCAATAACCCTAACCCTAACTTCTTCAGTTTAATTTGTGTCATCTTTGTTGTTTTTTGTTTTTGAATTCTAGCGCCGATGTATCTTGGATTACGAGAGTGTTTGTTTAATTTGATACGATCTCCATTTTCGTGTTTCTAAGTGTGAGTGAGAGTTCAAGACCGCGTCATCGTTGTAGTCGTCAGTGCATACCTGGAAATGTGAGCGAATGGGAAGTCAAAGAGGAGACTATCCAATATGCACAGGAGGCTGTTGAGCAACATAACAAGGAAAAGGTTAACTAACTCAATTGTTTTCTCTTTCCTTTTTTGTTTTCATGTGTGTATGATTTGATTTTTTATAATGTGTCTTTAATATATATATACATATAAATAATGTGCAGGGGACGAGCTTAGAGTTGGTGAAACTTGTTTAGGTAAGCGCGGGGATCGTTGGAGGCCTCATGCTTTACTTCACTCTACTTGCACGGGACGACAAGCGAAAGGAGAGATCTTACCGTGTTAAATTATGGTGCCATCCTTTCGACGTCGAAGAACCCACTACCATAATTTACTTCCGTGAGTTTAAAGAGAAGAAGCGCAAGAGAAGATCCTAGAAAAACACCAAAACATCTGTCAAAAAACCCAAGATATCAACCAAATATTGTTAGTTCAATATGTGTTGGTATGCTTGAATTGGTTCCCTTTACATGCATGCAAGCTATTGAACTTTTATGGCTGCACTCTTTGGATTTCTCTCACTGCCCTACGCTTTGTATTATGCCCCTATATGTATTACTAGGGATGATCGTGGTACGATATGATACGGTATTTGGTTCGTATACCGTACCAAATCTTTTAGTTCGGTATGGTATTTTAAATCGTACCAATCCCGAAGTATCGGTTTGGTATAGTTCGAGATGGTCCAGTTTCGATTTTGGTAAATATTGGGATGAATATATATATATATATATATATATATATATATATATATATATATATATATACGTACCTAGTTTACACTTCAAAATGTACAAAAGTTTTTACTTAAAAAAATCAAAAGTACATTGAAATAAAGAAAGATAAATAGTTGAAAAATGAATAATTAAATGCAAGAAATGCTTTTAAAATTTAGTTTAATTTATACTTCATATTTCATAAACAAGAGAGAATGAATAATAATTAAATAGTATTTCAAATATTTGTTAATCTTTTTTATATTCTATTTACAAAAATTAAAATTCAAATAAATAATTATTTAAATAAGATTATTTGTAAGTTTCATAGACGAATTTGCACAATAGGATGTGAGTAATTGGGATGCGTCTGGATTAAGTCTTATTTAGAAATGACAACTCTATCTGAATTCGATCTTTACAGACTTGACCGGAGCTTATAATATCTGAATCCAAATTGAAAAAATAAATATTCGAAACCGTTCCGAAATAATTTAAATTGAACCGGAATGTGAGCTTGGATGAGAGGAAAAGATGTGAATAACACCTAGAGGGTTGGAGGAGGATGGAGTAGATAAGAGTTTAAAGTAGGGATACCGGATACTGATCTCCGACTAAACGAACATGATGAGAGGCGTGGGTTTTTATTGATTTATTGTTAATAATCAGTTTTTAACTTATAAGCGATTTATAAGTCAAATAATCTTTTGTGGAAGTAAAAATGATTTACATGATAAATAAATTATTTGTGAATATTCATAAATGGTGGGGACAATGTTGTAACTTATTTGGTCAAAACGAAAAAACGAAAAAATTGATTTAAAATCAAGTAGCTAAGACCTATTTATCTTTGCTCTAGCTTATAAGCATATAGAAACAAAATTGAATATATAAGTCAGCCTATAAGCATATAGAAACATACACATAGTCTTGTGAAAGAGACCTACACGGCTACACCTTGGTAGCCTTTGTTGGCCAACTCCCTCTTCGCTCGCAATCTTCTCCTTCAGTCCTTCTGTAGTCTAAGGGTGTGTTTGGATTGAGGTAGGTGGAGGTAAGGTGAGATTAAGTTTACAATCATGCTAAAAATACACCAAAATATGTATCCCAAGTTATACCTTAAAAAAATGCACTGACATTTTAACAGTTTACATTGATATAAAATATTAGTTCAATTTAAAAAATTTATACTACAGTAATATTTTTTATTAATGTAAATCTCCAATTCTCATACTAGCATTACACTAGCACAAAACTGATGTGTTTTGGGTTCATATTTACAGCTTCTCTAACGAGTACGAGTGTTTTGAGTGAATCACATCGGTCCACGAACGAAGAACCGCCGATATATCAAAACCGTCCAATACGTTTACATTCCAATCCTACGGTGTGGCCTCATCACTTTCATCCCTATCTTCCTCCTCGATCGTGATTTTGAAAGCTTTCTCGCTTCGCATCTGAGAGATCAGTCGACTACATCTCCGTTGTTCTTCCCTGCAATGGTACGATTCGACCTTTCAGCTTCCCGTTTCTCCTAATATTCGTTTCGTTTTTCCATTTCAGAGTTCAGTTTATATGTTTTTAAAAATTTAAGGGATCCTAGAAATGGTACGATTTAATAGTTTAATTTCAATTATATTGAGCTCCATACATTGACCTCTATTCAAGACAACCTTTGAACTTTGGGTACTCTCTCCCTCCCATAAGTCATAGTATTTATTTTTTTGAGGTTTACAATTAGGGTGCATATGGTACATGGAATTGACGAAATTTGAATTGAATTGAGAGTGGAAATTTTACGGAATTAATCTGGATGGAATTGAATTCTCCAATTCCAATACATTTTTGGCACTATCAATTCTAAATCTGCATATTTTTGTGCAAACAACATAATTGGAATTGTTTTCCCTAATTTATAATTCCATTAGTTTGAGTTCCGTGTGCCAAACGGAGCCTTAGTGGAAAATCTATGATATGATGAAACTTTACAATCTTGTATTGAAATTTGACCCTTTCTATGGTACAACAACAATAAACCCAGCATAATCCCACTAAAAGTGGGTCTGAGGAGGGTTTACGCACCTAGACCTTAGAGAACTCTGTGGAGGAAACAATAATACTAAATCAAAGTTCAATATTTGTGTTTAAATAAATATCTTGCCTCTCCACAATAAGTGTAGTATGTCTTTTAATTTTCTTCTTTATATTCTAAACGAACCTACAAATATAAAATGTTATTCTTTGTTAAATAATTAGGATTAACTACAGAAAACATTGTTTTTAAGGACTTAATAATGTTTAGTGAGAGGAATAATGTCCAGTGATGGTGGACATTTACTTGAATAATAACTAATGGATAATGACCAATGCTCCTACATTGGGAAATAAAAACATATGGTCCTATTTTTTTAAATAAAAAGTGGACTAGTCCAAAAGATTACAAAAAATGGGTCTGAGGAGGTTTTACGTGCCCAGACCTAAGAGAACTCCGTGGAGGAAACAATAATACTAAATCAAAGTTCAATATTTTTGTTTAAATAAATATCAAGTCTTTCCACAATAAGTGTAGTATGTCTTTTAATTTTCTTCTTTATATCCTATGTGAACCTACAAATATAAAATGTTATTCTTTGTTAAATTATTAGGATTAACTAGAGAAAACATTGTTTTAAGGTATGTGAAGTTTACTGATTGGTGGATGTTCATTATGCTTTTAATGGTAGCCAGTCATAAGTATCATTGGTACAAAATGCTTTCACTGGGAATGGTGTTGATAGGGTGAAACCCTAAGTGATGATACACAGACAGTTAGGAGTACGGTAGAGCATGATGTCCACTGGGATTTGGCCCTTTCAATGGTGTTGAAAGGGCCAAAGAGGTGAAACACAATGTGTTGGACAAGGAGAAGAAGAGGCTACTGCAACCTTATGAGAGGGAGAAGCATAATCTGGTGGAAAGAGTTTAGGATGTGCTTCAGTGAAGGGGAGCAAGACAAAATCATGTCCCCAAGATAAGCAGTTTCTTGGACAGAAAGACTGACTTCAAAGTTGTTGATTCTTCAAGGCTGCCATTATCAGGCCTAAGGGAGAACTCACCTCATTCTCCAGCATAGCATACAAGAAGTAGCCAGATTTCGGTGGACATCATGCTCTACCATTCTCCTAATGTTTGTGTATCATCACTTATGGTAGATGTTCGTTGACATTTAAATGCTTTACCTTGTGATCGATTAGCCTTCCACCATTCACTCCATTCTCTTTAACTCGTATGCCTCCTTATTCGGTTGATAAAAATGAGGACAACACTGATTTGTGCTCATAGTCAAGAGGTACTTGTGACTTGTGATAATATAGAATTATAGATAGTGGGTTGCCTCTCCAAAAAAGCAAATTTTGTCAATGCATTGGTATGCAATACCCACCCCGCCCATTTTGAAGTAGTACGGTATGAATTGGTGTACAACTCATTGCTTGACAGTGCCGTACCTATTTAAAAGTCCCAGTCCCATGCCGGTTCTATATAATCTTGGACCATGCCCTACCGCTGAGGTGAATTGAGGGAGGATATCAATGTGGTTATCTGTTTAACTCTTTTTCCTCATTCTTCTTTAGGTTCAACATCTTTTAGCCATATGTTGTGTTTTATTTTAAATCACGGTAAACAAAAAGAAAGAACTAAAAAGAAAAAAGAAGGTTGCTGGACTCTATGCATCTCTATATATCAGTTATGTTGTCCATTGATGAGTATGATTTATAGTTTATACTTCATATTCATCAATAGATTGGATAAACATATTGGGATTTCAAAGACTAGGATTGAATTCCAAGCATTCGGATCTTAGTACAGTTGATTTGTGCTTGTCACAGTGGCTGTTCAAAAAAACTTGAGAAGGAAAATATTTATGAAGGCTGTTGCACCATGAATACTAGTTGAAATTTTAGACTGTGCAGCCACCAACTCCTTTTTTGCTACATTGCTACATCAAACTATTCCCCAAATATCACGTCCTCCAACCAGTCTGCTGCTAATGTGGTAAACATAATATCTACTGCTAGAAAACTGTTCATCGTTGCTCAAACAAAAATTCACAGTCATCACTGGCTGCACTGTTGCCACCTCCAGCAAAGCTAAGACTGCCACTGCTAGTCAGTCTGTTTCTTCCCGGGCCATCAATGTCTCCATCGCCCTTCAAGAATCATGCTATTGTAAATTTGTAAACCTAAACGCTTTAGGAAACGATGCTGGATTCCTAGAAATAGATTGACTGCATCAGTGGTTCAGAGCTAACATCCAATGATAAGTCTTACCACAATCATCTTCATGAAATAAATGGGAAGGTCAAAACAGAAGAGCAAATGAGCAGATCATGATGCTAGAGTCTCTTAGTTTGCAGGTTCTTTACAACCAGTCAAAACTTGATGCACTTTCTAATTAGCTTGATGTTTTTGTTCAGGATAAAGAATGTATTGGAAGGTCATTATAGTGTTTTTTTAAAATGTCATTTGATCGTGGAATCATGCTTGAGGGCAAACTGCACTCTAGGAGGGGTTTGGTGATTTTTCTCTGTGGATCCACTTACGAGTCCATAACTCCTTAATATTAATATCTACCACTGTTAGACTTAGCATTAATTTCCTTTGATTTGTAATTCAGTGCTACTAATAGTTTCTATAAGAATCAGAATGCTATTTTAGCTAATACTTCTAATTTCTAATGCTAACATTCTATTTCCTTCATCTCACCAAAAAAAGAAAAAAAGATACATTTGAATTTCACCGATGTTAATTTTAAAAATGATGGAGATGTTACTAGTTTGACATTGTAATCGTTAAAAAAGATGATAAAAATTAAGACGTACGGGGCCTGCAAAATTTGAATAACAAACTGATACTCCTTCCATCCTAAAACCAGTTACTATTCATACGGTCAAATTTTAATAGCTTTTTTTACTCCCTCCCTCCCAAATTAGATTGCACAATTCAAAGAATGTGCAAAACCCCGTGCTTTTTAAATTTAATTTATTTACAAATTGATATAGAAATAAAAAATGCAGCTTACATATTTAAAAAAATTACATCAAAAGTTCTACAAAATAAGTGGTGTTAGAAGTATTTTATTTTATCAAATGGTCAATAGAAATATGGAAACAAATAAAAATTATCGAGAGGTCACCGTGTAATCTATTTTGGGATGGAGGGAGTACCTATTTTCATTAGTTGCTTGATGAAATAATATAGTTATGTCACTTTTGGTTTGTAAAATTTTTCATGTAGTTTTTAAATATATAATTTTATTTTTTAATTTTACACCTATAATTAAATAAATTGAATTGCAAAATAACCTCAGTCAAACCTTGTAAAACAAAACGGGAAGAATGTTTTAGGACAGAGAGAGTAAGTTAAATGGTAAATTGGAAAATTAAAATCAAGCAGAGCCCAAATTAGGGAAGTTGACATTTTTTGGGACACAATAAACAATGAAGTTTATCTAACAGAATAGGATGAAGCCATATGGGGAGTAAAGATTATGAGTCCATTTACATGTTTATCAAGAGTAGTATTATAGGGGCTTGACTTCACCAATATGCTCATATAGTTATTCACCAATATGCTCATATAGTTATAAGCTTAGTTCAACTTTTTTTTTCAAGATCAAGCCTCTATGGTTCCTATACGCATGATACTCCTCTTTTTCGATGATGTCAATGACAAGGCTAACCATATCCCAACCACATTTATAACACGTAAGGGATTGACTAATGTACCTCATGTTTAATGACATAAGCAATCTTCTTAATGATATTTATGCGAGCAGGAAGGATCCTTTCTTTTTTCCTTTTTCTCGATGAACAACATCAGCCCAAGAATACCTTGTGCGTTTCCTTTGTAAATATGCTTTCGCTCTATGACTACAGTTGGGTAATAAACTAATGGTTTTGTGTTTCCTTGAAGGCACCCCTAAAGGGTCTTCTGTCACTGCAAAGGACTTCACTTCGGCAATATAGTCAGAATTGGGGCCTACATTCTAGATTATCTAGCACTCAAGCTGCGTCGACTGCTTATACACCACAACCCCCACCTCCTCCTCCACCACCTGAGAAGACTCACTTTGGTGGTTTGACAGATGAGGATCGCATATTTACTAACTTGTATGGATTGCATGATCCGTTTCTCAAGGGTGCCATGAAGCGAGGAGACTGGTACAGAACAAAAGACCTCGTACTAAAAGGTGCTGATTGGATTGTCAATGAAATGAAAAAATCCGGACTTCGAGGACGGGGTGGTGCTGGTTTTCCATCTGGTCTAAAATGGTCCTTCATGCCAAAGGTTTCTGACGGCCGCCCTTCGTATCTTGTGGTCAATGCCGATGAGAGTGAACCTGGCACCTGTAAAGACAGAGAAATAATGCGACATGATCCACACAAGTTGTTGGAAGGCTGTTTGATCGCCGGAACAGGAATGAGAGCAAATGCTGCATATATTTACATCAGAGGTGAGTATGTTAATGAAAGAAAGAACCTTGAGAAAGCGAGACAAGAGGCATATGAAGCTGGGTTTTTAGGGAAGAATGCTTGCGGATCTGGTTATGATTTTGATGTTCATATTCATTTCGGTGCTGGTGCTTATATCTGTGGCGAAGAGACGGCTCTTATAGAGAGCCTTGAGGGGAAGCAAGGCAAACCTAGGTTGAAGCCTCCGTTTCCCGCTAATGCTGGTCTCTATGGCTGTCCAACAACTGTAACAAATGTGGAGACAGTAGCTGTTTCCCCAACCATCTTAAGGCGTGGACCGGAGTGGTTTGCCAGTTTCGGGAGGAAAAATAATTCTGGGACAAAGTTGTTTTGCATCTCAGGTCATGTAAACAAGCCCTGCACTGTTGAAGAGGAAATGAGTATCCCATTGAAGGAGTTGATCGAGAGGCATTGTGGTGGGGTTCGTGGTGGTTGGGACAATTTACTTGCTGTCATCCCAGGAGGTTCATCTGTTCCATTGATCCCAAAGAACATATGTGAGGATGTTCTAATGGACTATGATGCACTAAAGGCAGTTCAGTCAGGCTTGGGGACAGCTGCTGTGATTGTGATGGATAAGTCAACTGATATTGTAGATGCTATTGCAAGGCTTTCTTACTTCTACAAGCATGAGAGTTGTGGGCAATGCACTCCTTGCAGAGAAGGCACACCATGGCTTTGGATGCTCATGGAAAGAATGAAGGTTGGAAATGCAAAGCTAGAAGAAATCGACATGCTTCACGAGGTGACTAAGCAGATTGAAGGACATACAATTTGTGCATTAGGTGATGCTGCCGCTTGGCCAGTTCAGGGCCTCATCAGGCACTTTAGGCCGGAGCTTGAACGAAGGATCAGGGAGCGTGCAGATAATGAACTACTGCTGGCTGCTGCTTCTTAATCAACTGTTTCATTAAGGTTGGTTCTTAAATATTTACACACATGTGTGCATTGTTTACTAACCTGACCTATTTATTCATTACTTTTCTCCCCAATCTACCCTTGTGATCGTTGCTCACTCGAATATTATGGATTTCATGCCATTAGGAGTTGCATGTGCGATATGTTCTAAGATGAGCCAAAGCTCAATCCTGTATAATTAACCCTAAAAGGGGTCTTTTGCATTCCCTTAAAAAGGTTGAGTGTGAGGCATGGTTCATTTGCGCCCCGCTAGTTGCATCAACCAACTTGCGTATGAAGAGGCGCCTCGCCATGCACTTCATTCACACTGCCTTTCACAATGATTTTAAGCATGATCTCTTTTAGTCCTTCAAATCTTGACGAAGTGAGGATTTTCACCTCAAGGCGAATAGAAATGTCATTATGTTAGCTTGTCTTAAACCTCAACTTGTCAAGTTTAATGTATACTTGAATATCAAACTGTAGTGTTTAGCATTAGGGTTGACGTTAACATTTTGTAGATATTAGGGTATGACTTTGGTAAAATTTGAAAAAAAGTGGTCACCGATATGATTAACAGAATGATTGCTCTACATGACAACAATTGAGGGAGTAAAACTGTCTTCCCTTTTTTATTATGGGACTGTTTTTTCTAAGGCACTTATGGAACCCTTGGCGCAAATCACTTGGGGCATGTCTGGTGAGTGTAGGAGATCCACGTTATGATATTTGCCGATATCAGAACCATGTCTGGTAAAGTCTAAACAAGGTTTAGATTTGATATCTTCCGATATCACAACCCTCCCTAATGGAGGTGGTTTGATATCTCCCGAATTTAGGAGATATCAGCTTTATATCTTCCTCGGCCTCTAGTCACCCACCAACCACCGTCAACGTTCACCCTATTTATCACTAACAACCCTCTCCAAACACTTCCATTTCCGATTTCAAAACCCATATCATATCAACCCTGCTTCGTTCACCAAACGGGCCCTTTTAGCGTTAACCGTGTGTCACAAAAAACCCAGAGCCTTACACTGTGTTTGGTCCAAAGGAATTTGGAAGGAAAAAAAAAGAAAATGGTTTTCTGCTATTTTCCTCACCAAAACGGGAAGAATTTGCTTTTCCATCCTATTAGTATATTGTCTTCTCATTTTCTTTTCTTTTCCTCTCTAACCAAACAAGAACAAATTGTTTCCATCTCATTTTCTTTTATTTTCCCTTTAAAATTCCTCGAACCAAATATAGTGTTAGTCTAACAAGGTTTTGGAAAATGAATCAAGTATGCTCCTTGAGCTGGGTTTATAGCTGCCACAGTTGGCACTATTGCCTACGAGAATAAGGACATATCCTCGAAGCTCATTCGCTTTCATGAAATTAGTAGTAACCCATCACTCAACACCAGGTTGCACTTCTGAATTCTAATAATGTATGAGTTGCTTATTGTCTGATTCTTACCCAGAAAAACATGCGTCTTGCTCTGTGCTGCAGAATAAGATTTCACGAGAGCGAGGCCCCGAGCAAAGGAGCTGTTGTATGGGAAGTGTATTTTATTGTTGAGTTTATTGTATAGACATCTATCTGACACATTAGTGAATCTATGGATTTAGTTCCATTCTTGATTCTCTAGTGTGCATTGTGTTGTTACCTGTAATGCCTAGATTGCTGGAGCACAGTTTGAGTGGCAGAGTGGCTATAACTCATCCAGTTCATTGATAATTGTTGTTCCCTTTGAAATTTGGAAATAAAGAAAGAACTTTGTTTGCTCAGTTATTTTTCCATTACTGCGTTTTGCAGTCTACCCGCATTGATGGATTTGAGTTTCATTAAGGGTGTGTTTGGTGAGCAAACAAGACATGAGTTTTGATTTCTTCAGATATCTGAATTCTTTTTGAGTGTTTTGGTGAATCCAAAAAAATATCAAACTTGATACCTCCAAATATTATAAATCCTTCAAATGGAGGGTTTCGATATCTCCCGAATTTGGGAGATATCTATATGAAATTTGATATCTCTCTCAACCTTTAATTATTCTCCGTCACCATCTACATATCATTGCCACCCCCAACCACCTCTATTGTCAATCGCTATCGCTTATCAGTAATTAAATCATAATTTTAAATCTCTCCAAACAAATTTGTTTCAGATTTCAAAACTCATACGGACAGAGTATCCTTTATCTCTGATTTTATAACTTATACTCCCTCCGTCCCGTAAAACATGGGAGTTTTGCTTTTTAGGAGGGATTTAAGGTGAATGTATTTTGGTATTGAATTTTCAAAAATGTCCTTTGATGTGATGGCTAAAAGTATGATTTGATGTATAGATTATTAGTAAAAAAATATGATGTGATAGTTAGGGTATAAAAAAGAGTAAGGGGTAAAAGTGATTTTTTAATAGAAATGAGAAGTGTTTTGTGGGACGGATAAAAAAAGAAAGGAGAAAGGTTGTATGGGACGGAGGGAGTATATCTTATCATATTTTCAAAACTTAACATTTTGTAATTTTCGGTGGGGTTTGTTTTTTGGTTAAAATGCTATCCATTGAACTTGAACCCATTCACGTCTTAAATACATTCGTTAATTATTTTTATTTCGTTGATTTTTTTCTTTCAAACACAAAATTTTGATTTATAACATATTACTATAAATAATACGGAGTAATTTTTAAAAAGAACTTAGTAAAAGTTTATTTAAAAAGAGAAGAATAAAAAGAGAAAAAATAAAGAAAAAAGAAAGTAATTTTTTCCATGGTCCTGAAGTCCACATTTATTTTATGGAGTTATTAGTGTATTAATTTCATAAAAAATTTGGCCCTTTTATGAAAAAGAAAAAATTTATTCTCGACTCATGTAAAATATGAGAAGTGAAATGTGAACCTTAGGATCACAGAAACACAATTCAAAAAAAAGAGGAGAGGATGATGCCTATTTCCAAAATCATACAGGGCACCAGAGCTATACACTTACACTATGTTTGGTTCAAGGAATTTGAGAGGGAAAAGAAAAGAAAATGAGAAGGAAAATATTTTTTCTTGTTTGGTTAGAAAGGAAAAGAAAAGAAAAGTAGAAGGAAAAGAAAAATAGAAGGCAAGATGTACTAAGGGGAAGGAAAACCAAATTCCTCCCATTTTGGTGAGGAAAATTAGGGAAAATCATTTTCTTTTCTTTTCCTACCAAATTCCTTGAACCAAACATAGTGTTAAGATTTGAAAAATATTTTAGTCAAGAAAGAACATTAATATAAGAATATAAAAATTATGGAGGAAATGACATGTCATTCCACTCTTTTTGAATGTTATCCATCTTGTAATTAGAAAAATTGGTTCTGTCTAATTCTATGGAATGACATATTACTCCAATTTTTTGTGTAAATTGTACTCCCTCCGTCCCATAAAGTGTTACCCATTTTGACTAAAGTTGAAATTAAGGGAATGCTAATTTTGTGTTGATTTTCCAAAAGTACTCTTGATGTGATGGGTAAAAGTAGGATGTGATGTGTAGATTATTAGGAAAAAAGTATGATGTGATAGGTAGGGTTTGAAAAAGTAAGGTAAAAGTGGTTTTTTAATAGAAATGAGTAAGGAATTGTGAGACACAATTTTTTTGAAATGTGTAAATCTTTTTGGGACGGAGGGAGTATTTTTACTTTAATGATGAATTGAATTTTTACTACTCTCTCCGTCCCAAATTATTTGCCACATTTTCTTTTTTAACAGTCGCGGGAACTTTTGTTTGTTTCTAAGTTTTTATTGGTTATTTGATAAAATAAAATATTCTTGACACTTCTTATTTCGAAGAACTTTTCATGTAGTTTTTTGATATGTAATTTTTATTTTTTATTTCTTTACCAATATGTAAATAAAATGAATTGAAAAAACTTGATATTTTACCTTGGTAATAGAAATGTGATAAATAATTTGGGACAGAGGGAGTATAAACAAAACATATACGGAGGGCCTGCATATAGTCAATCATCAAAAGAGACCCAAAAGCTTTTCTAAGAATTCTAACTGATGGGTAATAACCCATGGATACCACCCAGTTGGTTCGTCCGACTGGGTGGTGACGGAAGTGACAGAGCGCATCCTTCTCAGACCGGGTCGTGAAGCCGGTTGGGTAGTACTCTTATGCAGCCGGTCAGACGAATGACCGGTTGGATAACCAGAGACGTGCTTAACGTGCTTAGGATTACTATAAATACCCCTAAAAGCCTCATTTGTGAGGCATGCTTTAATTAATCCACACGGCCAGTACTGATTGTAACAAGTTCTTACTTTCATTAATAACAAGCCGGGTTACAGGTGTTTCTACCTACAACCCTCCCGATCACTTATACTTAGCATTTGCGTGGTAATTTACACCATCAAATTGGCGCACCCGGAAATTCACGTCAAAACCCTCCATCAAAGCGGACGGATGATGGGTCTTTCCGGGGATGAGAAGTGTTTGCTTTTCTTTCAAACCCTCCGCGGCCGCGCCGCTGAGTGGTTTCATAACTTACCGGCCGGTGAGATCGATTCTTTCGATGAACTGGCTGAGGTGTATCAGGAAAAGTTCAAAGAAAACTGCACAAAGAGAAAAAAGTTTACCTATTTAAGTACAGCCGGGCAGCGAGAGCACGAGGATTTGACCAAATTTCTCACCCGGTGGAAGGATGAAGTTGACAAGGTGGAGGAGATGGACGATAAAACAGCCATGTCCCTCCTGGTATCCGGGCTCCGGTCCGGAGAACTGTACAAAGAGTTCTGCAGAAGGCCTCCCCAATCATATCAAGAGGCCTACAACACAGCCTGGGATTATGCAGACGCCGAAGCACAGGTGTCGTCCAAAAGGGAGGCCGAGCAGGGCCATTCCAAAGGAAAAATTTCTTTGAAAAAGGAAATTCTACTGCCCGGTAAGGCAAAGGCTGAAGTCATGGAGGTAAAGCCGATCAAAACAGAGAAGAAACCGACCGACGAAAAACAATGGACGGAGAAATATTGCTCCTTCCACAAAACTGATTCCCATAACACTGCGGAATGCAACAGTGTGAAGGGAGTAATCAAGCAAATGATTGAGGCCGGGGAGATTGATCTGGAATATTTGGCCCAGGCCAAACAAAAGAAAAACCAATGGGTTAGGCCTGAAGGACAGCCGGCCGAACAGAACAAGAAGAAGAAAGCAGCCGGCAAGGAGCATTTACAGGTCATCTACGGCGGACCAGAAGGGGGAGATTCTGCTTCCCAAAGAAAGAAATGGGGGCGAGAGCTCTACGTTGGAACGGTGGCCCTAAATCCCCGGTCGAAACAAGCGAGACGGGAACCGATCACTTTTACTGATCGGGACCTTCCCGCCACCGGAGAAGATCACAATGACCCCCTGGTGATAACTATGGACATGGGTGGAGTTGATGTCTCCCGGGTACTCGTTGACACGGGCAGTAGTGTTAACGTGTTGTACCTGGATGCATTTGAGAAGCTCAAGTTGTGTCGAACACGGCTTGAGCCCTAAAAGACTCCCCTCTCTGGGTTTACCGGGGACTCAGTCGAAGCTGAAGGGTCGATCCTTTTAACTTGTGAGCTGGGCATAGGTGAACAGGTCGTCCAAAAGCAAATGAGGTTTGTAGTTGTGAACATCAAATGTGTTCACAATGCCATTTTGGGCCGGCCTGGAATAAACAAGGTCCGTGGGGTCATCTCCATGGCCCATCTCTGTATGAAATTCTATACCCCGGGCGGTATAGGAAAAGTCAGAGGGGACCAAAAGAAGGCCCGGCATTTCTATTTGGAGGCTGTAAAGAAAATGACAAAGGCGTTTGAGAGAGTCACTTTGGTCTCTCAGGAGGAAGACCGTTCGAAGCTAGAACCGGGCGATGAAACCGAGCAGATTGTTCTCCGGGAAGCTTTCCCGGAAAGAATGGTACGGATTGGAAAAGATCTGCCCGGAGGACTTCGAGATGAAATCATCTCAGTTCTTCGGGAATATGCAGATATTTTCGCGTGGAGTGTGGCAGACATGCCGGGCATTGACCGTTCTGTCATATGCCATCGTTTGGCTGTGATGGAAGGGAGCCGGCCTGTGAAACAGAAGAAGAGGCACTTGGCGAACGTCTGGAGGGACTTTGTGAAAAAAGAAGTGAAGGATTTGTTGGCGGTCGGGCACATAAGAGAAGTACAATACCCGGCCTGGTTGGCTAACGTCGTCCTGGCTCCAAAAGGCGACACCTGGCGCATGTGCGTGGATTAAGAGCCCGGGTGCGGAGAACCACCCAGCCGACATGAAACTTTGCTTCGAGATTATGGCTAAGTACAACTTGCGTCTCAACCCCAAGAAATGCGTCTTTGCTATAAAGACCGGTAAGTTTCTAGGGTTCATGGTAACCAAGCGTGGCATTGAGCCTAATCCAGAGAAGATTAAGGCCATAACTGAAATGAGGTCGCCCAGTTCGCTGAAGGCCATAACTTTGTTTTGTCTAAACCCAAACCGGGTGAGACTTTGTACTTGTATCTAGGAATTTCCCAAAACGTTGTAAGCTCTGTCTTAATAAGAAATGAAGACGGCCAGAGGCCTATTTACTATGTGAGCAAAGCACTAAATGGGGCTGAAAGCCGGTACACTGCCATTGAGAAAACGGCTTATGCACTTTTCATAACCGCCAAAAAACTGACCGCATACTTCCAAGCTCACACTGTGGAAGTACTGACCGATCAGCCACTGGGACCGGTCCTTCGAAATTCAACCTCCTCGGGAAGGTTGATCAAATGGGCAATGATGCTCACTCAGTTCAAAATATAATATAAACCAAGGACTGCAATCAAGGGTCAAGCTCTGGCAGACTTCCTCGTTGAACTGACCGGTCTAGAGCCCGAAGCCGGACCTTCCCATACGGTCGAACCATGGTGGGATATGGCCGTTGATGGGGCCTCTGGAACGAAGGGATGCGGGACCGGCGTAGTCTTCACTACCCCGGAAGGATTCAAGGTCTACCATGCCCTGGTCTTCAACTTCAAACTCACCAACAATGAGGCGGAATATGAGGCGTTGGCCGGTGGCCTCAGATTAGCCCGGGCGCTCGGAATAAAAAAGATGAAGATTCGTTCCGACTCAAGTCTAGTGGTTGGACAGGTCAATGGTGAGATGGAAGTGAAAGAGGATCGCCTGGCCCGGTATAGGGACCTGGTCCGAGCACTCCTAAGGGAATTGGAGGAATTTCGTTTGACCAGGATACCCCGGTCAGAAAACGCTGATGCAGATTTGCTTTCAAAATTGACGCAAGCCTGCCCGGAGCATGTGTCAAAATTGGCGAAAATTGAGACTGGACGTGCCGAGCACAGACCGGTTTGAAGTCGCGGCCATCCAACCGGGCCAGACTTCAGCGACCGGGATAATCGGAGTAGATGATGACTGGAGGTACGATCTCATGGAGTATCTGGAGACCGGTCAGAAGCCAGATGATGAGGAACGAGCCAGGAAAGTGGTCCTACGGGCTCCACGTTTTCAGGTAATCGACGGTCATCTATACAAGCGAGCCATTGGCGGACCTCTCCTACGTTGCCTTACCAACCCGGAGGCTGAACGGGTAATAGCTGAGGTGCATGAGGGAGTTTGTGCAGCCCATCAAATGTCCCGTACTTTGGCTCAAAGGATAATATTGCTTGGCTACTACTGGCCGACCATTATTGGAGATTGTGAACGGTATGTTCAGAGATATAGGATGTGCCAGGTTTTTTTACAAACATCCCGGCAGACCGGCCACGTACTACCAACCAACATCCAATGTCATACCATTTGCCCGGTTTGGGATTGACATTATTGGAGCTTTCCCGGTCGCCCAAGGTGGGAAGAAGTTCGTGATGGTGGCTATTGATTACTTCACTAAATGGATCGAGGCTGAGGCAATGGCTACAATAACCGTACGGCAGTGTGAGAAATTCGTTTGGAAAAACATTATCACCCGGTTTGGTGCCCCAAAGATCATTGTTACAGACAACGGTCCGCAGTTTCGCAACCCCCCGTTCACTGCATACCTTGCTAGCTTCGGGGTCAAGCATAGCAAGGCATCGGTAGCATATCCACAGGGGAATGGCCAAGTCGAAAACGCCAACCGGACAATTGTGGACGGTCTGAAAAAGAGACTGGGTGAGGAAGGACACAAATGGTTGGAAGCCTTACCTCATACGGTCTGGGCGCATAGAGTGACTTCAAGAAGAGCAACTAGAGAGACTCCTTTCGTGCTCACTTACGGATGTGAAGCCCGGCTACCAGTGGAGGCAGAAATTCCAACATTTAGGGAAGCCGTGTACCAGCCCGGTCAGAATGAGGTCGACCACCTCGCTGAGCTGAACCTGGTGGAAGAACGAAGGACCACAGCAGCTGTCAAGATGGCCGGTTACCAGCAGTCAGTAAAGCGGTATCATGACAACCGGGTAGGCCCGCGATATTTCCAAGTGCATGATGAAGTTTTGCGTAGAAGGGATGCTAGTAAGCCTAATGAGAGGGGCAAGCTGGTACGTAACTGGGAAGGGCCCTATCGCATAAAAGCAATCGTCAGACCCGGCACTTACCAGTTGGAAACTATGGAAGGTGGCCGGGTCGACCGACATTGGAACTCTCACCACTTACGTAAATTTTATAGATAAAGTGTAATGAGTTCCCAGATAATAATAAAACTTTGTTCTTTCCAGAAATATTGATCTCATACACCAACAGGTAATTGGTTACATACCAATCTGCCCGGTTAGATTTCCAATCGGATTGGACACGCCAAAAAAAAAAGAGACCGGTCTGACCGATCCAACACCTCATCCGTACTGACACGGGAATTAGAAACGATTTGGCTTAACTAAAGGGAGAGCATCCCGGCCAGTTTAAGCCAGATTGTTCTGAAGGAGAACTTAAGGTTTACCTTTCCACAAGGGCGTTAAGCCATTGTGGAAACAGGTCGGCCTTACAAGCACCCGGGCAAATGCTTAACCTTTCGAAAAGGACAAGCAATACGCCATCGAGGGTTACACATCACCGGGAAGAAATTTATAAAACATAAAGTCTTCCCGGCCGACTGTCCGGTCTTTCGAAAAGACTTGGATGAAATTATGTTTTTAACCCGGGTAAATACAGCCGTGCTATTATTTACTAATCTGAGCGGTTAGAAATATTAAGTTGAAGAATACAGGGAATGAAGCACACAGCACACGATGTTGAAAAATCTTCCATTAACATTAATATTTAAGCGTCTTACAAAAGAGTGCCCGGAGGCAAATCCTTACATCAGAAAATAAAAAAAAGAGAAGGCCGGATGGATCAAATGCCCGGGAATGGGGGGACCGGCTCCTCATCATGTAGCTCGGGCAGAGAAAGGGCCTTTGGTCGGAAACTTTGGATCCTCTGCTCAAGGATGCCATAGAGGGCCCGCCGCTCTGTGTACTGACCGCTTTCGAAGCCAAAGGTGCCGATCTCATCCACGATCCTGACCGACACTTTGTGCTTGTATAGCCCTTGGAAGAAGCGGATGGCTGTCTCCCGGTCAGGTAGCGCCTGAGCGGCAAACTCCTCAGGCTCTTGAACAGCCCAGGCAGCGGCAAGGGCAGCACGCTCTGCCCGCTCCTTTGCCAGCTCGTCTCCAAGCCGAGCAATCTCCTCTGCAGATCGGGCATTCTCGGCCCCCAGCTTCTGGACCTCCTAAGCAGCCCGGGCGTTCTCGGCCTCCAGTTGCTGGATCCTAGCCTGAGCCTGCTCGTCGGTCTCTTTTGCAGCCTTGAGGAGACCATCGTGCTTGGCATAGAGCTGGCGGTAGATCGTGCAGTGCTCCGTCCACTTCGCCTCTATCTTCTCTGCCTTAGCCCGGGCAGCCTGGGCTTCCTTCCGACATTCAACCATCATGGCCTCCAGCCGTGCCTTCTCCTCTTCTTTGGACTTCACCAGCCGGGCGAAGTACTCCTCACCAATCCGACCGACCTGCTTTAAAGACATGAAAAATTTCAGAAACAGGGTCAAAAGCAATAAGAAGACGGTAAAAAGAAAAATTACCTCATTCAGGTCGGTACGAAAAGCTTGGAAAAGCTCTTCGTCCGACCGGGACATCAGGGCCACAGATCGAGGCACGAGGGGTCCCTTGCCAGCATCGGAGGACTAGGGCCCCGGATGGAATGGCTGGTTGACCTCCTCGGTCTTCCGCCTCTTCCGCTGAAGGGACTCTCCACCAGCCTCTTCCTCGCCTTCGCCATCCACGTTGGGTTGACCCGCCTGGCCGGCCTGGGAGGTATGCCCGGTCTCCCCCATCAGGGTGTCGAACTCGAAGGTATCTACATTAATGTAGAGTTCCCCCGAGTGAATGGGCTGGTTAGTCCCCTGATGGGACTGGGCCGGTTGTTCGTCCAGCAAGAACGGCTGGCTGGAGGAGGCATTGAGTGGCTGAGCAGTGGAAGGCTCCTCAACCACTATCTGAGGGATGGCGAAATTGGACTGAAACTTCACCACTGAAAACAAAAAAAAAAAGAGACCGGTTAGAAGAACGAAGTTGATTAACTTAAATAAAAATGAGAAGGGCGGTTGATTGACCTTTCTCCTTCTTCTTCTTCGCCGGGCGTGAAGGACCGGCGGTGGCTGTGCCCAGGGCTTTGGATCCCCTCGCCCGGCTGATGGGGATAGCTTCGGGGATGGCCCCGGGCAGGATAATCTCCGGCTCAGGATCAGTCTCCCGGCCGAGGTAGACACTCCACTTCCCGACGTGATAAAGACCGCGGGTGGAGGCGTCCCGGCCTGGAGGGTGGCTTCCCAGGCAACCAGGTCGTCGGCTTCTGCAGGTTTGACCTGGCGCTTCATTCTCTTCCCCCAGACATTTTGGGCAAAGGGGAAAGCAACCGGGGGGAATTTGATACAAACATATTTGTCCTTCCACTTCTTGTTAGAAGGTGGAAGGCTGCAGAGGAATGCCCGGCCTTGGTGAGAAGACACCACCACGAATCCAAGGGTTTCCTTGGACCCGGGCCGGACATCGAACATATGGTCGAAGAGACGAAGGGAGAGGGGAATACGAAGAGACCAGCAGACATTGATGAAGCTGCCTAACAAACAGTGACCATTAGGGGCAAGTTGCCCGGGCATGATACCGTATGACTCGAGGAAAAGGACTTTGAAGGGGTGAATAGAGAATTCGCCCAGGTCCTTGATAGAGTGGTAGTGAATGCCAATCGACGTACCGACATGGAGAGGGATAATGCTCTTCCATGTTGCCCGGTAAGTCAATTGGTACCCATCCGGCATC